TGATCTTTTTAACACCGTTCAGTTCTTTGTTTTGTGTGAGTGAGTTGAGACTAAAACAGAGCTAAAAGGAGAATAAATATTGGTCTTATATTCATCAGGTGTGCCAGAGATTCAACTTCAAATGTATGCTAAAGTTGTCCACGTCTGCTGAATGTGTAATTAACTAAACTAAACTAAGCTCGCATTATCAGCTTAGATGTCAGTGTTGAGCTTGTTTCCACTGCCCCCAATTGGCAAAAAAAGGTTATAGCAGCTTTAACTTTTGATTAAGTCTGCTTTGCTTTATGGCCGCATTAAAACTTTGTTGACATTTTTCAGAATCAGAGACAGGTTTCATGAATTTTCTCTTAACCAATGAAAGACAATGCAATTGTTTACCTGGCCTAAATTCGTGAAAATCACCATACTGGAATATGGAATATGAAACTTTCACCTGACAATGGCAAATATATACAAAGATCTGACCAAACCAGAGTAGGTATGAGTAATGTGTCTGGGTTGCTGCCCTTGAATGGCATGTTGGATAAAAATAGCTTCAGCAACTGTTAGGGCCACCTGGATAGACCATGTCACACCCGCATTCACCTATTTACATCAGTGAAACCAAATAATCAAGCATAACATGACTTTGGGCCCTCTAACTGTTAGCATATACAAACTTTCATTAACTTACAGAATCTGACGTAGGTGTCATAAATAGCATGACAAATGCAGAGTGCTAAATACTTCAGGGTTTTGCAGTACACTCACTGAAATGTTCCAAAAGGTAATGTATATTACTGTAAAAATGTCCTCTTTAAACATTGTTCAGAGCTTATCTTATCTTCTAAAATGTTGTTTAGATCAGAAGATTCTTGACATTTTCCATTTATATATCCTAAATAGTTTTGTGTTTTTTGCCTTGTAGAAACAGAGATCAACTTCTTGCTGAAACAGGCGCTCACCATCGTGGCCACACTGCCCTTCACCTACATGCTGGAGGAATGGAGATGGCAGGTGTTTGCAGGGAACATCACCAAAGATGAATGGATGGAACGCTGGTGGGAAATGAAGTAAGCAGACACCTAGTTGAAGTGTCTGTAAATAACGCAGTTAACTTGTGCAGTATGTGAAAATTCACAGGTAAACTGTATAAAAACCTGCTCAAGCAAATCAAATTCGGCCATGACATCAAGAGTGGCTATATATACTGCAGACAAGTATTGTGGTATTTCATGTTGCATAACCTCAGCAGCTGCTTCAGATCTGTGATTACAGCATCAACCTGCATCAGTGCTGACTCTCAGTTGTCATAACAGGAGGGAGCTGGTAGGGGTGGTGGAGCCAGTGCCAAGAGATGAGACCTACTGCGACCCACCAGCTCTGTTCCATGTATCTGGAGACTATTCTTTCATCAGGTAACCTTCCCACTGTAAAGCTGCACTTCAAAGAAATAAAAGCATAACATCTTAATTCCTTTGAACCTGGATTTTCTCAAATAAGCTTTGCAAAGAGGGTAACTGCATATTTTCAGGTTTGACTGTTTTCTGGTTGACAGGATGTATTAAAAAACCTGTGTGTGTGTTTGTTATTGGTTGTGAATACAGGTACTTCACAAGAACCATCTACCAGTTTCAATTCCAAAAGGCGCTCTGCGATGCGGCCGGTCATACAGGGGCCTTGTCTTCATGTGACATTACTGGTTCTAAAGTAGCAGGAACCAAGCTGAGGTATGGATGAAGACTTCTTCAAAGGATATCACAGAATCAGATGTCATTGTTTTGGTTATTCCTGTGATAAACCTACCTACCTACCTACCTACCTACCTACCTACCTACCTACCTACCTACCTACCTACCTACCTACCTACCTACCTAACAACATCATCATCATCATCATCATCATCATCATCATCATCATCAATGTTTTTTCTGTTAGGGATATGTTAGAGCTGGGAAGATCCCAGTCCTGGACCAGGGCTTTGCAAACAATATCCGGTGATGTTAGGATGGACGCCCGCCCCCTGTTGGACTATTTCCAAACACTTCATGACTGGCTGAAGGAAGAGAACACGAAACACAATAGGACTGTTGGCTGGAACACAGTAACCGATCCATGTGAGTACAAAAGATATTTATGATTATCACCACTAAAATAATGATTTTTTTTTTCCTAAAGTAATAACATTTTGGATAATATGCTTATCTACTTTCCTACTGAGGGCTAAACGAGAAGATTGAATCTAATCTCATGTCTGTATGACACTTTACGACACAATTTGAAGCTACAGCTGGCAGCTGTTTGGCTTCGCTTAGCACAAAGACTAGAAACAGGAGGAAAAAGCTAACCTGGCTCTGTACCATAAAGCTCACAAAAAACACATTACATCTTGTTTGTTTAATCTATACAGAAGTCAAAATGTTTAAAACAACCTGTGGTTTTATGGAGGGTTATGTGGTTATGTTTGCTGTGAAAAAAAGGGCAAAGATGTAAAAAAAGAAATATCCCTTTAGGCATTTTTAAGGAAGTAGAAAAAACACAGACTTGAGTCACTGGTGTTTTCATGAAACCCCATTAATTTACTAGAAGGTTCATTTCTGAAGAAAATGGGTGGGATTTCTGTTTCACACTTAAACCTGTTTCAGTTTCACATAACAGTTTCATGACTTAAAATCCAAAACGACTACTACATGACCCATTGTGGTGCTACTGGTAATTTGTTTCACTATGTCAGGCGCATTCCCATGGACAACAGTGTACCAAGTTTGTTTGTATTGATTAAAAATTGCAAGAATTCAAATTTATAGTGGCCCCCTATCAGAGAAATGTCATCAAACGTTATAGACTTGTTCGCTGTCCCTATCTGTAAATGGTGTCGAGAGTTTTATGCAATTTGTTGATGCATTCACGAGTTATGGTAATTACAAACAGTAGGTGATATCCAAAAACAAATCCATGTTGTTCAGGGTCAGCCAGATATGTTATGTACCACGTTTGGTGAAGATTTTATGAAATATAGAAGATAGAAGCTGCATTTAGCAAAAATATATCATAGTTTAATCAAATTAATTCCTACTTTTTTTTTTTTTTTTTCTTTACAGATTCAAAGTATGCCATTAAAGTGAGACTAAGTTTGAAGGCTGCAATGGGTGATAACGCTGTGAGTATTAATAATCGTTATTAGAAGTATTAAAATACCTGACTACATGTGAAATTAATGTTGCACCTTTGAAGGGAACTTCCGTCTGTTTAATATCATAACAAATATTAATCAGCTAAAATATGTTTCAGTATTCCTGGAATGCCAACGAGCTGTTCCTGTTCAAGGCCAACATTGCGTATGCTTTGAGGCAGTACTACAGCCAAAAAAATGAGACCTTTCTCTTCACGTCAGTATGAATTGCCAAACCAAAAACAATACGAATACGAAAAATATGCTTTATTTTTCTCTGACTAAAATGTTACCACATTTGTTTAAGAGGTTTTCTCTGTTTGCATCTTCAGATCAGAGAACGTTCTCTCGTATAAGGAGTCTCCCAGAATCTCCTTCTACATCGTGGTCACCAACCCAACAAATCCCTCCACATATATCCCGAAGGCTGATGTGGAGGCTGCCATACAGTGAGGCACTAACTTCATTCAACAGTGGAATAATTCTGTTGTGTTTTACCCTGAATGTTTCAAAGACTTCCTAAGCAGCTGTAGTAGTAACGCTAATTGAGTCTATGTTGGATAATATTTAGTCACACTAGCTCAAGGCACAGCATCACAGAGCTGCTAGCATGACTGTAGACTCTTAAGTGTGGCTTTTTGCTTCTTGATAACATTTATATAATCAACTCCATGCAACCTTTCCCTAGAGACACTTAATAGGTCTGAGCGTTAATAAACCTATTGTGGTATTGATCCTAGGTTATGTCGAGGTCGGATCAATGACGCCTTCCAATTGGATGACAAGACGCTGGAATTCGAGGGTATTTTACCAACACTGGCCCCTCCCGTGGAACAACCGGTGGAGGTGTGGCTGGTGGTGTTTGGGGTGGTCATGGGAATAGTGGTGCTAGCAGGCATCTACCTCGTCGTCTCTGGTATCAGAGAGCGCAAAATGTGAGTTTGCGTTTGAGACTGAGACCAATTTCTACCACGTTAGACTAATTGATTGCATAACTCTGTGACATGTTGTGTTTCTTGTGTGTTTGTAGGAAATCTGAAAAGACAGGAGTGGAGAATCCCTACGATACAACCCTTGACGGACAAATTAACAGAGCGTTTGACAACAGTGATGATGAACAAACTGGATTCTGAGTTCTTGGCTGCCATTGAAGAACAGGAGGAAGGATTGGGGTCCTAAATGCTTATGCACAGCAGATACATTGTCCAGGAATGGGAGAGTGAAAATTCTGTCTTCCTGTCTTTCATCAGTGCTGCTCTTATCAAACATCAACACTACTGCTAAATGTGCATGTGTCAAAGTTAGTTTGTCAAGGATATTTTCCCTTACAGACAGTTGTATAGTAAATACCCTTTTAAAAAATTATACTTATTTGTACTTAATTGTAGTATACTAAGTATACTTCCATGTGAATGTACTCAAAGTGCTATGTTTATATTTAGTGTATAATCAATATATAAGTAATACAACTTAACAAATACTTAACTACACTTAACTTGAATTAGGTTGTAATTAAGTGTGTCTAAGTATACTTTTTGTAATAAAGATGGACGTTTACTTTGTTTTAATATGTCCATGTCAAAAAGTATATTTAAATACAATTATCATGCACCTGTGGAAGTCTAGTCAGTAGTATTTTAAGTTAAGTTCTTATATCATTAATGCTCTCAGCACAATTAAAGTACAGAAATCTAAGCACACGCTTAAGTACGGTCTTAAAGAATATTTAAATACCTGATAAAATTTGATTTATCTGTATTAGTTTCAAGCTTTATTTCCAGTAGGTTCTTTCAGGAGGTATTGTTTTCTTTTCCAATGCAGCTTTCAAATTTTTTTTTTTTTACGGGGGGATTTACAAAATGTCCTACCTTTCCTCTAGCTGTTGTGATGTGGATTTTTAAGTATTCAATTCTAATTCAGGATATTTGATCAAGAGGGAAAAAATTGTGTTTGTCCATATTATTATTTTTAATATTTTATATGCTGTAAAAGGCTTTCATGGTCAAACATTTTTGTAATACTATTTGATACTTTTACTTGTGTTAAAATATCTAATTTAATGGTGTTGCTGTTGTTGCACATCTGGTCGACAGGTGCATAAGAAAACATACAATTAATAAGAAAGTGTTCAATTACTAAACAATGCTAGTATAAAACATTGCCAACAAACCAGTTATTAAGAAGTCAATCAATGTCTAATGTTCAGGCTCATGTTTTTAGTTTATCTCATACTGTATGCTTGTTCACAAATTCTCTTAATAATGTACATTTGAAAATGTTCAATAAAGTTATTATCACATCACCTTGTTTTTTTATATTTTGAACATATACATTTTTTAATTAAAGTTGCATCTTGAACACAAAATATTCATGCTTGTAAAAAACAAAAACAATAAGAAAACAAAACAACAAATGACATCAAAAGTCTGAACCACATATACACATACAAATAACATAATGTGAAAAATATAGAGTCATATGATACATATCTACGCGCTTCTGCAATAGCAGAATATGACACAGCGACATCAGTTCCTGTCACTGGACCAGGTGGCTCAAACAAAAGAGCTCCTCTTATGTATTTGTTTTTTGTTTAATATCATCTTCAAGTCCCAAATAAAATTCTGAATTTTAAATGTTAAACTGACTTGACTGAGAACTGAGAATACTTCTGGAGAAAGTGACTCTCCATCACTTCTGAATGATAAAGAGGAAATGCTCTTCCGTCCTTCCTTCCAGCGTTCCCATTTCCACTAAGTCTGTGTTGGCGATATGGATGAACCAGCCGAGATGCACCGCTGATTCAAACCTCCGCTGTTTTGACCTGTCTGCCTTCATGTAGAAGACGAAGGAGAGGGTGCTCTCATCGCTCTTGGAGATCTGCTTCAGCCTTTGCTTTTCACACGTCTACAAAGACAAACGTGGATATCCATCACAGAGAGCACAGTTTGGTTGTTCAGCCTCCTAGCAATGACATGATTTCTTTGCTTCCAAGTATCGCAATCATAATAACAGTCACAATGAAAGAACAATTCTCTATAGCATACATCCATTTAACATTTTTAATCTTACTTTCCTGAAACAGTAGTAAATATGGATGTTGGTCGGTACACCAATTTGGTCCGGACTGATATATCTCAACAACTATTTAATGGAGTTTTAATGGAGTTTAATGGATAGACATACATTGTTCCAAAATCTGACTTTTCATTTGGTGCCATCATCAATATTTGGTTTATGAGCAAATACCTGCAAAACTAATGAAATTCTCATCGGCCTGAACTACTTTGTATTTAGTGCTAATTAGCAAATGTTAACATGCTAAACTAAGTCAGTTAACGTGGTAAACATTACTTGCTAAACATCAGCATGTTAGCATTTAGCTCAAACCACCACAGTGCCAAAGTACAGCCTTGCAGCCTCATTGTGTCCTTGAACTCAATCAACTCAATAATTTTTGTTAATTTAAGTTAATATGGAAATGCTGGCGTAAAAAAGTCAAAAAATGCAGTACATGAAATGGGATCAAATGAATGTAACTCCCTTCCTGTGTTACATATCCTTATGGTCGGATATATTACATGTTGGCTATTGTGTTGCCTCAGGTGTGGAGGATCTCCTCATCTAACAAAGCAATAAATAAATAAAGGGGCAGGAACTTTGGTTCATTGTCTCTGTTGCACTTCCAGCCTGAACGGACTTCAGTTTGTTGTGGTTCCTTGTTTTCTGGTGGGGCCGGTAGTTCCGTTTTCTGGGTTTTATTTCTGTTAGTTAGGTTTAGTTTCCTAAAGTTTTAGGTTTATGGTAGAGAGAAGCATTGATCCTCCAGTCCTATCCGGTGGTCTGGACTGCTTCCCTTCTTTTTTTCTCTTATTTTGGCATCTCCTGACTGTTTGATTATTCTAGACCATTATTGAGCACCTCAAACTTCTATTTCCAGGTGACTGTATGAAACAGGTTGATAAATCTAACTATGTGTACATTCACTCACTCAATAGTAGTTATTACCTCCACTTTTAGGAGCACCTGCCCCCCTTCCTTGCAGCACCTGAGGAAGCAGTTGGACTCTGTAAAGTTTAGGACCACCGGCATTCCTCTGAAAAACTTTTCCACAACGTTTGACTTGTAGGAGTAGATGGTGATCCTCTCTGAACACAAAAGAATCAGAAGCAAATTACAAGTAATAATGAGTGACTTAAGTGAGTATGATTAATATGTGTCATGTCGTTGTAGGCTGCTCTGAATGACTAACCTGGATTTGGTGAAGCATAGACAGTCTTCTGAGAACAGAGACTTCGGATGTATTTGTGTGTGGCCACGTTTTCAATTGAAACAATTGACGGCTTTTCCTGTTTGAAACTTCCTCTTGGAACTTGAAGTGACAGGCGACAATAAAACAGAGGTTAGGTAGGTTATAATTTATATCCTCCTCATCAGAAGAAAAGTATTTCAGTGGATTAATATCTCACTCACTCACTCACTTATCTGTATATGAATAGGTTTTTACCATAGAATGGTGATGGTACATTAGTGATAATGATAATAACAACTTAGTATACATATGTCTTCTTGACCTGTCAACTCTTCATGAGGTTACAGGAAAGTTAGACTTTTCTAAACCCATAAAGGAACACTATTTCCTCCAGTTTTTAACAAATGTCTCACTATTTGGAGATCAGTGGTTTACACCATCAACACATGTTGATCTCAGTGAGCGTACTTGTATAAGTAACCAACTATATGATTAACTGACTGACTAACTGCATTTGACATGAAACTGCTCTGAGCTTCTTTTACACTTATTTTGTGAGTCAGTAGTTATAATATCAGAGCCAGGATAGCTAATTTAAAGACGGTTATGATTATTTTCTGTATATTGGTGACAGCAGATGTAATAAGCTACTAGTGTAATTTTGAGGTATGTGTACTTTACTTGAATTTTTCCATTTGAAATGAGTGAGTGAGATTTCCCATCAGATGGTTTCATTAAAATACACTAACTGGTCAAGTATTGGAATATTTCACAAAAATAGCAACAGCTTAAGAAAAGATTAAAGAAAAGTCCCAAAAAATAAATAAAATGTTTGTATCAGAAATTTGTTTTTTCTTCTTTCCAACCCCATTAATCATCTCATGATCCCTCAGATTTATGTTGTGACCCTTAGGAGGGGACCTGAACCCTAGGTTGGGAACCACAGGACTAAACTACCAAACTGTTAGTGTTAATAAACTTCCACCATGAATCATTAATACATCAACGTCATCCAAAAGTTAGTAATACTTTTTTCTTCAGAATGAGTACTTTTACTGAACTAATTAACTATGTAACAACTATTATTAGCTGTAGTAAGGGAAGATAAAAGAAGAGAAGACAGTAAACTAACACCCAACTTACTCACCAAGTGTCACTGTGCTTGTTTCTGCTGTCACTACGACATCGTTAAACGTGCATCCAGTCCCATGACATCCCTGACAGGGGCTTCCAACATCGCAGCCTCTCCCTCTCACCACAGAGATGCTGGTTTTTGTCATGGAAACAATTAAAAGACCACTACCCTCCCCATTCTGCTCATTTTCAGCTTTGCAAACATCCTCCTCTATACCCAGATCCTCCCTTCCTTCGCTGTCCTGCCCCACTTCATTATCCTCCAAGTCTTCCTCCCTCCTCATCTCCATGCTGAAACTGAGAAGAGTGGACTCCTTGGAGACGGGATGTAAAGTGTCCTCTGCTGGGGAGGGTTGCTCAGTGTGTGGCTTCATCCTGCCAGCCTTGTGCACAGTCTACGGACCAAAAGCAAGGGTGAGGTGGGGGAGTGTGGCAGAGAATGTGGTCAGATTGAGGGTTGACTCTGCCTATTTGTGTCTGACACACTAAAAGGCTACCTAAATGTGCATAGACAATGCAATCTGGTGTCATGTTGACCTATTTCCAGCACAATATTATATATATATATAATAGCTTTATCTCCATTCATCTCAATTATAAACAAAATAAAAACAGGCACATCTCTTGTGAAAAGAGACTCAACATGCAGTATTTTTGCAAATGAATTCAGTCAACCACACATGTATAACCTGTTTAGGGAAAGCGACTTATAAGATAACAATGTAACATTTTTATAGATTTTTCTCTAAATAATAATGAGGACTTGTTTTATGCAACAATACGTCCTGGAAATGAACTCACCAGCATTGGATTACCCTTAGCTAACATTTCTGCCAACTCCTCAGGTGTCAGATCCTGCAGGTCCACGCCGTTTATCTGCATCAGTTTGTCTCCCCTCCTGAGAAAAAATAGTAATGAGTACTGTATGCATAATATGCTATGTTATACACACTATTATTATTATTATTATTCAGCTGTACATGTTGTGCCACCTTATCCTGTATATAATTTTCAAATTAAAATGTGTCAACAACCCAGAGGGGACAAAGCAACTCAAATGCAGAAAAATAGGAAACTCTGTTACACTAGCATCACTCAGTTTGTTGTGTCTCTTTAATATTCAATAAACGGTCTGACCATTTACCTTCTAGAAGAGAGCTGCAGAGCATGGATTAAAATCCATTATTACAACGTTTCAATCTTTATATCAATGGAACTGGTGGTCTTGACCAAGGCTTTCTTTAAATAATTAATGCTGTTGTTCTTAAAACACCCTGTACAGTATCTTGTTGTCATGGTTTTTACCTGTACTGGAAAAGCACTGCACCTGTCTGTGCTTGAAAATTACCACACAAATAAAATGATTCTTATTCTGGTTTATATTCTTGTAATATATATGAATACGGTTTTCTGAAAAATTAGATAAAAAAATATTTTGTTACATTGGCCTGTGTGTCAGTGTCTGACTCATACCTGACAAACAGTTTTTCTCCACTCGCTTTTTTGTACTTCACCACATTTTCCACTTTATACTGGTGCTTTCCTTCGTGGAACTGGTGGAGGATCAGCACGCCTCCCTTGACCGTAGAGTCCTGACATATAGAAATAAATAAACAAACTTTCTCTTAACTGAACATCAACCAATATACACAACCATATCTTTTAAATGTGTATCTCACATACGGTGACATTCAGTGTTAAAGACAGATTTTGTCACCCACCTTCAGATCCATGGTGTCGACAGTGTTCGCAGCTGATAATGCCAAAGAATAAAGCCAACACCAGGTATGTAGCACTCTTTTAAAGCCCTCATGTGTTAGTGCTTCTGCTTTGCATGAACAGAAGGGGAAGTAGGAATGAAGGGTCACTGAGACAGTCATGGATGAGGAACTGATGTCAGAAGAGGAAGTTAATGAACATTAGTAAATCTTAAATAAAATGGGGACATACTGTACAATATGGGTTTGTCAGAAAACAGAACTTGCGACAAATATGGAAGAACAAGAGAATTCATTAATAAAAGCATTTTATGTTATTGTTCATTTAACTGAACATACAGTAACTCAAAACATTAACATCTCATATGAAACACCGTTTTCTTTTTTTCTGGATGTTCACTTCCTTAATCTTCAACAATGCCAATAAATTGAGCAGACACAGAATCTTTAACAGGGAGAAGAGGAAATGACAGCCATCCATTTTATAGTATCTCACATTAGACATGGGAACTACTGAAAGCACATTACTTCCTCTGTGACAGTAAGAAAGTAAACAATATACATTTGTACTATGTGTGGTTCTACAATTCACTATCCCACAAGAAACGGAAGGGATCCAGATAGAGTTCTGCATAAACGGTAACGGTCACTTTGGATTCACAATATGTCTATGTCTATTATTAGGTAGTATGATATCACTAATGGTATTTTATCAAAAGGTAAATACAGTAAACAATGCTTGTACATTGTGCCTTTTTATGAATGCAACTGTCCAGTATCTAAAATGTTGTACCATGTGTGGTATTGTACAGTGGTGATTGAGCAGACATATGCACTGGTTCATTTGTATGTAGAAATCCTAGATATGTATAAAAATACATTTAGTCTGAAAGCTTTGGAAATACCAAGAGGAATTTTTTGGTAGAACATTTTAATGGTGCCCAGTGCAGCTTTCTTGTACACAAACAAAGTTATGTTTACATTTATTGTTTCTCAATAAAACACATTATGTACATCACTGAGGCCAAACAAATGAGTTGAGTGCATTTACCTTCTCTTAAAACATTCACTACAACGTTTTTTGAACTAGTGTTTACATCCATGTTTGTTTGTAGACGTATTCTTCGTCTTCCTTTATTGGCAATCAGTAGAATAGCATGAAACTAAAGTCAGGATATGAATCATGCTGCCTGACTGCACGACATAAAACAAAACAGCGACCACATTCACAAAAACATGGCACCATAGCATTACTAAAGGCAAAAAAAACTACAGCCAGCATCTGGTTAGCTTAGCTAAGCATAAAGACAGTAAACAGGAGAAACAAAGGTCTGTCCAAAGGTTAAAAAAAATCCACCTACCAGTCTCTCTAAAACTCACTAATTAACATCTTATATCTCAATTGTTTAATGCACCCACAAACTGACTGAGACTTTTACCTGATTAAAAGAAGAGAAAAAAAGAAAATATGTTAAATGTTAAAAATATCTGCTGGTGCAACGCCAACTGTTTTCATACTGGGATGAGTTGTGTTACTAAATTTATACAAACACACACACTGTACACTGAAGCTATTTCCAGCTTTCCCTGTCGAGCCAGTGAAGTCCAGCTAAATCTGTACGCGCTGAGGTGGATTGAGTTACAAGAGAGGATCACACCACTGTCGCAAAACATCTCAGGTCATCAGTCACACACAGCAGTATGCAAGAGATGAGATACAGACCACGTTTCCACCGTCTCAGAAGCTGGCATAAGTTGACAATCCAAACTCAACCAGGTACTGTGATGTCCTGACCATACTGGATATAAATGAAATGCATGACGTGTGTTTTTCTTTTTAGTTTTTTTTTTTTTTTTAGCTGTAACAGAGTTTCAGAAACAACTCATAAAGACTCTATAGCTTTGGCTATGTGTATTGTAAATAATGTATTAAAGAAGAAAAACTAGAAAGTCTGTGATTATCTGAAGCACATTAGAATAAAAACTTTGATGTTCTTTGCTCAACGTGAATAGAAATTCAATAAAACTATTTTATGTGTTTTATTGATTATTGTGGTATTCCCTATGAAGTACTGTAAACATGTTTGAATTGTTTGCATGTGAGATTTAAAATGAATACTATACTGAACAATATCTACCTATCTATGAAAGTAAACCACCATGGAGTGAAAGGGACATGTTGCAGCTTAAGGAACGACCTCTGATTACAAATCAGGCTTTGAAAGTATTACTCACCTTCCCATGCTTCTTTTTAACTGTATGAGCTGTGACACAGTCCTGTATTGTCTCTCTCTCTGTGTGTGTGTGTGTGTGTGTGTGTGTTTCAGATGGTGATACTCGATGTGTTAATAATAGGGGGTGGCCCTCATGCCTTGACTCTGGCTAGCTTGTTATCCAACCCTGATCCAAACTCAGACCCTGGGCATGATTTACCCCTCTCCCCCTCTTGCCTGGACTCTCACAGGCCTCAGCCAGAGACATCCAGCAACAAACGCTGCAGTGGCAAGAAGAAGAAGAAGAGGGCAACAGCTGGTACCATATGTTTGACTTTACCTACTAAATCATAATTATGAGATACAATTTCATAGTTTTGACATCCTCTCATAAGTCATAAGTCTGAATTAAAATGTACTCAAATTGTCATTTTAAAGTCATAACCTAAACAGAAAAAATTATTATTATTACTGTTTAGTAAGACATTATTATGAATTGCCTTTGGTTACTTCTATCATTTATTCTATTTGAATTGCAGAACAACTCTGAGATATGGGATGTGTGATTCAGAGGTCTGGGACCAGGCTACCTTAGTTTGTTTACAAAACAAAACACTAAATGAATGAATGTTCTTTTGTCATTGTTACAACTTCGGACGTACTATAATCAAACAATCAAACTGACTTTTGCTTCCTGTGTGGCCTTATAATTCATTTCCTTATTGGTTTGTGATTAGTCTCTGCAGGCGTGACACTGGAGGAGCAACTAGCGAAATCAATAATATCAGAGAGAGCCGTTTGCCCCCGGCTGAGTCTCCGAGTGGTAGATTCCTATGGAGAGTGGACCACTCTGTGGGAGAGCCAGTTCACAGCTCTGAACATCCGTCATCTGCGCTCACACACACTGGTGCACACAGACCCTCTCAATAAGGTATAAACACAAACACACAGTTCCCCTAGTAGAAATGAGGAAGGTGCCTTTACAGTATGATTAATGAATTGTGAATGTAAATAAGCACATGTGTGTGTTTTGTCCTCGACAGAAAGCATTGCAGGAGTTTGTTTTAAAGTATGATCGTTCGGCGGAGCTTCACAGTCTTCCAGACCAGGTTTACATTCTGGATGAAAACGCATTTTTTAATGACATGAGGCTCGGCAAGAAGGAGAGGAAACGTCTAAATATCACCTCAACACTCAGGAAAAGTTTAGCCTTCAGTCTGCCAGGAACCAAACTAAGTGTGGATTTCTTTAAAGATCAGGTTGGACAAAAATGTGTGTGTGTGTGTGTGTGTGTGTGTGTGTGTGTGTGTGTGTGTGTGTGTGTGTGTGTGTGTGTGTGTGTGTGTGTGTTTAACAGATGTTATACTCTATGATAGGTATAGGTCTATGATTACTATTGTTTGTAACATTTTAATTGCTCTCGCCAACGTCACATTCATAGTTTTACCGAAGCATGCAACACTGTATCAAAGTAACCTATATTGTGGTTTGAATTTAGCTTTTGCTTGGAGTTTTGTAACTAACTTTGAGGTAAAATATTTACAATTATAGTAAGAACAGAATCATACAGTATAATTACAAGCTTGTATTAAACAACATTAAACAATACTATGCCCTAAAATGTGACAATGAAACTTCATGTTTGTGACTCACTTTTAATGATTTATGTCTTCACAAAGGTGTATTGTTGGTCTAGATTGCAAAATATGGAATAATGTCAAAGTTACCCATATAAATCTGAGTATTGGTATTTTCTGAGTTAATGAGTTGATGAATCTGAACATGCAGGTGGAGAGATACAACTTGGACAAAGTGCTGGTGAAGGGAACTGTGGAGTACATCAGGCCTGTGATTGAGCATAAGGAAGAGATGCAAGAAGAGAATCACCGCATAAAGGAGCGTGAAACAGAGGATGAGGCCATTAGAGTGACTGAGAAGAAGAAAGATGGGTCAAGAAAGACAGTGAAATATTTTCAAGTCCAACTTCAAGAAGGCACCATCTTAAAAGCCCGCCATGTTGTTATGGCAACAGGTCCAACCCGTGCCCAGATGGCAAACATCCCATCGTGGGTGAAAAGTATCGGAGAGAGCTACCCGGAGGAGCGTTTGCAGCACACAGTGCACCTCATGCACCACCTGCCAAATGCAAGGCAAAAACTTAAAGACACAGATTGTCAGAGACAGAAAGACACTTTTTCCACTCAAGGTGAGTCAGATTTATTCATTTTTCTACAGAAAAGCTTTGTAGGAAACTTGTGTTTTGTCCTGGATTTCCATAATATTCAATAATATTTTGCTTTTATCTGAGGTTTCCGTGCTTCTGCAGACTTCAGTGGATAGCTGATCCACCATCCTCACTGCAACACCTTCCTTTACAATTACTGTATGCCTATGTGTGTCTAGAACTGTGTGTAGTGTGTGAGGCAGGGCAGAGAGTAATGGTAGTTGGTGGAGGTCTGACCAGCGCTCATGTCGTCTCAATTGCCCTGCAGCAAGGTGCCAGCCATGTGACATGGGTCATGAGGAAGCACCTGCAGGTCTCTTGACAGTGTGAAACTGCATGTAGACCAATTATAAATAATTACTGTAGAATCACCTGTCTCCCTCCAACACACATCCTCTTTATTGTTTCTTTTACAGTTAAAACAGTTTGATGTGGGTGATGTGGAGAGCCTGGTGGGTCGTTACTCCCATGTGGAGCATGGCATCAAAATGGACGGCCAAGCCTACCTGCGACAGTTCTATAATGAACGGAGTCTTCACAAACGTCTAGCTATGATTCGCCAGGCAAGGAAAGGAGGCGCCATCACCCCAGAGGCCTACATCCAACTACAGCCCTTCATCCTGAATGGACAGGTGGACCTGAAGACATACTGTCAGGTAGGCATGGGATGATCTTTCATGTCACAATTATCTTGTTCAAAATAATATTATCATGATTATCATGAAATTATACATCTTACTTTAAAATGTATGTTATTCAAACTAAATTAGGAAATCGATATAGGACTGTATGTTGGTGAGCTAGACAGCTTCTTCAAGTCAAGCCATGTGAGAATATCCACAATTATTACGATAATGGAAATTCACCACTATAAATGTATCACGATACGCAATGATATCGGATATCGTCCCATCACTTCTGTCAGGTACATGGGCCCCCCACAGGGTATAAGGTTGAGGATGTAGTGAATGAGGTGAGATAAAGTCAGATGAGGTGAGGTAATGACATAATGTAATGTGAGGTATGTGGTGAAGTTTTTATCTGAGTCTCATGCAACTGTCCAGGTGAGTGAAACTAGCTGGTGCTACAGGAGCCAGGCCTGGAGTTTGTCGCTCAGCACTGGGGACCACTGGACTGGAGACATGATCTGGCTCGCCACCGGCTGCAAACTTGATGTCAAACAGGACCCGTTGCTCTCTGAGGTGATGAAGGAATTCCCTATTCAGGTGGGTTAAACATTGAAAAGGTTTTTACGCTACTTAGGTGAGTATAGAAGTGTGGAAAGGGGAACAAAGGAAAAACCTTTGGTTGGTTTTAATCCATTATCACTTGAAGCATGGTGAGATAAAATCAATGTATTAATTTGTGCTCTATTTTCATGATGCAACCTGAACAAAGAAATACTAATAGATCCATAAAATGTGACCGGCTGTCCCTCCTTGAAGGTGATCGATGGCTGGCCGTGCATATCAGAAAGCTTACAGTGGTCAGAAGAGTGCCCACTCTACCTGATGGGGCAGTACACCGCTCTTCAGGTCGGTCTTCTATATAATGTTTTGGTGTGCAAAAAAAAGGTCTCAGAAACAACCTGTGCAATTATTTTAAAGACTACGTTTCCCCTGTCTTTTTTCCCCACACAGGTTGGACCTCATGCAGTAAACCTGGCTGGCGGACAGGCTGCTAGTATGCGAATCGCTAAGGACATCATGCGGCATCAGAAACAGGACAATGCAGAGGCTTCTGAGCTGAGTGGGGAGAAATCTAAAACTGAAGAATATATTAAACAGATGCAGGGCCTGTTATGGCTTTAACGTTAGCATTTATCCTGAAGACTTCAAACGCATGTATGTAAGAAGTTGTCTATTCTTGATGGTGATGGGCCTGTGTGGCCTTGATTAAACAGGTTACATAAGAATGCTGTGAAACTTCCTGTTTACAACAATTCTATTTCAAATAAACAAATATTAATCCTTGAGGGTAACATTAATTGTTCACAAAGATTGAATGACATGGCTTGGAAGGAAAAGCTGTATGATTAGTGATCTGATAAGTTTTACATCAGTGTTTTCCAAATTAGTCTCTTTGCCAGCCAATTGAGCCCCATTGTGAACCCAGAAATGTTGAGTACTCAATCAAGGGTCAAGGCAGTGATACTTTTAATTAAGGTCCGTGGGCCAGATACTTTGATCTGCTGTGCCGGGTGGCATGCTGACCACTGTTCAATGTCCCATGGCTGTTTGGACTTTGGAAGTTATATATTAGCCTGTTAGGATATTAATGATTTTCTTCTTGGCAAAAATGACTGAGGACAGCAAAAATCTAAAGGTTAACAATAATGACAGAAACAGATGTATTTGCCTGTATTTTTCTGCTTCATACCAATCCTAAACCACTGTGTTTAATCCTCCAAATGAAAATTGCTGTATGCACAGTTGGTAATATCAGGGGTCAAAACATACTAGCTGCAGTGCAATATTACAGCGTATTAGACTTTAAAGTCGTCTTATTTTGCCACATCAACAATCCTAATGTTCATTGGTGTTATCTGATAACTGTTATTAATGTTAAATAACTGGCCCCTGGCCTCCTTTAATTTTGCAAAAGTGGCTCCCTGGACAAAGTTGAGTACCCCTGGTCTAAGGATTGAGGGTTTGTAGCTCTTGTTATTCAAACTTTGAAAACAAATCTGTGATTCTGGGCTTTAAAAATAAAATTAATCTGAGTTGACTGAAGCCCTGTGCAAATGGTGGAGGTAATCTCTGGCCACACTTGGATCACTGATTGTCTGATTAAATTTACGGTGTCCAAACTAATTTCTATGCTACTGATGCTCGATTATGTCCAGCCACTTACCTTTCATACAGTGGAAATACTTTAAGCCACGCCCCCTGCCTGACTTCCGGATCGTAACCTTACCTGAGGTTGTGAAGAGGGCTGTAGTCACAACAATAAACTGGCGGTCTGTCTAATGTGGCTATAAAGTCACAGTTAAAACAGTAAAAACAACCAGAATAGAGTCGGAACTTGTTGTCTTCTGCTTTCAGGTAGGTGGGTGTGTGTTACGTTGGTAGTGTGTTAAACACTGATGAAAGCGCTGTTCCTGCCAGGTGCAACAGGTAGGCTTGTTCCTCCAGGTGAAGTAACAGGCTACGCTTTGTGTATGCGCAAGGTAATAAAAAGGCATTTGTGTTAAATAGCAGATCAGCACTAACGATATCATAAGGTTGAGCAGATCTAACAGATCTGAGATCGGAGCATTCAAACAAGTAAAATAATTTATTCCTGCACGATAGATCAGGGAGCATTCAGGAGATGTTAAGACGTCATTATGAAAGTGAATGAAATGTATGAATATAGCGAGAAGGGGTGAGCGACCGTCAGCATCAGCAGCAGTGCTGAGATCAGCTGATGATCAGCTGACCGCTCAGCTGACACAGTCGCAGCTGATCGCTGCTGTCAGATATTTTTGTCTATTTCTACTGTCGTAGTGGAATTTGGGCAGCTATGACCCTGCAATTTATCAAAAAGAGAAAAAAAACCTTTTGAAAACTGGGAAAACCCTGTGATTGCGTGACTTTTCCGGTTATTTTGTCATATGTTACTTTGCAGTATTTTCTTTTGAAATGTCCCTCTAACAGATTTCTCCTCCCCAGTCCAGTTTTGGGATTTGTACAAGATACTTTTATTAATAAACAATTAAAACACGACCAACACACACATAACTATGAATACGATAAAGTTTAGCGTTGAGAGCACTATCTTAAGAAATAGTAAAGAGAAAGGCCTTTAAACGTGTTATGTAACTGGGCTCTGATGCAGTTTGTTTTGCAGGTCCAGGGTGTTTCCCTGCCTTTCACCAACTGCATGCTGGGAAACTGTGGCTTCCACTGAATAACAATAAGTGAGGGGAGAAATGGATGGATAGATTGACATTTAATATGATGTATGAAGCTATGATAAGACTGTAACAGTGATAAACAGCTTAACAAATATAAGTTTATCTCACTGTTTATGACCCACAGCGGATCACATTATTACTGTAATTCTGCTCTGTATCACAATTTTGTTGAAGTGTTTCAATGGCTATTTCAAGATGTCACATAAATTGTTGCTTTTTTTTGGTTTAATCCTAAAGAAGGAATAAAGAGGAGAGAAGGAAGAGAAGATGGTTTTTCTGCCTCAAAACAAACCATTTTATCGTGTCCATAGATGTTTTTTATTGTCATGATCATTAATAATCATTAAGGAATGTTTTGTGTTTTCTCAGCACAATGAATGTGAGGAGAGTGGAAAGGACAGTTCTGAGTGTGGAGCAGTCGGAGGGAGTTGGTGCTCGTGTCCGCAGGAGCATTGGTAGAAAGGAGGTAAGTTCCTCAATGTGTTAATGTAGTCCAAACTGTCAACCCTTTTAATGAAAGCTCTGTCAAAAAACTGTACATATTTTATTTCTAGCTGAGAAACCTGGATCCTTTCCTGATGTTGGATGAGTTTAAAGTGAGCAAGCCGGCAGGTTTTCCAGACCATCCTCACAGAGGATTTGAGACGGTAAGCATTTTAGGAATTCCAAAGTGTTTAGTGTGGCAGTATTCTGATAAACTGGCATTGACAGTCACTTTTGACTGTCCACCCCTCACCGACATTAATAAAGACAAAACGAGCAATTTGATGACATTCCCTCGGTCTTTAGAAAATTGTGATGTTTATTTTCCACTTTTCTAGGACACTTAATAGGCCGAGTGATTAATCAAGACAGTAATTCCACAGATCTTCAATTATGACAACAATCACTTTTTTAGCCCTTCTTATTACAACTATCTTTTCTGAATACTCTTTGTAAAATAATATCTTTCATCTTAAGCTACTGATGGATAAAATTCAAACATAATTCCAAACAAAAAAATCTGTATGCTTTCAACCTTATTTTTCAGAACTCAGGGCAAAGAAGAATCTAACTCATTTTCTAACAGATTTGCATAACAGTGAAATGATATGATTTGTAAACAGCATGCAACACCCTCCCTCCTACTGACACTATTGAACTGGTACAACTCCTTTAACCAAAGAACTAAAATTGGAAATTCCTACTTTTATCACTAGATGGCGACAACAGGACAGTGTCCAGAAAGTAAGCGACAGTGCCACTTTGACTTCAATAAAAGATGATGTAGGTTAAAATTTCAAAAATCATACAGAAAGCCAGCAATATCAGAGATAGTCTATAATATCTGCTGGTACCGTTAAAGTTTGCATGTTTAGTTTAGTCCAGAAAGCTTTGAGTTAAAGATTAATGATGACAACTCACATTAAATTCCCCTATTTTGAAATAGAGGAATTACCCTGGCTCCTGGTGTGTTTTTTGTGGAACCATCCTTGTGGTTTTTTTTGTTCTTAAGAAAGTGAAATTAATGTATAATGTCTCCACCAAAGAAAGTATTCCTTAACCATTGTTTGTGACCTACTGACATGTTGACCAGTTTATTGAAAACTAAGAGATCAAATGCACATGCAAAACAAAACTTGAGACCATTTTGCAATGGGATCACTCCAGCCACAATGCCTGTCAACATGTTGATGTTCCAAGCCATGAGTCCTTAGTACATGAGTACTTGTGGGTCATACCATAGCCATCATCAAACTTGGCCTTCATTTTGATCTCAACTACTCATTTGTACAGACAGACAGACAGACAGACAGACAGACAGCCACAAACATCTGCCAAAGTACTAAAAATCACCTCAGAGGTGGTTCCCCTGTCTCCAGAAACACATTTTGCCATGATGATACAGACTGATAAGGTGAAAAATGAAAAATACCCTTCTTTTAAATACAGTATTTGACTGATTTTCAGCCCACAAACCAACACAAACTCTTCCCACATGATGAACATTTGCTTTTGCTTTTTCATGCCTTTGGATGTGGCCTCAGTGTTTACTCACATATTTAAAACTTTCACATTTAGTACAGTTCAGAACCCACAGCTTCCCCTCTGTGTTTATTTCATTTCCCACCTTTCCTTCCCTGCATTTTGTCATTTATTTGCTGTCATTATTTAATCTCTGACTTAGGAGTATTGTTAAAAATGAGTAATCAGTTATCTAATTAACGGACCAGTAATTGATGACAATTTCGGTATTTGAAAAAAGGTTTCTTGTGTAAAAATTTTTACTCATACAGTGTCTAAATGTTAGATTTTTTGGGGGCTGTTTGTCAGACATCATTTTGGGTTGTGGTGTAATGGGAATTTTCCATAACTGTTGCATTTTACAGACTGATTGGATGAAAAAAAAGTCAAAGTATCATTGAGCAAGATACTCAGCCCCAAATTGCTCCCGATGCTGTGCATCGGTGTGCGAATGCATTAGTTTCTGTTCGATGGTCTTTGCCGTAAATGTGGCACGTAGTGTAAAAGCACTTTGAGTGGTCAGAAGACTAGAAAGGAAGAAATACAAGTACAGGTCCATTTACCATTTGCAGCAAAAATGCTCCGATAAGCCCCTCTCAGCAGGTGGGAAATCCGTTTTGGTCTTCTGTTCGCTTCACCTTGCCAGGGGCTTGCTTTAATAGAAAGACCCTATTATTGGGCCATCTGGATCGCTCACCTGGTAGAGCTCGTGCCCATGTACCAAGGCTGAGTCCTTACTGCAGCGAACCCGACCTGTGGCCCTTTGCTGTCAACCCCCCCCAAAAAAAACCAAAAAAAAACAAAAACAAAAACAAAAGAAAGACCCCACTGAGGTAACTTGACTCCACATGAATGATGTCGTTCAGCTGTTTCCTAACACATTAGTCACTACTTTATGAGGTGATAATATGTCAGTGCTTTTTTTATATATGGTATATATATTTTGGGGGCTTTTATTGCTTTTAATCTTTAGCGACAGCTTTAGAGCTACAGGAAAGGGGGGAAAGAAAGAGTGGAAGAGACGCAGCAAAGGGCCACAGGTCAGAGTTAAATTCATGTCCACTACAGCAGGGACTCAGGTGAGCTACCAGGGCACCCTGTCAGTGTGCTTTTTACAGCTTGTTACTCTTCTCCAGAGTGGCCAAATCAATTAATGCTGCTTTTAGTAATGGGAAACTACATTTGAGTATGGTTTGGAATGTGAACAGCTGTAGTTTGCTTAATTTTTTTACCGTAATTAAATTCACCACAAGCGTTTCACGTTTTTTTACTTAAATCTTTTCAGACTTAAATCTGTACTGTGGTATTAGTAGTACTACTACAGCCACATTGATGAATTTATGTAATGCAACAGGTTGGATTTATTTATTTATTTTAAATCAAACTTAACAAACCCAGATAATGTCCTTAGATTTCCAGACGTTCCTCCAAGCGTATTTGATTTGGCAGATACAACTTAAATCTCCCAGTGTGGGTGGACAGGACTAGGCTATACTCCCAGCATGCCTTTCAGCAGGTGTGTTTGCTCACACTCACATGACTTTTGAAATCACACAGCTGTGGAGACAGATCACAGGCAGCTCACCGCAGGGGCCCGCACTTTCCTCCCATAGACAGATGTTCACCTTTGAACCAGTGACCCCATAATCAACACTTCTCTTCCTGTCCAGTCTGACCACTGGGGTGCTGAAACAAGCACACACGTGCTTTTAGTGTTGAAGCAGCCCATGTCTGAAAGCCTGAGTTGAAGTAACCTGGAACATTAGGCTGTATTGTGGAAAAAGGTTCATTAGCTATTTCTTTACATATGTTTTTCTTTATATATATATATTATCAAGGCATCTGTATGTATTATTCACAAAATACCTGTTTATGCAACATATGTCTTTGCTCATACAGGTAACATATGTTTTAGAAGGGATCACAGCCCACGAAGACTTCTGTGGCCATTCAGGACGACTGAAACCTGGAGATCTGCAAGTACTGGATAATTATATATAGTTCATTTTTTATGATATTTTTAAAGGAATAATTTTACATTTTGGGAATTACACTGTTTTGGTCTCTTGTGAGTTAGATGAAAAGATTGATACCATTTGTACGGTAAATACACTGACCAACCATAACATGGCACCTGTCAGTGGGTGGGATATTTTAGTCAGCAAGTGAACATTTTGTCTTCAAGTTGACGTGTTAGAAGCAAGAAAAATGGGCAGTGTCAGGATTTGAGCCACTTTGACAAGGGCCAAATTGTGATGGCTAGACAACTGGGTCAGAGCATCTCCAAACCTGCAGCTCTTGTGGGGTGTTCCCGGTCTGCAGTGGTCAGTACCTATCAAAACTCGTTCAAGGAAGTAAAAGCATACAGGGTCATGGGTGGCCAAGGCTCTTTGATGCCCATGGGGAGTGAAGGCTGGCCCATGTGGTCCGATCCAACAGACGAGCTACTGAAGCTCAAACTGCTGAAAAAGTGAATGCTGCATAGAAAGGTGTCAGAACCCACAGTGCATCGTAGTTTGTTGCGTATTGGGCTGTATAGCTGCAGACGAGTCAGGGTGATGTAATATCTTGTTTGTGTAAAGTGTAACACATTTTATTTTTACATGAGCTTTTTACGCAGGGTTATATGCTGCACTATTTACTTTGGGATAGAGCCACGTTAGCTGTTTTCAACCTTAATTCTAAGCTAAGGTAACCAGATGTAAGCTGTAGCTTCACAGGCATGATAATAGGGTACTGATTGCTTAACAACCTCACAGTGACGACAAGACTCCTGGAAGTTACTGTGCCAGATGAAGAAATAGTCCATCCCATAAAATAAAAAATAAAAAAAAGTTAATCCACAACAGGTTATTTTTACTCATTTGTTTTTATACAAATTAAGTAAAATGAGATATAAAATGGGAATTAATGAGCTTTAGAGATGATGGTAGTTGGATTTTATTACATTTGGACAGACTAGCTGTTTTTCCCTGTTTCCAGTCTTTGTGCTAGGTTAGGCTAACCAGATGCTGACTGTAACTTCTGGACAAACATAAAAGAGTTATCGATCTTCTCATCTAACTCAAGAGAGCAAATAAGCGTATTTCCCAAACAGTTAATTCAACTTCTCTACGAATAAAATAGCTGCTATCAAGATGTTATATTTTCTGTTCCTTCACACATTAAATACGTGTCATCTAACAGTGTCATCATTGTTATCTAAAAGTCCAGTCCTCTAATAGTAAATGTGATAGATTTTAAGTAATTCATTAACATGAACCAGCAGCATTCAGTCCATTCAGTCCGTAAATGAAAGAGCAGAACAAAATGTAAGCCTATTGGCATGCAAATCCCCATAAACTCATTACATATGCATTATAATGTTGTACACTCACGCTAATTGGATATCATGCCCTTCGGGTTGTTTCCTGTGTTTTTAAAGTAGTAAAGTTACATTCACACACACACACACACACACACACACACACACACACACACACACACACACACACACACACACACAGTTGCTGACTCAGCTTCAAGAAGTTCAGTCAGTTCAGCTAAATTTGCTCTCACCCATTATGTGCACCCTCTGTAGGCTCGGACATAATGTCTTAAAATGTTTTCAAATCACAGACAAAAAGTGTAGTTGAAAGATACTAACTTGTAACTTAAATAGTTACCCATATTGTTTTAAATAAATTATGGTCTTTTCTGCACAAAGTCAATCTTTATCAGGACTTTATATACCCAAACTGGCAGCCTATTAGAAGTTAGACTGCATATTATTATAATTAATGATATTAAATTTAATTTGATCCTTCAAACACAGTACAGATCTGTTCTCTGGATTTGTAGTTATTCAGCATGTTTTGTTATCCAGTAGATCGTGACAGTAAATACTCAGATCACAGCAATAAAAGAAACCAAACAACACAATGAACAGTCACAGATCAGTGGCCAGCTTCATTAAAGCAAAGCTTGAGAATGGGAATTTACAGCTGACCTATATTAGAAGCAGAAGCTGTTAAACCAAACTTCATTTCATCCAGTGATTTCACATCTGAACCCAGCTCCATATTTTGGAATGTATTTATGATATTTTTATATTCAGGAGCCTATCAGAAGAATCTATCTATATTTTTACTGAAAATCACATAATAGTAGTAGTGATCTTACATTCTGTGTAATACTGTTTGTCAACATTTGTCAAAAGATAACAAGTTTGTGTAATGTCTTTATCCTATGGTTCATGTGGTTTCCTTGAAATATTAATAGGTGATGACTTATTAATGCATCACTATTCCATGGTCTGAACTAACTGCTAACATCAGCACGCTAATTTGCTCACATTGTGAACATGGTGATGTTTAGCAGGTATAATGATTAACATGTTCACCGTGTGTTAGCATGCTAACATACGTACTAAACACAAGGTGCAACTGAAGCTGGGTTAGGGGGATCACTGAAGTTATTAGACTTCATCCTAAGGTGGACAGATTTCATGGTGATCCATCTAATATAGCTAGATGAAAAGTCTGGGGGTGATTAGGATATATTACAACTGGGAGTTTTGTGTAAATCTAGCTTGAAGATGTGAAGATACTGTAATGGATCCCTGAATAAGTAAGAACCTTGACCTGCTGTGATGAAAAGTCAGGGAATCTCCAAAGTTACAACAATACACGCCTTGAACAACATTTATGTCGGTACAATTCCTAAACTAAACTAAACTAAAGTTATTATTATTTCAGTTGGGACCAAAGTGACCAAAAACTTTTAAAAATCACTCATATGTGTGTATGTTTGAAAATGTGTGTCTTTATTTTATATTTAAAATATCTCCACCAGTGGATGACTGCAGGACGGGGTGTGGTCCATGCTGAGATGCCCATGTCAGAGGAGCCGGTGGTGGGATTACAGCTGTGGGTGAACCTGCCGAGACGAGACAAGATGGTGGAACCAGCGTACCAGGAACTCAAAGGCTCAGAGATCCCCAAACCCAGCCAGGGAGGAGTTACAGTCACTGTGATATCTGGAGAGGCTTTAGGAGCAAAGGTGTGTCTCTGCTTGTGTGTGTGTGCTGTGTGTGTGTTTATAAAAAGTAAAAGGGTTACTGCAGAGCTGAGTAACTGAAATAAGGTGACGAGTAATGTACTTATTATGAGTAATATGAAATGAGTAATTGAATTTCAAGTAACTTCTCTACTAAAGTACTGATTCAACTTCTTTACTCAAGCAAAAGTAAAAGAGTATAAAATTATGAAAGTAAAAAGTACTCTCTTGGTTTATCTGAAGGACATTTCAACCGGCTGTTCAAGTCCTGTGTTACTTCCCACCTCTTAAATAAAGCCATGTATCTGTTGTATTTTAACAGATGATAGTAATTGTGCACAAAATAGGAACAAAGAACTCTAAGAAAATGCAGGCACTTTCATTTCCTATATTTTCCTCACTTTCTCGCCCATGTTTCCTATTTTCAAATCCGAACTGTTGAGAGTTTCTTTTAGGTCAAAAACATGTGACTATGAGTAGGGTGTCAAGCCAGATAACAATATTATGTAGGTAGCAACAGAGAAATGCAGCTTTAACATGATGTTCACAACCCATTTGGAGGAAACAGAAGAGCAGATGGTTCTGAAGTTGTAAACAAATTACTGCCTATGGCACCACTAATTCAAAGTTTGCATGAATATGTTTTCTGTTTTATACAGAATATTTTAAGCTTGTTGCCGTGTGTGTAAGAGAAAGTTTGCATATTGTCTTTCTTTTTTCTTTTCCTATAGTCTAAAGTCTTCACAAGGACACCAACCTTGTACTTGGACTTCAGACTGCAGGCAGGGGCCCTGCATATGCAGCCAGTCCCCTCAGGTAGGAGACATTTATAAATACACCATAGTGTGTCTCTAAATAGTTGGTTGATAACAAAAGATTGGTCTTCATGAATGTTTACACAAAAGCATCTCATGGTTGCTTTGGTGTCTGACTAATCCTCAGCCATCCATTCTTCCTGTTACACAAAGCATTTATGTACTGTGTGTCTTCGCTATGAGACAACCCTGTTTACGTAAAACCTTATTGAATAATGCGCTTTTGAGCGAAGAAACGGAACAATGAGTGATACTAGGGAACATAACATGGAAATAAAAACACTGTGAATAGAATCCGTTTATTTGGGTGAAAAGCAACAAAACAAACGATGACCACAGTGCCCACTGTTCAAAAGCTGTAGAGGATCTCAAACATTTGCATTTTAATGGATCCCTTCAGAAGGATCTGTATACACAAGGCTCACTCTAGGTTTGTGATCAAAGACTGCTTTCTAACCATGGAGGAGTAAGAGAAATGTGGATAAAATGTTCATCAGCAGACATTTACAGTTCTAACAGAAACACCTCAGGGCTTGTAAAGCTTGTAAAGCTGTAGGAGGACAGGACCAAGAGACACTTTCATTTAAATTAGCTGTTTTCCACTGCCCTTAACCTCATTATATATCATGAGTATATCTGTCCCTGTGCAGCCTGCAGTGAGTGCTGAATTTCCAAAGTTGACCAAACCTCAACTTTGTTCTCATCTTTGAAGTTTGGGTAAAAAGCTCATTTGATGTCTAAGTTTAAGGGCCCCCAGTTTCAGAGTGCAGTTCATTTATAAAAATATAAATCCTAAATATGGACAGCGACATGTGCATTTGTTAGGATTACATTACTTCATCAAAAACTAGAGAGTCAAGAGCTTTGCCAAATATCAACAACAACACAAGTATGTCTTGTGTTGTTGCACTTGCAGCTAATCTTACTATTCCAACAGCAAGAAGGGCAGTTTGCCATTTGCCTTTTATTTCACGAAGCTCTCGCCAACAACTAAAAGCCAGTCCCAGATTTACTCTTGTCCGTCTTTAGCTCTTTACAACTTTAGTGTATCAACTTAAAAGGTGATGATATGTCAGTTTTGTCTTCACAACTTGTTTCTGCTGCCCTTCAGTGGCCAAAATCTAGTGCAGGTTCTAGAGCAGAGAACTGTTAGTACACAGATACTAAGAATAATATTTCTGTATTTGACAGGATGGACTACATTCATCTACACACTCTCAGGATCCATTCATGCTGGTGAGTTTCGCCTGGTTAATTTTCTCCTAAAAGTTTATTTTTTTCTGCATGAATACATACCAAACATTACCTGTCTCATATTGTCCGACACTTTGGATTAATATAAGAAGAAGAAATCACTAATAACCAGGATGATACAAACATTCTTGGATATGTGCACTCTTTTCATGGTATTTGATCACTCCCTCACTTTCCTCCCTGTTCTTCCTTCTGCCATATCTAAGTTAGAAATATGTGTGTGATCTCAGTCCAATCACATCTTCCCCCCTACATTCGGCCAGAATGTCCATGTGTTCCTCTTTAAAGCTTGATGGATTCATACTGACACTAAACTATGATCTCTTCAGACTTTAGACCACACCAGTTCAAGCTGAAATTTACCCAACATCACTGGAAAAATTATTGTGCTACTGTATATAAAATATGACCGTGTCAGAGTTTGGCTCCCTATCAGTCCCCTTACCCACATGTTTTAGCTACACCCTTTTGCATAATTGTTGCTTTTTCACATATTATGAAAGGCTGCATGTCCTGCTTATTGGTTGACATTTTGTGATCAAGGAATTCCCCTCGCATGAGAACAAACCCTTTCAAACAGTGGACTCATTGTCAGAGGCTTTCTTGGTTTGTTGTTTTCAGTCAGAATTCCCCTTTTATTGCTCTTTAATAAAATTTCATTCTGATTTGATTACTCTCCATCGTTACACTGCAGGATCTCTCAGACTGGTTGTAATTGCTGGCAGATGTTTTGATGACACGAGAGGATGAAAATGGCTGCTGAGATTAAAGAAGTTATTTGAATCTTAAGTCTCCAACTCTACATGTAGTCTGGCCAAATCCAGACCAGCTGGCTTTGATGAATGCATCAAGTGGAAGTGTCTGGCTTTTTCAGCATTTAGTGTCAGTACTGTACTGTAAGTGTTGCTGCGTGCAAGTGCTAAACCAGGTCAAAATGTCTGAAACATGCAGGTGCCTATATTTCTATTTAACTCAAAGCTGTTTTGTTATCCTATACCTGTGGTATTCTGTAATGATGTGTGAAACAAATGTAATTATTACTACTGACACACACGTCAGCCCATACTCAGCAAGTAAGCTAGTTCTAGGTGAAAAATTAAATAGTAATACCAATGTCTGAACAGGTTTCATTTAATTTTCTTCCCTGTTGCTGTAATTGACTATCAATATGTTTAAGCCTACCAATGTTTGCTTTTTTCTTTTGTTTTCCCCCAGTGAGAAGCTCCTACTCCCAAAAGTCTTAGATTCCCATTTGTTTTCAGAAATACATCAAAAAGAGTTCCAAGACCACAAACCCTAATTAATCATATTAAATAACATGTTCATTATGTGGTTTGTTTCCTAACATGACATAACAGTCCAATTCTACCAGAATTGAATGTGAAGAACTGTCGTAGCCTGACATTTCATGTTCTCTTTCATTTCACCGTCATTAAAATTAACAGTAATAATGGCTGTAATTATCCAGTATTATGAGGCAATATATACGTTTGACTCGTTTTTAGCATGTTTCTGAAAATAATGGTATGGATGGGTTTACACTTTTTTAATGGGAATTAACATCAATATTAAGAGAAGATAAAATCAATAAAATCATAAACAAATTATGGTATTGTGTATTGAGTATTATAGTAGGTGGAGTCCCTTGAAATCATAATGAAGTAGGTTCAGATTTTAACTGAAACAGTATATGCCTAAAATCGTCTAAAATGAAGGACAAAACTGTGAACTTTTTTTTGTTTTCAAGGCCCAGATCAGGAGCAGCAGAAGGTTGAGCCCCATCACACTGTGGTGTTTGGAGATGGAGACTGTGTCAAAGTTCAAAACAAGGTGAGAGACTTAAGTCTCTGTATCAGGACCAGTGGTTCCCAAGCTTTTTCATTTCACACTGTTAGTCATAGCCCCCCTCCCGCCTCTTTTCAAACGCTACGGCATTTTTGATCTTCCCCTTTTCCCTTTTCCTGGCACAGTCCATCTCCTATGGCATATGGTCGACCTAAGTCTCCTCTGCCCTATTTTAGTGATGATATCCTATGTTTCTTCTGTTCCAAGTAATAAATCTTGTTAGGTCAGAAGATGCCACGTGGCATTCTCAGGTATCCATTGTGGTATCCCTGAATACATTTCATATAAGCTTTGGTTTCCTTCCATCTTTCAGAAGGAACTTAAGGTACATTATAGGATGGATTGTTGACAGTATGTATTAGTGGACACAGCTTCTGGGTCTGCAAAGTAAATCCACTGTGGAAGTGCCTTAAACCTGTTTTCTTTCTATTTGCCATCAGTAGGCAACACAACTGGCTCCAAAAAGGAGGTCAGATAATATCTTGTGAAAAAAATGACCCCACTTCTCCCTTGATTTATTACCTCAGTAAAAAGTTTCTTAATGAGTTTATTGCTCAAGTCTTCTTCCATACAGCATGATGTTCATTTAGTACATTATGGTCCCATTCAGAGTGAAATAGACATTTTTTTTATTTTATGCATATAACAAGTATGCTATTAACAAGTCATTTTAATCCAGCTGTGGCTGCTATTTTGTTTTGATTTTCTTTCTTCAGTCATCTTGTGACTCCACAGATTTTTCTTGGTACCTGTTGGGAGGCCCAGATCTGAAGGCTGGGAACCACTTAATCAAAAAAATACAAATGAAAGGCTGTTGTAGTCAGTCCATTTCACACACAAAGATGAAGAGCACTCCCTCTGTTTTCCTCCTCAGGGTTCTGAAGTTTCCCATTTTGTGCTGATCGCTGGAGAACCAATCAAAGAGCCTGTGGTACAACAAGGTACGTTATTTGCCTTGTTGCAAAGTTATATGCAACTGCCAATATGCAGCAAGTCACTGAACAAAGCAAATGCTGCTCAAAAACAGAACTTAATCAATACTTGTAATGAAAAATACTTTCCTATGTTGTGTCTGTCCTTCAGGTCCCTTTGTAATGACAACAGAAGAAGAGATCAGGCAGGCTATCAGGGACTACCAGACCGGCAGAAATGGCTTTGAAAGGGCTGTAAACTGGAGGTCCAAGATCAGAGACTCTTTCTGAACGCTTAAGTTTGCACTCATGGCCCTGGTGAAATTATTTGCCATAGTTGTTTGCTGCTATAGGAGCACATTTATAGAGATATGTATTTTGTCTAAAAATGGCAAAAGTATGATGTTTTTTAGTGTATGTGCTGTATGTGTTTACAGGACATTTAGTTCTTTTCATCATCTATTTGAACTTTTTACGTAGTGCTTAGTGTGGGAGTGGACAACATGCCCCAATGTTAGTAGTGTAGTAGTTTACCCCTTTCTTGTAAAATATAGATTTTTATGGAAAATGCTCCTAACTGCTGTCCACGCCCCTTGTTAAATGTAAGGTTTATTACATTTTCCTTCTGCTGTTTGAAATAACAGTGTAGCAGAGTTGTTATGACTTTTATGTTTGACATTTTTTAATGTATGCAAGTTGTTTTGCACACATTGTTGTTATGAAGATTATTTATCATCATATGAGTAGGTATAAAGGTTTTACAAATGATTTGATGTTTGACACATTTATGTGACATGGAATTTGCTAAAGAGACATTAACCTAATTTATCTGGCTGCTGTAAAACAAAAGGAATCAAGCTGCTTGATATCACCTGACCTCTATAACCAAAAAAATCTTTACAGACCACATAAGTATTGTTGTTGTTATTTCATAAATATTATGAGCAGATAATGCCCAAACTGCTGTTCCTCATTTGCATACACATTATGAATATTGTTCTGATATTTCCTCCATTATGTATGTTCCTGGCCGATTACATCCTGAGTCAAATGGGCCTGGATGGGCGAGTGGGTGGGGTATTGGCGGGACAGGGGTGGTGCCGGCATCCCATTTCCCCTCACATGTTGCAGAGGTCTGGATCACATTTAAAACACATGTTACGGCTCTACGGCTGTGTCCAGAGGAAAAGACACTGATAGGGGATTTAACAGGCAGGGGACTTGATCACTTGACAAACAGACATTAAAAAAGGAAGACGGGAACACACAAGCAAATAAAAAGGCGAGCTTTGAGGCAGCACGACCAGCAGCAGTGGGAGAGACATAAGGGCAGACACCAAAACTTCTCATTTCTTCTCAGCACTCTTTTTCAGAGTTAGCACACATCTTCTAGGAAGGAATTGTGTGGCTACTCTTGCACCTCAGGGCCTTTTTATACGGACTAACCACAGTAGGATCTGGAGACAGGGGAAGTTTAACATATTTTGATATTGTAAGCACTGAAATTAGCAGTTAAAAGAAGCCAGAAGTCAGCCAGTCAGGAAGTGGGAAAATAAAGAAAAAAAGCATTTGAACACAGAGGATTTTTTTTAGATAATCTAGCTAGGGCCCTGAAATATCTCACAGGCCTTCAATCCATTTGGACAAAAGAGAGCGTGCTGATGAGACGTCTTCAAGGGGAGCTTGACTTTCATTTTTTCTAAGGTAATTTTCAGCTTCTAACTTCTAGTAGCCTCAGTATTTAACTGGACACCTCAGGTTCTGCATCAAAGACTAAGAGGTGCATGTTTTAAAGCCTCTTTAGCCTTCTCCATTTGGCTCGTGGGTGTCTGGGTTGCTGTGACAGGTTACGTCTGGCTTAGACACACACTCACACACACACACACACTCTCTACTGTGCAGCTGGAAGATCAAGAGTCTGTGTTGCACATACCTGCTCTGAGAGGACTGAGTGTGTGTGGTCTGAGGGACTCAGCTGGTCTGGGAAACTGAGTCAGAAAAGCAGCCAGCTCTTAAGTGCTTCCTGCCTGCATAAAAAGGAGTAAAAGTCCATACTTCTGAGTGCCTCTCAGAGAAAGCAAGCAGAGCCAAGGGATGATGATGAAGATGAAACGGACTCTGTGCAGAATATCCTGCTTGGTGACTTTGGTGGTGGAGCTGAGCTGGATAAACGTGGGCCACAGCATGCACAGGGAGGGAGGAAGCAGGGTAAGTGTGGCATGAAGCTTTAAGTGTATGTAATATGTATCAAACGTAAGAAGCCTCTTGCAATCGTTTTCTGTAGCTGATGTCTGACATGTTCCCCTTGGTACTAAACATAACGTTAATTTATTATCTAACATCTAACCAGAGGGCAGAAATTACATCACGGCATTATTCTGTTATTCCTGATGCATTCAGGGCTTGATTTCACTTTTACAGTGTTTAGCCTCTTACCTCTTTTCACTTATTATCTCATAAATGTCAGTCTTGACCAGTTGTGCTGACTGTGGTCTGTCCACTGAAGCCAAAATTGTCAATAATCATGTGTGTGCTTGCATGTGGCTAAGAGAGGAACTGTACCTCAACGTCAGGATCTGCGTCAGAAGGATTATTGAACCACCTCAACCCTATTCTTCTCACTTCTGCTTAAATTGATTTGCTTTTTTGTAGTGGTCATTCACCCCCCCCCCCCATCTCTGTCACAGTCACTCTCCCTTTCTGTTTCTCATTAGTGGCTATATCCCTCAGTAGAAATTGGGAAACCTCCCAATTTTCTGTTGTTTCTCTGATTTAAGTGGAAGCAGTCAGCCAGCTAACCTGCCCCACCCTCTGCTCTGTAACACACATCAAAGGGCTCAGATCATTATAGTTGTCCAGAGGAAATAAAGCAAACATTGTGCAGACAAGTGCAATATTACATGACTGTTCTCCACCCCGGTTGTAGACCTATCATCTGGTATGAGGCTTTCCCGCCTCAAAAATGAGACTGGGAAGACCTACATTTTACCAATATCCTCTCCTCTCCTCTCTAGATCACACCCTTCGCTCTTCAAAGTCTAACAAGTTAAAACAGAAACAAAACAGTAAAAAACTTTCACTTGGGACATCATTTTAAATGAAGTGCAAGAGATTACTGTGCATTTCATCACATATCTTATCCAAACCATATAGGTCTAATCTTTTCTGCTTCCATTTTGTTCTGGTTTATGTCATCATGGGAACTTTGCCTTTCTGCGGTAGCATGACAGGCGGTTTTATGATGTTCTCCCACCCCTGAATCACAGGTCTTCCCCTCTGTATGGAGAGGTGCCAAGGATAATTTGATACTTTGAACAGTATGTATGTGCGTGTGTAAATGTGAATAGCACCGCTGCCCTCTCTCAAAGTGCACGCTGGTAGTTTGGTTTTCAGATGTCTTGGGTTTAAATCAGATGGCATGTCGTTCTTATACTGTATATAAATGCATACGCTTTGGTAGCAAGGTCATGGAACTTTAGAATGAGCAGTGTTCAGAGACAGAGAGGTATAAAGGCAGACACACAAATCTGCTGCTGCAGCTGTTGATAATCGCACTCTGACTAATGGGTGTGACATCAGGCCAAGTGCTCCAAGTCACTCCACACTACAGCAAATGTCATATCAGCTCATCCTCAGTCTAAGCCACATGTTTTCCGAAAATAAAGCACATAATGTAGATAAATGCATTTCATTTGAGCCGGGGCTGTTTTATTTTTATTTTTTTTATAATATTTCATTTTCTAACAAGACTCTAGCCATATGTGAGGCTGTTCTTAGACACAGCAGAATTTTGAGTTAATGTGCTCACTGTGACAATGCTAAAGTGCACTACATTTTCCTCCCACCATTTTGGCATGTGAAATGCATCCACGATGTAGTGGCCTCAAAAATTCCACAATGTAACATAAATATTAGTGCTGTGCAGCTGTCAGTGTCTACACAAAATAACTAAGTACTTATTGTCTATTAGGAAGTAATGAATGAGGGAACAAGTGATTGGCTAATACCCTAAACACATTGCTTGGCAGGGAGCAGCAACTTCCATCTGAAGACTGGCTTTTGTACAAATTAAACAAACATTAAATGATGATTGATTTAATCCCTGCAGGTAGCGAAGCAGTGGGAAAGAAAGGTGCGGTCAGCCTCCAGCCTGGATGAACTGCTGAGGCTCGCAGACTTTCCTGACTGGAAGTTGTGGAAGTGTCGTCTGAGACTACAGCAGCCAGAGAACCTCTCTTCTCCACCTTCAGTAGGCTCACACCGCTCCACACGCTACGCTGCAGAATCTTACAGCCTGGAAATACTTAAAGGTTGGATAAACATCACACAGTACATGTTACATGTGAGTTTGCGTGTGTATGTGTGTTGATGTGGTTATGAGCATTGTGTGTCTCCCATTTAGCTATTGATGAAGAGTGGCAGCGGACCCAATGCATGCCAAGGGAAACGTGTGTTGACGTGGCCAAGGAGCTGGGCACCGACCCCTCAATGTTCTTCAAGCCACCTTGTGTGTCCATCCACAGGTTTGTTTTACATGAAACGAGAACTTTAATATTTTTACTAAACTCAGTGCTATGGTTGCTGTCCCTGCATTGTACCTAACACAAAACCTCTCAGCAGTCAATTGTGTATGTCCTTGGCATTAAGCCCGAAAAAAGAAACAACTAGCCTGGTTCTGTGCAAAGTTAACATATCCACCTTCAAGCACGTCTAAATCGTTTTAACATAATCAGTCATAAAAGTTGTTTCTTTAAAGGTCCGATGTGTAACATTTAGGACGGTCTATTGGCAGAAATGGAATACAATATCTATAGGTATGTTTTCAATAGTATAATAGTAGTAGTAGTATAATCACCTGAATAGAAATCTTTATCTACAGACACCGTGGGCTGTTGAGTCCGCTATGTTAGACTGCAATGTTTCTAAAGTAGCCCAGGATGGACAAACCAAACACTCACTCTAGATAGGGCGGTATGCTATTTTCTCCTGCGAGTTTCTCCCTTGAGTTGGAAAGAGAGGGTGAAACAAATGAGTTGCAATGGGCAACAACATGGCTAGATGCCACTAAATCCTACACACTGGTCCTTTAATGTGTACAACATTGCAAAAAATGTGCTAGTCAGGCCCCTTAGTTTGTGATCATTAGTGAGCTTTAGAGGTGCTGGTAGAAGGTTTTTGTTACCTTCGGACAGAGCCAGGCTAGCGGCTAGCTGTTTCCCCCTGTTGTTTCATTTGAACTGTTCTACTATGTTTTTTGCCACGCACATCACTTTACCCAGATATAATTTTGTTTTCCTACTGATAGGTGCAGTGGCTGCTGCAACCAAGAGGGTGTCACCTGCAGAAACACAACTACTGTATACGTGAATAAAACTGTGAGTATCTCAGATGTTAAGTGGATAGCCTTTTGATCTCTTTAACCCTTTTTGACTTATTTAACCTTTTTCTGAGGTTCTGAATATGACAACCGCAGCACCATTTTTATTTTTTTGCAGTCAAACACTCTCACACTAATGTCTGTGTGTGTGTGTGTGTGTGTGTGTGTGTGTGTGTGTGTGTGTGTGTGTGTGTGTGTGTGTGTTTCTGTGCACTTCAGGTCCTTAGTGTCATTCCATTCAAGTTTGTACCAGAGCCTGTGCTAATAAAAGTAGCTAATCATACAGAGTGCAGGTGCATGGAGCCTGCCATAATACGACGTAATGCTCAACCTCACGGGAGCAGCGGGTGAGTCTAAAGGCTTCTTCAATCTTATTCTCAAGTGAATTTGATATGATGTTGTTTTTTTTCTGTTCTAATCCATCTGGTTCATTGGCAGCTGCTCTCCGATGGGCCAGCTGTCAGAGGCAGAGGACTCCAGGAGACTTTGTGCCAGTGGGTTGATTTGGGATTGTTCAACTGACAGATGCATACCATACCCTTCCAGTGCACCAGGTGTGTGTATGTGTGTGTGTGTGAGTGGTAGTATAATAGTATAAACATATATATATATATATATATATATATATATATATATATATATATATATATATATATATATATATATATTTGTATCATTATTTAATATATAGACTCAAACAGGTCCCATTTTTCTGCAACTATTTTTACTTTTGATACTTAAGAGGAGTTATGTGTAATTCCTCACCACGTGCTCCCAAAATCAGTGCTATGACACTGTTCAAGATTGTTTACAATTAGACATAAATTAACTAATTAACACATTTTAAATAATCTGGTGATTTGGAGTTAAAAAGAAGTGAGCTAAGAGGCCTCTAGCCCGATCCTCATCTCTGCTTAAGGCTAGTGGTTTGAGGCTACTTCAATTGATACAAGCATAACTCACCCAACACTCTGACATAACTGTTGGAGGTCACGTTGTCAAGGTTTTGACAAGAAAGAAGAATGCATGGAATAAAAAAAGACTCGACATTGATTCTGATACTTTTTTGTTTTAAACTGTTTTGACAGTGACATAGGAGTGCAATTATTAAACCAGGAAATCAAAGTGTTTTTGTAATATCTTAACCACTACTGGATGGATTAGGCATACAATTGTGAGCAGACAGACTAAATACCTGAGTCTTAGCTGTGCTTTGTGTTATGTGAACATGTTTAAGATTATATTTGCTAAACATCAACATGTTGCAGCATTGTCTTTGTGATATTAGAAGAAAATATTAACCAGGTATATCATATGGAATTATACAATTATATAATTATAATTATAAATTGTAAACCTTTTGTTTAAAATTGTTTACTTACTTACCTTACTGATAACATTAAAGTTAAGATACTGTATTTGGATTCATTATCCAAGTGTAACCAAACTGACTTGTTATCAAATGGAGTCTCAGTTTACAAGATGAGAAGAAATGTATGCCGTTGTGACTCTAATGCGCCATTTTTATTTCCTGCGTAGACTTTCCACTCAGTTCATGGATGCCAGACTGTGAGATAGACGTGGAGCGGTGTGACTGTCTATCTAGACCTGCATCGACTCTCCAGCCAAGACCAATCCATCGCTGTCAACTCAACTCTTCTATCTGTGCCCATAAGCATCAGCGTTTCGATCAAGCTTCCTGCAGGTGGGCCAGGAAGAGGCTTTAACATAATAATCTGTTTGTTTACCATGGACTTTCTTTAAATGCTGCAGTTTTTGCTCATATGAGATATTAGAAACATAAAATACATACTTGGACATGCCCTTGTCATTAGCAACAAGTGAAATAGAAATGTTTAGTGGAAAATGGAACAATAAAATTATTAAACAGGTGCTGGGGAAATAGGAAAGGTGAGAGGATTAAAATAATAGTTGAAGCAGTATTTCTCAGCAACTACTCAGACATTCAGGATGAACTGAAGAAACGAGGTGATCAGTTTCTTAAACTCCTGCGGATCTCATTTTCATCCAGGGTGAAGGCTAGCAGAGCGGCTCGCAGCTCTAATGTGTCTCAATTCATGCATATTTTATTCCCTTAAATGAGCCCTCTTTTCTTCACAGATGCAAATGGCCCAAGTAGAAGTCCACTGGGGGAATAAATTACGACAACCTGCTCGCCAAGGATGTTTGGAGGCAGAGAAAAAAGGCTCATAATTTATTTACAGTCCTATTTATGCTGATCACTTTAACTAATTAAGATGATATTAACTCATTTGACCATGTTAACTGATTTTTTAACATGCTTACCTTATGTCCAATCAATGCGTAAAGATTATAATTTGTACATTTGTTCTCTTGTGCACTGAACATGTAGTTTATATTAAAAGAATATTTTTATAATTTTAACTTGCTTTCAGTTTATGGATTACTGCTTAACTTGTGATGGACATTTCACTCTTGTTATTCAAAGTAATCACATGTATGTTGAGTTTACCTTTAAAGGTTTGAACACAATTTTTGATATTAAAAAAGTGAACCTTGTTTCATGCTTCATGGGCAACAAGGCCTGCTAAATCCTGTCATGAAAAATGAAGTTGTAAAGTGAGCAATACCCGATAACTTAAGTCTTGTTACTTGAGATGGTAATGGTATTGTAACCTGATAAACTTGTCTCTTGGATTTCATTTTTATACAAAGTCTATAAAAAATATTCACCATCCTCTGTAGTTTTCATGTTTTATTGTTTTACACCACAATAATCAAAGAGGAAGTAAAAATATTTTTTTTTGGATCCATTACAAATGTAAAACACAAAACACCTCTTTTCAAGGATGAATCCCTTTTTAATGGGACACAAAATCACCACTAAGACACACTAAGTGATCACTGGTGCAGCCAATTTGTTTTAGAAGTCCCATAATTAGTCAAGGGGTTTCAAGAGGTTATAATATAAATAAATAAACAATAATATATAATAAATAAATGGTATATATACCCCTCTGGAGGCCTTGTGGGGTAGCGGGTCAAATAATGGCATCAAAATAAAGGGAATTCTGGAGCATGTGACTTGGGAGAAGGTTTGCTTTCTAAGACAATGAGCAGAAGATAAAGCTACACAAGAGTGCTTTAAAAACAACAACATCAGTGTCCTCGAGTGGCTGCTGAGTCAGAGTCCAGGTATCAATCCTATTGAGAATATGAAAAAAGGCTGCTCACTCATGATCCTCATGCAACCTGACAGAGCTCGAGCAGTTTTGCAAAATAGAATGAATTTAGGCCACCTCTTCTCCCCCGTTTCCTGTCTATCTTCAGCTATGCTATCAAATAAAGACAAAAAGCCCCCCCACCTCCCTAAAAAGTAGTAACCGCTAAAGGTACATCTACTAATGTACTGAGGGGGTGAATATTGTTGCAAACAAGGATTTTGTATTTTTTTGCCATTTATTCATCACTTTTTAGAGTTATTTTTACTCTTTGACATTAAATAATTTAATTCCTGTTTATCTGCCACATTAAAACTAATTCTATTCAATGTCGTACGACAATAAAACATATTTTTAAGGACACTGTACAAGCAGCTGTTTTGCTGACATGAGATCTGTCACATTGGTATCTCTTCAGTATCTGAGATTTGTTTTGTTAGCAATATGGTGGCAGAGAAGACTGAAATCTATGTCTCCATATGTTTTGATACGTTTTCAGTATTTGAGCTTCCAGGCGAAACTCCATAATGTTTGAAGACCTGCAGAAGGGACAACACAGCTTTTCTGAAGACAGAGTGGACTGTAAATACAGCTTTGTATAAAAAAAGGTGCGTCATTTGTAAATGTGCTTCATTTATTGTTGTTGCCTGGTGAATGTATTGATTTCCAGTCTATTTTTCCCCCCAGGCAGTGCTGCAAATCAATAAAATGCAGTACAGTTTATGTCCTCCCTCCTTCTGTTGGCATCAGAATCAATTTCACACCCATCATAAAATGGCAAGGTGCCATTATGTTTTAACGTCATCATGTCTCAGAGCTCCAGTGGATACATTAATAAAGGTCTTTGTGACTGAATAAGCTCTTCTCTGGGAGCTTGCTCCGATAGTGACATTACCACTCACCCTGACAACAGGTAGAACCGCTCTCACTTTTAAGTCATCACATAGGACTTCAAGCTGATCCTGTCATAGTGGTAATGGAACAAAAATGGATTTTGCATTATATTTCAAACAAAAATTTTATTAATTATTTGAATGCTGCATATTCCAGATTATATGATGATACAAAATACTAAACATGCCTAAAGTTACAAGGAGTTTTGTCTCCCCCTTGCTGCACTGTTTGTGTACTCCTGTTTTCTCACTGTTACTCACGGTTTCTTAGAGTACTCGATTGTCACTGTTAAAAAAAGAAAATGAATAATATCCATCCCTGATTTTATATTTTCTTTAACATTAAAATCCCAATTCAATGCAGTTTGTTTGGCTTACACTTATTTTTGAAGAAGGGAAAGAGCATAGTCATAGAGTGTAAATATTAGATAATATAAGACCATGATCTCCATAAATCCGAGTAGAGGTAATTTGAACATACACAATGCAAAACTTTCCACCTGTCTTTCTGCTTTATCACTCTTCTAAGCCCTTCCCAACCCACCCACACATCATAAGGAGTTGGTTGCCCTACAAAACCCAAGCAGAACCTGTTAGTGGCAAATGAAGAAAACACAAATGGCCGTTTGAGGCCGTGGTGAGTCAGTCTCTATCTTCAGGGTCAGGCACCAATGTGGGGGTGGGAGGCCTGGCTACCAATTGGTACTCCAATTTATCCTCAGGTGTTGGATAGGGTTGAGGTCAGGACTTGGTGCAAGTTCTTCAACACCAAACTGTGAAAACTAGGACATGAAAGGAAACCAAGTGTCCACATACTTTTGTCTATATGGTGTATAAATTACAAGGGACTTACTGGAGCTGAAGTATTAATATAATTAATATAATGGCTGTATCTGATGTTTATGTCACTAGCCCAGAGAAAAGGTCTGTGCTATTCATGGCACCTTCAGTTCATCTGAAAGACCTATGTGAGATTTTCACACATTGTCACAAAGACACTGGACATAATTGGGTTTGTGTTAAAGCCTCCAAGGTGTCTTAATAGCAAAAAATGGCTACAACCTTAATTTTTTGCTGTCAGGAACATGCAATTGCATATTATAGGATATCAAAGTGCACGGATATCTTCTGTAATTTTATCCAAATGCAGCATGTGGGTGAAAAGAAAATGATGCTTTATCATGGAACAGTTTTCTTTAAGGAAGTCAGAAAACACATTAAAGAAACATCAAAATGCCGGAAATAACAAATGACACAGACTATAGATGAAAACCCATCTTCACTCACAACCAACAGCAACAAACCTATTACAGCTAAAGATTTTTAAGCTGTGGAAATGAGGTCACAAATAAAATGAAAACGCCACAGCCATTTTCACTTTGTATTATTCGACTCTTTGTCCTTAATAAAACCATTACTATTATGTAATACAAAGCGATAATAGTAAAAAAATAAATAAAAGACAAGGTACATCAAAACAGAAAAGTACAAACAAACATAATCCACAGACATTAATTCAACAGTTTTTTTCATTTAGTTCTTGTTCTTTATTAGAAGAACCCATTTGAACATCTTCAAATTCAAATTAAATTGAAATGAAGGTTGTTGGGTGGATTTAATTTACGCCAAAGTGAGAAATGGGTCTTTTATGTGTGAGCACTTTGAGTGATTGGAAGACTAGGAAGGCACTATACAAGTACAGTCCATTTACCATTTTACCAAAACATCTAATGAAAGACATAAAAACGACTAAGATTTCAACTGGAGGTGAATGGGGTGGAGGAGGGTCGCAATGATTTCGCACTGAAATGACAGCTGAAAGCAACAGAAAGGAGAACGGATTAAAAGTCTGACAGCAGCAACATGATTGGCTGGAGGAGATAGTTACTTAGTCTGATTGGTTTAACTGAAAGAGTAAACATCCATTATCAGCTGATTAAGAAGGAGAATGATAGAATTGTGAATGGATTAGGAATAATGAGAAGGTCCTGTTTGAACTTACACTGAGCTTCATTTGTAGGAAATTACCCATGGCACGTAGCCAGAGCTTCAAACAAAACAGACACAAGACTCACTTTGTTATTACTGTGTTAAAAGATGAATAGAGGTGCTGTAAAAAAAAGGCCCTGATGTCACCGATTCTAAACTAAAAGTGATACATTTCCCATAAAGCAACTCTGGCATCAACTGTGGAATAAACATGATGACATTTCAGTCCTCTGATGTCCTTTGATAGTTCAGACACTTTGTATTTGGTTGCTTGTGCTCAGTGAACAGGTACAACACAACACTGACCTTTAGAGTTACTGTGTGAGGAGTTCAGGGAGGTGGAAGTGTTTTGGCTTTTAGTTTCTTTCCTCCCGTTGAGACATGTTCAATGAGACTGAAAGATCTAATGGAGAACCAAAATCACATCTTATTGAACTTCACAGTCAATAAGATGTGAATCCCACCTTCTCATATGCTATCAACAAGTTCTCAAGAGAGAGAAAAAAGGCAAAAAGATTTACTGTTTTATTGCTTTAACATGTCACTGTTATACATGTTTTTCAATTTCTATTCTATCTATATGTGTATTCCTCTTGTCAGGCAAATAAAAAGATTTTTTTTATTTCAATTTGTTTATTTTTTACCTTACACTGAACATCTTTACATAGTTTTGTGATTCATGGACAGGTATGCAACCTACACATAAGTGTGATGTGGAAACTTGAAACATTCAGTACACTGAATGGACCTTTCAATGAAGTAAGAGATATATGTATATGTCTTTTTATAGATTAAAATGAGGTTGAAGGAGTAAGACTTTCTAATTAGGTAATTTATTTTTTGTGCAAAAAAACATAACAAACACAAATTATTATTTAGCTAAGTAGTTTTATATGTCTTAAATATGTCTGGAGGGGATCTTAAAAAAAAATTAATGAACTTGATTTATTACAAAAATGTTGATTTGCAGGAAAAAAAAAATCCTCCTGAATTTCTGCAGAAAGTTAGGGAATTCCTATGGAATTCCTTTATGGTCTTTAAACAATCCTGCAGGACCTTAACATTCTTCTGCAGGATTCCTGTAAGACTTTTTTAAAATGGGTTTCAAACACATGACATAGTAATGTGTTTTTATTAGTCTTAATGTGTGTGTCTTTCATTCCTTAAATTAAAAAGATAATAACAAATCCTTATTTACATTCCAGACTTTACACAGAATCAGCCTGACCCTAAAGATGACATGTTAAGTAGATGGTTGAGACCATGCAGGACAGAAATTTGGCAAGGCGCTTACATCACAATTAAACAAACAGAATCCAGACTGAATTATACACCCACTCATCACAACCTGGGCATGATCCTTTCCCTCTGTGAAACACCAAATTAGGACATTGCCGTGTAATATAGTGCCTGTAAATCTAGCATGTGACAGTGCAGAATAATCATGTCCAGTGAACACAGTGGTGCAAGAACTATGTGGTGTATACACAGTCAACAGTACTAAGACTCTTAACATAACCAAAGCACAAAGGCGCACATGAGGCTCCACTTTCACTACGCTATATAATGTAGAAAATGATATAGTGCACCGTAATTTGACAGCCATTTTTATTGATTTCATATTATGTGTCTTTCTACTGGAAAGAAAAATTCATGGTGCAATATGTTTAAGCTAAAGACAGACTTAGTGTCTGATTAATTTCCCAGAGAACTTCATGTAAATTGTGTTTACACACACACACACACACACACACACACACACACACACACACACACACACACACACACACACACACACACAAACACACAAATACAAATTCGATTTGTAAGACATACATTTACAATCACGGTTAATTTTTCAAACTGTGTACAACACAGCTGCAAAAACATTCTGTAACTAGACGACAGCTAACATTTAAAATACATCTCTGAATGTACACTTCAATGTCACAGTTATCACAGCATCTAATATTTAAAAATATATATACAAATACAGCAACAGGGTGCAGGCAGAATGTTATATCAATATCCATAAGAATATAAACCAATACCACATATTAGAGCGAACCATCATTTTTTGGCAACATAATGCAAAAGCATTTGATCCCTTTTATCAATTGAAAAAAAGTTATTTTTTATTATTTAGATGTGGTCCATGACTCCTTGAAGCGCCATTGTTTTGGTACTAGTGACCCTAGTGTGTTTGTAAAGATTAATACTGGTTTCTACTAAAAATATATCCTTTCACCTCCATAATATAACTTCATTAGAGATGATTATTGTTCACAGAAGGTAAATGCTACTCTTTCATGTCACTCCTATTGCAAATTTGGCACCTCTGTCCGAGTTTGTAAGCCTGGATGAAACCCTTAAAGGGACACTCATTGTGTCATTGTGGGAGCTGTGTCTTATCAAAACTGAATTTATATACTAGCCTACTAATTTACAGTAACAGTAGATACTTTTTAAAGTAAAACTATAATAATGCTGCATGGATTGTAATTAGCAATAGCAAATGTTAGCATGCTAATATGCTACACTAATGATGTGTCTCAATTCGAATACTTCTGTTAGTACAGTACACAATGCACACTACATACTTACTTGCGTAGTGCGGCAATTTTGACAGCATAGTGTCGTCTCAAATCGAGCACGACTATTGCACACTTGCCAGAAATGACAATCGTAACATTTTACCGTGTCACCTTCTCCTTTTACCTCAAATTGCAACCGGATCAAGCACCAATATCAGCTTATTTTTCACTGGATTTCTTCACGATATTAATAAAAAATTTACCTGCTTCTATTTTTTATTGCCTGTGTTTCCCCCGTTTCTTACAAGGTGGAAATTACACAGAAACTGTAATTTGCCCCTTCCACTACGTAGCGAAAATGGTAACCACTGGGGATAAGAAGTGTCCAGCGTTCCACACTCAACTTTTTGACGGTTATGAGTGCACCATCCAGGTACTAGAGACTGTATTCACAGTCTTATGCGGTGACTGTGAACATAGTAAACACAGGCTTAACATCAGCATGACGATTGTGAACATGTTCGCATGCTGAAATTAGCCGATAGCTTGTAGTAAATAAAGATATTTTACAAACTACAAGTATAACTCAGTGATTAATACATAAGTACATCACCAAAAGAGCAATCGATTGAATGGACATGTATTGTTTTAATTGATATCGTACTAAACAGTCTTATTGTATTATGTAGGGAACTGAAATAACAAGTTTCGAAAGCATGGCCATAGACTTGCATGCTTTACAATTTTCTCTCTTTCTTTTTAACAGACACCTTGACCAAGATGCTGCTGTTAGTTGGCAGTTAGAACATCTTGTCCCTTACACACAATCCTCCTGATAGAGCCTTCTGCCATTGATCATGCTTAGACTCGCCATGGAGTGATGTGTGCTGCGGACAGAGGTCACCCGCGTGTTATAATGTGACGGGCTCTGTAAGGAGCGTTTGAAGATCATACAACAGCAACAGCACAGCTGCTGGTTGAACTGCTTCTGGAAGGTCTTGCTCAGCAGGTAAAGGGCAAAGGGGTTGAGACAGGAGTTAGTGAAGGCCAGGATACGAGCTACAATGCTGCACACAAAGTGAACCAGGGAAGTGTCAACCTGGTGGGGGGAAAGACAGGGTGGAGGGTGAAGGGTGGAGGGTGGAGGAAAAAATGGTTAATAAGATGGAGAGAAATAGACATACTAGAGATATAAACAAATACATTATTTGGATATGAATGTGCTCCCAAAAGATAAAAACAGAAAGCTATTTTAGTAGTTGTGCAATATGTCCCAATGTGCTAATGGCCGTCAATAAATTTGTCTTTATTTTTAACAGACACTAGATTTCTTCCCATTGTCTACACAACCTCCAGTTTTTAAAGAGAAATCCTGCTACATGGCCCAATTAAATTCTGACTTGTATTTTCCACCTTGACCATTATGTAACACTTAATTCATTTAGGTACATGGTTAAAACATTAGGTTACAAATGTTGTTGTAATGTTGTATATATATTTTTGGGCAGCTAAACTTATACCTATACATATTATGAATACATGGCTGTAGAAAACCATTTAAACAGTAAATTAAGCTGTTCTATTGATTTCTAACAGCCAACTTCCAGTATAAATTCAAATACAAATTTTTTTTGTGAAATAAACAGAAGTAACTGTGAGTCACACTAGTCCAGTGTATAAAAAAGATAGAAACAAATAAACAGGCATGCTCTATTAGAAATATAGAGATGGGCTTTTTGTCTACCTGGGAGTAGTGATAGGAGCGGTATAAGTAGATGACGTGACTGGGAAGCCAGCATACTGCAAACAGACCAACAAACACCAGCACCGTCTTGGCCAAGCGCTTTCTTGATTCAACCTGTTGGTTGTAGAAACAAAACGTCAAATCCAAGGAGCAATGCTATTTTACAATAGACATTATTTTTAATAGAAACACATTCAACAAAGTAAGTGATTAAGGATATATTCAGATCTACTTAAAGTAGCTATACAACAAGGTAAAAATAATATTCATTCAGAATTCTACATACTATCAGCAAAAGTATTCAGAGTATCAGAGGAAATGAAACAGAATGACCCTTTTCATTATTTCAGTATTAGTAATGCACTTTCAAGTTGTAACCGGTGCAACCATTGAGTACTTCATTTGTAAATAATACTATAAAAGTTGGAAAACTGAATTAGCTGAATAAACTCATGACCTGAGTATTATCGGGTTACGGCCCTGGTATTGACAGTTTTAACACTGACCTGTTGTCTTGCATGCACGTTGCCCTCCACAGGCAGGTTTGAGGCGCTCCTCAACAGGCTCCGGGCGATGAAGGTGTAGTACATGGATATGACCAGCAGGGGAATTACGTAGAAAATGAGGAAGGACGCCATGGAGTGAATCTTAGGGTGCAGTTCCCCAGCATGGGGATATGGGGCACAGGTGACGAAGGTCTCATTAGTGGAGGTGACGTTGAAAGTGTGGAGGTCAGAGAAGATGGCCTCAGGAATAGCCAGGACCAGGGAGACAAGCCAGATGAGCGCCGCCCGCAGGACAATGCTGGTAGTGGTGCTTGATGTTTGGATATCCAGGGGCTTCACAATGGCCCTATACCTGATAGATAGATAGATAGATAGATAGATAGATAGATAGATAGATAGATAGATAGATAGATAGATAGATAGATAGATAGATAGATAGATAGATAGATAGATAGATAGATAGATAGATAGTTTTATGGTTATCTTACTGACTCTCACTCACTTTATGGACACCAAATGTTAAAATAATAACGTAAAAAGTGTTGCCCTTTTAGCATTTTAGTTATTTTTGGTCAGTGTGGTATAGTGTTAACAAGCTGAAAATAAAATATTGGTAAAAAATATGGTAAAGCGGACAAACAGTATCAATATTATTCATTTTGAGTCATTTCTGGGCACTTGTTAATTGTAAATTTAGTATTCAACTTAGTCCTGGAGGAAATATCTTACTGCTTTAATGCTGGGCAGTGTACAGTGTCTGCTGCAGCCAAAGTTGATGCTGATGAGATTTAGTAAAGGCGAACCAATAAGCTGAAATTATTATAGATAATATATTAACATCAAAGCTCTGTATGGGAAACTGCAGAGTTGAAGATTATTCTCTGTGAGTTCATCACTGTACAAGAAACCCTTTTACAAACAAGTACTCACTATCTATTGTTTATATAAAAATATGGATTATAGCTGCTTTAGCAAAGAGAGAACAGTAGAGTGGAGGTGGAATTTTAAGAGTTGTTGATATTACACCCTCAAGTTTTTATTGCATTGTTTCAATAAAGCATCAGCTTCAACTTCGGTGTGTGTACAATGTTTTTTTACCAAGGGTCATGGGTTTCTCTCTCTACAATATATACAATAACATAAAACTAATAATAATAATGATAACAGTATAAAATAAAAGCACAAAATTCATCATAATCTACCTTAATAATAACAAACATTCAGAATGTCAAAGGTATATAAACCACCAGCCAAAATAAGCAAGTCATCTGGCAATCTGTCAATTATGAATGTTGACAAGTCAGTTCTTAAAACAATTAATTTGACTATTTGACAGATGGTCCATTGGAGGGTCATACTCAATCAGCACAAAGCAATCAATTACAGCAAGTATTATGTAAGAGGAGAATAAAAACCAGACAGATACATGTTTGTCAGTCTGGCAACCAAAAAGCTTTTCTTAATAATTAGAACTGATCTAGTAAGGATTAAAGGTAAAAGTATCACTCCTGTTGAACTTGAAGAAGTAATAAAGAAAATGAGGGGTAAAGAAAACAAGGCTTATCTAGAAGATAACATCAACCTGATGCTGTTATGAATAAGTGAAGGGAGTAATGATTATTAAAATATTTGAACTGGTTTAAACCTGGTGAAAGGAAGGATATACTGAAAGCACTCATGTACTTTTTTCTTTGCCCACTTAACCTCCATAGTATATCTAATTATTATCTTCACCTTTAGTGTAATATTTGCTGCAGGACATCAGTAGTATTAGTCATTTTACAGTTATTTGTCTATATATATAGCATCTGTGGATTAATTACATATGTGATATGTTATGATCCAATAAAGGTAGACACAATATGAGATGAATAAATCCCTTTGTTTGTTATCTCGGCCGCCATCTTAATTGTATAGGAGCCGGGACACACCTGACAGGGGTCTGCACTCTACTGAGTGCACCCTTCTAGTTTAATCTTATTTTACTTTACCCTGACCTTACCCTCCACTCTTTGTGTCTTTGTGTCTACAGCAGTAGTTTATGATTACAAAAAATATATACGGTGGCCCCGAAGTGCATATCACTATGGCGGATTGGAAAAAACACAACAACAAATCAAAAACATAACAGAAAGTAGGAAACAAAACATGTAACAAAACACAATGTTGTTGTTTCTGATGATCAGCTGTCAGTCGGCTTTAGCAGCTGTGGAGACGTTTGATGCAGTCCGTGCCTGCACACATAGTGTGCTAATACTGCAGCAGATTGGACTGGTCCGACACATCACATCACTGTAGTTTCATACCGGAGTGAAGACAGATAACACCTTGTGTTATATGGGGTTCAAGCCCCACAGGGGTTGTTGTCTTGTGCTTTGTTCTTTGTTGTTGTGTTTTGTTAGGCCACCATAAAAACCTATGATGAATACATTTTGTAAAGATCACTTAACACAAGGACAATTATAAGAGCTGTACTCAATTGAAACAATTGCCTTGAACAACATATAACTGGTCAGATAACATTGTGAGTCCAGCGGCCTGCATGCTGCCACTCTCACTGTATTGTGTTTGACAATACATAGATAAACAGGCTACTTCATTACATGTCCCATTGGAGCGAAATATTGTAGTTTTATACCACCCCCAAATGATTAATAGTTAGATATTTAAAGACTCAGAAAACAGAAAACAATGGGGTCGTATAAGAAGAACATTTTCTGTTCAGCAGTTTTGGTTATTTTTGTTTTTCTTGAACTCTTTTTACTGGTTTTAAGTGCGAGGGGCTCAGTTAGAAAAAAGTGACGTCACGTAAAAAAAATTGACATAATATATTTTCCCTTATATTTTTTTTACCTAATTACATAATCCTTTTATACCAATTCATTTTTCATCTCACCGATTTGGAATCTTCACATATTTGTATCACGATTTAACTGTCTCACAATATATCTTTACATTCCTGATTCTCAGGCAAGTTCTGCAGTGATAAGAAGCATCTTCTTTCTATGACTTTCATGAGGATTTATGGAAGTTGATGGAAATGAATTTTCTTTCTTAAATCTGGAGAATATTTGTAGACCAGGGCACATCTGCAGCACTATAGTACTTCATTTTAATGCTGTTTTGTCAAACATTTTGCCTTTATCAAACCATTACAGCTCTTGCGAAGGGAAACAGTATGGCATGTCAGAAAGCAACAAACTTAGTTCTGGGCTTATCAAAACATCGCAAGGGTTTAATGAAATGTGAAATGTTGGCGAAGACCCATCAACACTCTCCGGCAGCCATGTCATCCCTGATGCATCAACTCTCACTCACATGCTGAGCACCATCCTGTTGCTGCAGCATGGAATTAACATTATTGATTTCCAATAAAACACAGAGAAGCTTGTCCAAGCGAATAAACGTAGAATACAGTAAGTGTGAGGATATATATTTGGAATATTTGAAATGGTAATTCTGAATAGGGAAAACACTTTGGGAACCAGCCGCTCCACCCATTGTGCACCTCTATGGCGTTTCTCTCCACTCTGCTCTTCTTCTCCGCTGTGCTAGCTATGGCAGGTAGTGGTGGGTGCAGTCTGTTGGAAATATTGAGAAATTGTGGAAATATTGTATTTAAACTTTGGTTTTACCAAAGGGCAAACATTTTACCATTCCAGGCATACAGCAGAGACCACAAAAAATACCAATAAAGATCAAATATGTTGCTGATAACAAGAAATACAGTAAATTTTTTCCCCAAGGTTTGTGTTGACAATTTTATGTGACCAAATCACAAGTTAAAGTACAGAGTATCCTGGTTGCAAATAATGCTAGTTAATAGTTAGCTGCCCTAGTATTACAAATAGTTTGTCATCCATAACCTTGGGCCCTGAGTAAATATCTGTGATGGAAATTCACATGCCTTTATTGCGAGAGCTGATTGCCACTATTAGACGTGAGCTTGATTGTCCACTGACAATGACAAGCAACCACAAAAATACACTGGGAATTATGTTTATTCTTGCTTAGAGTTAGATGAGAAGATTGATACCAGAAAAAAAACAGTACCAAATTTGTTCATATGTCAAAATGGTGTTCACATTACAGATAGCGTTGCACTTGTACATCTATGACAAGTTTGCAGGTTGTACTCTGAAGAAACTTGAAGCATAATGCAAAATGACTTACCTTATTGCACAGGTACAGCTGATATTGTCGCTATCAAAAATGTTTGGCAGTACAATTTTACCAGTGGCAGAAGAAGTACTCAAGTAGTTATTTACTCAAGTCAAAGTAGCAATATAACAGGGTAGAATATAAGTCAAACTCTTGCATTGAAGACAAGTAAAATTAAAAGCATCAGAATATACCAAACATAAAAGTATGCATTATGCAAAATTTCAGAATAATGCAGCCTATATTATATTATCGGATCACAATCTATAATTTGATCGATTAATGCACATTTTAATGTCCGAACTGGTAAATGTGGTGTCAGTTTCTTTATTTACTGCTGTGTAGCTTAATCTATAATAACATTATCATATATTTGCTGCTGGTAATATTTTACAATTCCAATCTGTAAAGTATAGTGTGTATATAGTTATTGCCTTTAATTGATAGTGACAGCTGAAGAGATGCAGCAAAGAAAGGGAAGGGAGAGAAGATGACGCAACAAAGGGCCGCAGGTCGGATTCGAACCCCTAACCACTGAAATCTTAATCCTACAGCTCAAAAAAGACGCATCATTGTCATTATTTCCATCTGAGACTCTAGGAGCGGCTGTTGCTCAGAAATTATCCTTGAGCAAGATACTGAACACCAAATTGCTCCGAGGCCGTGCATCGGTGTGTGAGTGTGTATGAATGTTAGTTTCTGTTCGATGGGCTTTGCCATCACTGAGTGAAAGGGTGAATGTGGCACATAGTGTAAAAGCGCTTTGAGTGGTCGGAAGACTAGAAAGGCGCTATACAAGTACAGGTCCATTTACCCTTTACCAGAGATGACAAGATGAAGAACTAAAACACGCACAGGTTGGACTTTCACTAACCCATGCTCACACATCACACTTACCCGTGATTAAAACAATATTTTTTTGTTTATTAGTTGTATTTACTTTCTGTTTCGAGGGCTGATCCAAGATTATTTTTCTCTCAGGTTTTAAACGGATGCTTACTGTGATATTTTTATGAAATCATTCTGATATATATATATATGTTTTTAAGCGCACACAAACATTGTAGACCTGTAACTACATTTAAGTTTTCCACTGAAACATTTTCCTCCAGACTGAGACAGTTATTTACACCTAAATAGTCATCTTAATGTCATTTGAGAACAAAAGTTTGAAATCATTAATTGACAGCAATTATTTGATGATTGGTTGGTTCTGCAGGCCTAGCAATGCACTGCCGTTATCGTTGTACACGTGTCAGCAGCCTTAAACAGAAGCACACAGCTCCAGCGTGCGTAATACTCCCCTGATCAATACACGGTTAAATATTTGCTTTCCATTATACTGATAAAACATCCATTTCATATATATATATTGGCGTGTCCCTGTTTTTATAATCACAAAAACAACATTAGAATTGTATCATGTGGCTGCCATATAAACCATTTTTAAATCATTAATTACAGGGTCAATAAGATTATTATAACAACAAAAACCGTAGCCTACCTGTCAGCAGAGAGGGCTGTGAGAGTGAACACAGACACCCCAACCGAGGTGAGCTGAATGAAGGGGATGACTTTACATCCCACTCTCCCGAACAGCCACTCCTCTGACAGGTAGCGGCTGGCATCCACCGGAGCGCAGGTCACCAGCAGTAAAACATCCCCCAGCGCAAGACTCGACATGAAGAGATTCGGCACATTGCGGATGGATTTGGCAGAACAAAAAGTCTTGATGAGCGTGATGTTGCCGATTAGCCCCAAGACGCCGATTACACCGTAAACAGAAGCAATGGCCACGCCGGTGAACCACATCGTCCCTGCCGAGCTTTGGAGAGAAGTGACGCTGCGCGACGCGTTTGGGTATAGATGCTCCATCTGTACCACCGTAAAACCAATCGACTGCTCGAGATATGTTCTTTTTTTAAATACAAGTTCAAACTCAGAGAAGATGCGGACAGGTCCTGTGGGGTTTCAGAGAGAAAGCACAACTATTGTGGTGACAATTTCAACTTTAGAGTTGTGTGTGCACGTCCTCCTCAGTGTTTGAGAGTGGGGGTCCGCTATAGCTGCTGCCACCCAGTGCGCTGAGCGGTACACAACATGCACCAATCAATATATGTGTCAGTGGGATTGAATTTAAGAGAGAAAACAGTAAACTCTTTAGAAGTATGATAGAGAAAGCTCAATTTGAGAATTATCATTAATGCTTAAAACGGTCTACAGCATTTGGTAAAATAAAAAAAAAACGTTTGCTGTGTTTGTTTGTCATGTTTTTTTTTTTTTTTTAAATCTGTCTTATCTCTTCTATCTTACTTTTTTCTGTTTTTCCTCTAATGTTGGATCAAAATGGAAACATGCTTTTAGCTTTTATAACTGACTATATTCTATACTCTTTGTAAGGACTGAGTGATTGCAGTCCTGCATTTACTTTTATTATCTATCCATCCATCCATCCAAGGGAGAAGGGTACTGTTCACTTTTAGCATCATATCACTAGTCCAATTATTTTGTTACAAGTGGCACTAAAAGCTGCTGCAGGTTTTCAGAAGGCACTGTACGGAACCTAGTTAAACCTTCTGACAGCACTGCAGTATTTTTTAAATATTTATTTACATAGAGAGCTGGATGAAATAATGGCAGAATGATGGGGAATGACAAGCATCAAAGGCCCCCGACTGGATATTACAATAACATGGTCAGTGTCTTAAATCCCTATAGACGACCAGGATGTGTTTTTGCTTCACCTGCATGCAGGATCAAAAACTGGATCATAGCATTCCAATGATAAATCTTCAGTGTATGAGTTCAATGTATCTAAAACCATAAATGTTCCCATTGATGACAGAGATGATGTCACAGAGAGTGGTACACCTGCTAAGAGTATTGACATTTAGCTTCAGCATTTGACAAACAATTAACATGGGATGTAAATACAGAGATGGTCCTTAAGCATGGGAGTACATCCTATTGAAACTTAAGTGCAGTGCAGTTATTTTTTGTCATTTTAGCAATTTGCTATTGAGTCTTTTGACCTTTTACATGAGGGATTCACAGCACATAGCTAATTAGAGAAACAGAATAAGAAATTACAGTTAAGATCTGTCTAAAGATTGCTGGAGCAAAACAAGAACTATTTTTTCTTTATTTTCTTCAAAGGAAATCAATGAGCATACTGAGTCAATTCAGGGCATTGTTATGCTTTTTAAACTTGATCATTATTCCAAGTCTTTAATTTACTATTGATCTGTATAGCTTCTTTAATACTTCCTATTCAGGATAGCTGGAAATCCATATAACCTCTTAACTATTGTTTTTTGTTTTTTTCCCTTTATGTGTGTGTCTGCGTTATTGTAAGCTGTCATTAGAAATGACCCTGATGGGGATACATATGTTTTAAATTGAAAAGAACTGAATTACTATTACAGTGTTACTGCAAAGTGAAAAAACCTGCCAGTGGCAGGATTTCTTTCTTTGTATGAGTGACTATAATCTCATAGAACTAGAAGCGTAGCTTAACTCAGCAGGTGGTTTAAAATATAATATATATATAATACATAATATAATACATAGTTAAACATTTCCACTTCTGTTTAATGAGTTTTTCTTCCAACCTGTAACTGTGATTGAGGGACAGAGATATATTTTTGCACATAAACAGAAAAAGAGGTATTATTTGCAGGCAAGTAAAATGAGCCTCTTTTGTGACCTCTGCACTCTGTATGTTACTCCTATGGCCTTAATTATTTAATAATATAATAAGAATAAGAAAAGAAAATGCCAAAAGAAATGCAATACACTGTAAAGCTGTGATTTTTTGCATTTTTATTAATAGACAAAAAAGAATCCCATACACTCACACACACGTGTAGGGGAGTCTATAACCTTGCGCCCTGGCAATAAATATCTTTAATGGAAAATTACATGCCTTTATTCCGAGTACTTAATACTGCAATTAGACCTGAGCTTGGTTATCCACTGACAATGACCAACAACCACAAAAATAGACTGCACCTCTAAACTTCTCTATGCCAAGTTTGCAGGTTGTACTGCAAATTTTGAAAATTTGAAACTCATAATTTTCAATTCCATACTAAATTTCATGACAATTCAATCCAGTAAGATAGAGATTTCACTCAAAATTACAAATTTCAACCTCATGATGATGCTAAAAGAAAGTCAAGGGTCAAAGTCATTAGGCTTTAGCCTCTGAAAGCCAAACATTTTGTGCCAGTCTGTTCAGTGTTCACTCATCTTAAGATATTTCATTGTCTTTATCCTTTTTCTACTGCTTATCCAGGACTGGGTTGTGTTGGCAGCAGGCTACACAGGTGGTTGAACAGATACAGATAATGGTGTTCTTGCTTATCCCCAGTAGACCAATAAATTGAAAGCTTTTCCTTCCAGTTTAGCTCCCTCTTCAGCATAATGCTCCGATGTTAACAATTGCTTGTCACTGCTGACGCTGTACTAACCCGCCTGACGATCTCACACTTGATTTTAGCCTCGGGGCAGCAACTCACTCCCAACCAATTAAATCGACCAAACCACCACCATGTTCCACTGTATAAGAGAAAAAACTTAGACCTGTTGGTGGCACCATAAGAAAAGTCCAGTAAGTCCTCAGGGGAATGTAAATATCTGTACCACATTCATGGCAATCCATCTAGTAGTTATTTAAATATTTCTGTCAGAGCCAACATGTTGGACTGACCAATTAGCACTGCCATCCATAGAGTCACACAGCTAGCATTTCTGTAAATTAAGTTAAGTATATTAAAATCATCATTTAGATTTCCTAAAGGTTTTGGGCGACTGCAGGTTTAACCATTACAACTTTAATCGTTAATATTATTAGTGTAGATTGTGCTCTTACATCTTTTGTAGGATTTAGTGACATCTAGCTGTGAAGTAGTAGATTGCAACAAACTGAAAACCGCTCGCATCTGTATTTGAATACCTGGGAATAAGATCGAGCTATAAGTGCGTAGGAGAAACTCTCCTCTCTCGTGAAAGGCCCTATGAGAGTCTGAGGTCAGTTCAGATCCAGGCTTTTGAAACTGTGAATATAGTCCAAAAATGGTTGAGATGCACTAACCAGAGAGTGAGTCATGTTATGCTCCTGTGAAGGCCATGGGATGTAGTATTTTCACAGACTGACTGGTTGAATTTACCTTATCTCCTGGTAGCTCCACATCCTGCAATAACCCAGGGGGCTTCTGTATAAAGTGATGTGTCTATGGACCCTCGACTGCCTCAGGATAATGGAACTTCACAGGTACCACAGATGAAAAAGGGCTTACAGTCCATCAGCAGGCGCTCAAGTAGAGAGATGATCTATGAAAGACCCCTTACAGGTGATGCACTGAAATGTATTGTCAACACAGACATTGTAGACACAGGAACAGAAACAACGATGACCAGTAATCAGCAGGGTGTAATATGCCACAGAGAAAAAACACCTCTAATCCCTTTTTATCTCAGTGGCTCGTCAAGAGCTGCCAGGCAATTTTGCTTGGTTTGTATTAGAATGCAAATAAAAGGTGTTGCGGGGCCCAGCGTCATCATGTGGAGGCAAGATAAGACCTCCAGGAACACAAGAGATAATAAAGTGTTAAGTGGAGGAGAAGGAGGGGATGAGAGAGAGAAAAAGAAACCTGGAGGTAAGAGGGTGGCTTGGATAAAGTACAAACTGTGTACTTTCATTCACATACATACAAATATACAATATATATATATATATATATATATATATATATATATCACCTGTGCATGGGTGGCAAAAGCACAAATGTATGCAAGCAAACAATCGTCTTTTGATTCCTTTAAACCTTATAAAAGTGCTTCTGGCTTTGTGAAAATACAATAAATGAAATTAATTATTCACACAAGGAAAAGGTTACTCTTGTAGCCCAAAATGTCACGGAAATATCACGCAAAAGAGGTTATGATGCTCTCACTATAATCAGACTCATGCTGCCTAATTTTACAGCGGAAATACACAGTTTAATTATCTTTTGTTGCGATCTCCTGCCTGTAATGTTGTACTGTATGCCACAAAATGCCACAGTGAAGCTCTTGTACAGAATTGAGGTAGCAGGCTTCAACAGGTCACAGGAAACCTTTTAACTGACAAATAAAAAGCTGATAAGATAAGATAAAACCTTTACAGCCTCCAGCATTGACTATATTAAGGCAGCATATTCTTCATCTCTGCTTCACAGTCGCCAGTCAGTGATGATACATATGCCGTAAGTGTCACAGTGAGACACTTATGAGAGTTACAAAAGAGGCTTATTTGAAACATATACATCATGCTCATTTAAAATGTTAAATTATCATTAATATCTGCAATCTACAAACACAATTTCTTATGCTCATGTTGCATGAGTGGAAATTCTTTAATGTGCTAAAGGATGAGAGTGGTTGCGTCTATATAGACAAAGTTTCAGGAAGCCAAACCACAAACTTTTACAACATCCTTGGGCAGACAATCATGAACCCAGTATCAGCAATGCCACCCGATGGTTTGACACACTTTGATTGGATTACAATAATGATGATCATAATTTTATTAATTAAGCTTTTCAAATAAGATAACAAATCAATGTGTAGTTGTAGATAGCATACATTACTTAAAGTTGTCAACAAGTCAGGGAAGAACATGATATCATTCTTTTAAAACGTTTTTTACTTTGTCTAGTGCTGCACAAATGAGCCCATTTTCTTTTGAAAGTGGTTGCCAGTGGTTACAGCAGGCCAATTTGGGAGACAAAGGTACAAACGAAACGAAATGGCACTAAATGCCAAAAAGCTTTCCATGGAAACAGAAATTGGATACCACAATAAACAAGCAACAATTGGGATGTGGTTGCTATCTCAGTGTATGTTTTAATTATTATCATTATTCTATCTATGTGGTTATGAGGTGGTCCTCATGTAAATGTTACCAATCTAAATTCTAAATATTCTAATAATCTAATAATCTTGATCACAGATCAACCATTAGCCCAAGTTAGATAGGACAAATATCAAGCAGTAGCTTACTGTATGCATATTACAGACCAACATGAGATCCTATTGATCTAACTTTCTGCCATAAAGCAAATAATATTTTACCAAAATGTCTAGAATCTGATATTTTTATGCCACATTCTACTCATGAAAGGGGCATGTTTTCCTGTTTAAAAGTATTTATTTTTCCACACCAGAAAAGCACTCAACTTGGGGCGTATTCAGTCATACACTGTAAGAAAAAAACCCGTAAAAAAAACGGAACCGTAAAATACCCTAATCCAAATAATGTGTAAACACACACACACACACACACACACACACAGGAGGTGAAACTGGCACCTCTCCAGCTACCAGTCCACACTCCATATTTTGTGGTGTGTGGGACTTGAACTGGTGACCCTCCGGTTCCCAAGCCAAGTCCCTACGCACAATATTAGCCAGTTTACTGTTGGAGGCATAGACATGCAAAATATTACTCAACAGCCTTACACATACATTCATTCTTACATAATATTCTTATTATGACTGATGTGAACTTGGTTTCATTCTCTGTATGTTTTGCCTCTGCTTGCCTACCTGACCCTTGGTTTAATGCTGCACCCCAGCAGCCGGTGATATCTTGTCACTCCTGGTTCTTCAGCCTTCTCATGATCACACAGGTAATGCACAACTATAGGTTCTGTGCTGTGTAAAGTACAGATGGACACAGTGAAGAATATGGTAAATGGATTATTCTTGCATATATAGTGCTTTTCTAGTATTATCAACCACTCAAAGCACTCTACAATACATGTCTATCATTCACCCATTCACACAATGATGGCAGGCTCTACCAGGGTGCCACTGCCAACCCATGAGGGAACTCATGAGGGAGCCCTAATTATTTACACACACATTCCCACACTGATGTACAGCATCCATGGCAACTTGGGGTTCGGTGTCTTGCCCAAGGACACTTCAACAGGTGGACTGGAGGAGCCAAGAATCGAACTGCCAATCTCAGCAAATTCTGCATTTGGCCTTGTGCCGGGACAGGACAGGTCACGTTTATTCAAATTTCTTTGTTCTACTAAGTCCTCTACTAGATAAGGAACACCAGATGAGAGATAAGGATGGTAGCTATGATAAGCATTCAATCTCATTCAGTCTCTAAGACTGATCAGGATTAATTGGGCAAATATGATTCAAATCCCTCTTAAACATTCATCTACTGCTTCCTTAAAATGTTTTGTAGTATAGGCTATATATTTTTTTACTTTCTTTTCCCTCTGGCAATCATAACCTTGCCTTGATGAGCATGTCTCTGGAATTAAAATAATATCAGTGAATTTATGTATTATGTAAACACGTACATAGAACTTAACATAAATTTTGATTCAAATTTGACCTGGATCTAGTGAGATGGATTTTAGACCCACTAGAGTGGGTCAAATCAAGGAAAATGGTTGTTCTGGGGAACCTTGAAACTGTAAAACTGTATATTCTATGTCTGGGAACCTTGAAACTGTAAAACTGTATATTCTATGTCTGTGTGTACACGCAAAGTTTCCTACTACTGCATTGAATGCACTGACTAGTTTGCAATACATTGAGGATTAATAATGAATGTATTAATGTAAGATAGGCTATTATACGACATATTCAAAATAGATCTGTAGTTCAAAATATGGTATAGACACTTTTTATGAGGACTTTCTTGGACTGGGTCAAATTTGACCCGGTCCATACTGTGAAGGCACTGGATATGAACAGTTTGTAAGGGTCAAGTAAATGAAATATCCATTAAACAAGGACGAGATTAGCTTAAATCCCCTAACAGTTTCACAATGTTTGTGTAGGTTAACATTTTGGATGTTATAACAGATGTGACGGTCCCTGTCTAGTGTTGATGTGCTGATGTGGTTGACCAGTTATTGTTTTTCCTATGTGTCCTTGAAGGTACCATCAGCAGAGTACGGATTTAAGGATAAAGACCCTGTCTCAACTCTGTTCTGGTCTCTCTCTCGCATTCGGCTGCATCCCCGCCAGCAGCAGCACATTCTCTTTGTTTGGTTTCTGCTTTGTTTTCACTTTAAAACATTTACACTTCATATTGCTCACACATCCACATTTACATTACTGATGTTACTGACTGACACATCTCACATTTGTACTTATAACCTCAGTTGTTTAAGTTACAATAATAAATTCACTCATTTCTGGCCATCTGTTGTGTCCTGTGCCGTATTTGTCATAGCCTAGGAGCCGGGCTATGACACAGGGTGTTAATAAATAATAAATAGTCACATCTGACCATCTAAAGCTAGCAAGGGAGGGATGGGCAGGGCAAACACAAACAAAAAGATTCCATTAACGTTAGACCAGTCATCTCTCTCTCACATACAGACACACTTACACACACACACATGTTGTGAACAGAAGTTAGACTGCATTATAACTTTTAAATTAATATTCTCAGAAGGCTGTTACCACTCACCAAAACTGCTACCATTATTACACAAGCAAGTACAATTACGTTATAACAACGTAACGTAAGTTAACGCTATTACTGAGCTGTAAGTTACATTAGGTTGACTCAGCAACAAAATGTATGAATACATGGCCCTTTAGAGCTTCCGTAGAAATAAACCTTTATATAACGAGCAAAACATTTAATAACGGGCAAATATTGTAATTATTATATAAATATTCTGTAAAAGAAATGATAAATAACTGTAGTTTGTCATTATTGGCTTAACACATAAAATAACAGGCGGGTTGTTAATTTACAGATAATGTCTGTTATTTTACTGTTTTTTTAATACTATTTAAAAAGTAATTTACTTTAAAATTAGGATTTTTTTTTAGAGTGTAGGCTTATTCCATTTATGTGCACCAGGATATATATTTTTTGGGGATATTTTTCCAGTCACATACACCTAGGTGCTGTGGTAGACCTACTGCACAGCAACACAACTCAAGGATGAGCCAAGCACAAAAGATAGTGTGTTTATGCCACTAATGTGTGGTTACATCTGTGTGAATGTATTTACTTGGGTTTACTGAGTTTAATAATTGGGGGTTTGTGTTTTGAAAATATTAACTTTTTATATGAGTAATCTGGTGTTCAAAATAATGCACTTACCGTGGCACTCGACAGATGGCAGTGAGAGATTGTGGATTTGTAACATAACTACCGGGGGTTTAATGGTAAGCTACAACCTGTCGTCTCCTTTATTGTGTCATCACTTCTTTCCTTTACTACAGAATGCATTTGATATGTCTGTTTATAGGTGCTGCAGCTCATAACATTTAAAGTAACTTATAGTCTAAACAAATATTTGATCCGACATTAGATGGTGATATGCTTGAATTCCTGAAACATTTGCCGTTTCCTTATTTCTGTCTCTTTCATTTCCCGTTGTTCTTGTTGTTGTGTTTGTGTGTGTGTGTGTGTGTGTGTGTGTGTGTGTGTGTGTGTGTGTGTGTGTGTGTGTGCGTGTGCGTGTGTGCCTTCAGGTGATAAACCCTCGTCAAACCGGTCTGACAGCACCTTCTCTTGTTCGAACAGCACACATACACCAGTTTTTCTCTGCCCCACCCACACTGGAAAGAAGTTTGGTTTTGTCAAAACTTTAATGCCCCTCTATCTGTTTCTCTCTTGCAACATAAAGCTGAGTGTTAAAGGATAACAAATAAACACAATGATACTCATTTCTGTTCGTATTATAGGTTATTGACACCATAAAATATAGCTCAAGATTGACATGTTTGATTGCAACGTCTTTGGTTAGGTTTGTGCAACAAATGAGGGAAAAATCTATGAAATATATATAAACCTGTTGGCCAAAAGGGAACTGGAATTCAGTCTCACCTGAGTTAATGAGGACAAGCCGAAACACGCAGGTGAACGGATCAAGAATGTTACCTAAAATGCAGGAGCTGCGGTGATTGGCAGAGAGAGCCGTCAGTCATCCAGAGGCGGCCGGGCGCACCCATCGGGCGCATCTCTCAAAGGAAACCGTCGCAGGTTTCGATGCAAATACGTACCGGAGCGGCTGCTGAACTCTGTTTCATTTTATATAGAAAATCCACACAGAGAAGAACCAGTGACGGTAGATTTTTGACAGTTTAAGTCTTGGCCATGGAGGGGAGGATTTCTACCTTGACTCTGCTGTGTCTGAGTGAGTATTCCCTTAACATTTGCTTCTTTTCCTATGCGCCTTACCAAGCTGCCACACCTGTTTGCGCACCTTCAGGCCCAAGTAGCAACTGTTTTTGCGTGTGACTTGTCCCATTTGTTTGCCGTTAAATTGCCATTAAAAAACAACAACAACTAGAATTTAAAAATCGTGGAAGTTATTCTGAAATAAACACCATACAATTTGAATAAGCTTTTGACTCGACCTGTTTTCTTTCACAGAGACACAACTTCATGAATGATTGATTTTGTTTTTTTAAAATGTTATACTTAAATGAGACTCCTTTCAAACTTAAGACTGATAATCAAGCTCAATGTGGGTTACTACTAACCATTATTTTCACTATCGATTAATCTGTTTCTAATCTAAACTAATCTAATCAGTTATTTTCCTGAGCTTTTGGTCTGGGCCTATGAAGTTCCCAGAGCCCATGGTGAAGTCTTAAAATGTCTGACTTTGTTCGACAAAAAATAGGTTACAAATGTTCACATCTGAGAAGCTGGACATTTTTTTGAAGTAGTTTTGGCTTTAAAAAAACAAGTGCAATTAATCTACTATCGAAATTGTTTATTTCTTCTCTGTCCATTGACTAATTGTTTCAGTTTCACACTGAACAGATTTGAAACAATTTGTGTTCTCTGTGTTGTGGGGTGGGAGGGTGGGGTAATATGTTATTTGTACAGATCTCAGGTACAACAATGCCAGTCAGATTAAAATAAAATTATAACTTTTGTCAATTAAAAACAGTCTTAAAAATGATAGGCAATTTGAGCCAAATGGTTTTAATCATTATTCTCTGTTTTTATCTATGACAGTGTTGTCAGGTGTTGGTTCCGTCACTGTGGACATCCCAAAGGATCTTTATGAGTATGCCAGGGGTGACAACATCACACTGCCCTGCACCTTTATACCCAAACCCGGCTTCACCCCAACCCTAGTCATCATCTCATGGTCTGCTGAAGAGGTCAGACCACTACATTGTGTTCATGTGTTTTTATACTGTATGTGCATTGGCATGAGGGCATTATTCTCTATTAACTGTATATGATAAGAATAAACCATGAATAATGTATAGAGAACTTTAATTTCTTCCTCTTTTAATGTTCCTCTGATGCTGTCGTTGTCTAACAGAGCCTGATCCTCACTCATTATTATCCTGTGGGTAATACTGACATCACATCGTTGTATGAAGGTCGGGCGTCCTTGGATGTAGACGTTAAACAGGGAAAGGCCAACCTCAAACTGTCTTCCATCAAACTGGCAGACAACGTAAATTTTGAATGTCGTCTCCAGATCCCAAGAGATGATGAGGGCAAGCGGGCCGACAGGGCACGTTTGGTTGTTCTAGGTAACAATAATTTAATTAGTTTTCAAAGTATTACACTGTTAACTGTGGGAAAAGTTGTGGAAAAGAGATGATTATTGCATGTTGTTTCTGGCTTTCTATTCAGTATATCAGGTATTATAAGTATCTGAAATGTTAAACCTCAGTCAGTATCATGTTTAACATTCATATGTTTTAATCAGTTCAACAATGAAGTGCAAAAAAACATGACACATGGAAGTAGATCATCAAAATGAAACTTTCTGTAAACACTTTGCCAATGTTGCTGCTTTACTGTGTTACCAAATGCCAACTTCCTTATTTCTTTTTTTATTTTCTAGTGGCTCCATCTAAGCCCTTGTGTAAAATCCAGGGTAAGACAGAGTACGGCCAGAACATCAACCTGACATGTTTGTCTGAGGAAGGCTCCCCGACACCCACTTATAAGTGGGAAAGTCGAGATGTCAGGAACATGCCTCGCATTCGAGACCCCAGAACCACTGACAGTAAGTATGAGTGACCTAGTTTCTGACAGGACTATCGATCCTGGAAAAATATAAGTCAACTGTCAGCATTTAAAGGTCCAGTGCGTAACATTTAGGATGATCTATGGCAGAAATAATATGTATAAATGTGTTTTCATAACTGAATATAGAAATCATTTTTGTTTTGTTGTTAAAATTAGGTAATTAGGTTAGATAGCTAGATGCCACTAAATCCTACACACTGGATTTTTAAAGATTTACTTGCTCCTGCAAAAGGAGAACCTCAGTCATGATGAGGGTGAGAATCATGTGACTCTGCTCCACTTGGTGTACAAGTTGGAAGCTTCACCTCTATCACAAGTCAATTTCTCTCTTTCTATGTTTGATCTTTAAAGGAGAGCCACACTCACAAATCTTAAGACTTTGGAGGGTCAGCACAGTTCACTGTTGAGTTTCAGAACACCAACAGAGAGTTGGGTTCAAATTCGGTGATTTAGGGGAATTTACAGATACTAATGTCAATATTGGAGAATTAAAAAAAAAAAAATCACACAAACAATTTTGATTAGGATCCCTTAAGTTTAGTCATTAAAAAATACGTCATAGAACGACTGACAGAGCAGCACTGATACCAATATTTTGTCTGTGTAAAAGTACTTTTTCACCCCTCTGTATCATAAAACCTATGTATTAGGGATGGCTCAATACCAGTTTTTCATGTTTGATACCAATGCCGCAACCTTGTATATCTGCCATTACCGATACAGTCTGATACCATCTTCATTTTCCCTCTCATAAACATCTAAGCTGTTAATAATACATTTGTATGGATTCACTTTGCTTAATTTAGCCATCTAAAAATCATCGTGCTCAAACTGTGAAACAAATATTCTACTCCCATAAAGAAAGAAATATATAGCCCAAAGTTTAGTTAAGCCTTCAGGTAATAGTTTAGGCTAATGGATCGTATCAAATTATTTTTTTCTGTCTCCGACATCCAATCCCGTAATTGTGGCCAGTATCGGACCAATACCGATGCTGAGTATGGTATACATTAAAATCTTCAATAAAACGTTACTGTGTCTCTGTCTTTCAGAGGGAGGCATTCTGTCTCTATACAATATCTCCAAAGAAACATCAGGATACTACATCTGCACCTCAAGCAACAAGATCCGCTCTGCTACCTGCAACATCACCGTTGCTGTCATGCCACGTGAGAGAAACCTTCCTATAACGTCTTTTAACTAACAATCTGGGAACTTAGTATTCCCAATACAACAACACATTATAATATGCATCCTTCTCTTCTTCTTATCCCACCTTGTCTTTCTTCTTGCAGCTTCCATGAACATTGGCTCCACTGCTGGAATCATTGGTGGAGTTGTCTTTTTGATCATACTCTTACTCATCATCGGCATCTGTTGCTTCTGCTGCCGGAAAAAGAAGAAAGAGGAGGAATACGCCATGAGGTAATGTTTTTCCCCCATAAAGACTAGGGTTGGGTACCGTTCACGTTTGAATCGATACCAGTACCAATACCTGGAATTCAGGACCAATATATGTCTCTCACTATACCCCTTGCATACTGTATGCATAAATAGTATGTAATTCACAATTACATTGATGATTTTACGTAGGCATTCTAACCTAATAAAACGCTATTATTGGGAATCATGAGAGTTTCAGAGCACCAAACATGGTTACCCTGGTAGCAGGTAACCGTTTTAAAAGTATCTACTCAAGGCAACTTCGGAAGTTTTGTTCGAGGTGAACGCTGCCAAATAAAAACCCTTCTCCCACAAACATCTGACTGTTTTCTGTTCCCTTTCCAGAGTTCGTGAGGAAGAGTACAGTGACAAAGAGCCAACAAGAAATGGTGAGGGTCGCCATGCCGATTGGCAAGAGGACATACAAGGTAATAAAGACTCCAGGGCGAGGAGCCCTGTGGAGCAGAGTGACCGCTACGATGAACGGAGCGAGCGTGACTATGACCGCCGCAGAGACTACGACGATCGGCGCAGCGACTATGATGACCGACGCAGCGACTACTCCGACCGCCGTGACAAGTACAGTGACCGCCACGAGCGCTACGACGGGGAACGCCGCTACGACGACGATCGACGCTACGATGACCGCAAAGACCGTGGTTATGATGATGACCGCTATGATGAGCCCTATGATGATCGTGAACGTGACAGACCACCCCTGCCAGCCAATAAGCCACCGAGGAGGGACTATGACGACTAAGGCCTTCAACAAATATTAATCACCATCTTCCATATTTTATTTTTTATTTTTTTTATCTCCAGTGACTTTAGTGTCTAATTACTGCCTCTATGGATCTTGATGTGACACAAATGTAACACCCCAACCATACTAGAGTACAATCTCTCATTCTGTTTTTTAGAGGTAGAACCATGTTAACAGTTGAATTCATTGTGAGGATTAATTGAGGAAGGGCAGGGAACCCAAAATGGCGTCCACAAAGTCTGTCTGATCCATTTTAAACAGGGAGTGGGTGGGTGGGTGGGGTCAACAGTTACAAGCTCTCTGGTTCAGGTATAAACAATGCCCAGGGCACAAACTGTACTTTAGTTGTGTACCAAAACTCACGTCAAACAAATGATGGGAACTGGACAAACATTTTTGAGATTCCTGTGCAGAGATAAAATGTTTTTTCATGTTATTTGTGTAATCCAGAAATCAGTTGGCATTTTAACTTTAAACTCTATGTTGGCATTGTCACATACGAATACAAAGCCTTATGTCTGTCTGTGTGTCTGTCTTGGATTCTTCAGGTGTTGGCTGTAACTGGTGGTAGTTTGTTTTTTTAGGAAGCTGCCTCGACACTAAGAAGGGCTTCAGTTTTTTTGTAATTCTTTGTTTTATCGTATATACCTTTTTATTTTCTCATTGAGTTAGGTACTGCATCCTTGTGTACATAGCCATTGAATCAGTTTTAATTTTAGTACTACAACTTCTTCTGATTGTTGAGTTAGATAATGTCTCCACAAGAACTCTCAGGGTTTTTTTTTTTTTTTTTTTTCATCTAAAATTCAAATTCAAATTTTTTTTTAATACAGCTTACCTTTAACATGCAAAATAGATCATCAAATGTTTCCCTGCCATGTTGTTTCTGTTGAAACGAAAATATGGAAATATTGTACATATGCTATTATTGTATCGCAGCAGTGGTAAGGTTATATTCTGAGATTTATCAAAATTTTCTGTTATTGTGAAACATTTTGAAATGTACTGTAAAAAAGCTGATGAAATAAAAATTAACCAAACAGCAACTTGCAACACTGTATGAATCCTGGACACTAGATGGCAACACTACAAACAACTTAATTTTCATATGATCACATGATAATGTGCTGTAAAAATAAAATATATTATTATTTTATTAGTGCTAGTAGTAGAAGTATTAATTATGGTTAAGATTTGGGGGATTCAAAAAATGTTCGGGCTTTACCCTCCCGCTTCCCTTCATCATCACAATCCATTGTTTTTGGACTATGTCTAAAGTTACAAAACCAAACAACTAGTGCCGGATATGGAGTCATTGGGGCTTCAAAATAAAATGACATAAAAAAGATTTGCACGTAATTGTTTTAAGTGATAGCAAAGGCAGTGTGTTGACATTTTATTATACTTATTCAGATTGATCAGTGTAAAGTAAATAAATATAAACAATATATGGGATGATTTATAGAGTAAGACAGGAGAGCAATAAAAGCACCTATTCTTTCAAAATATATTGGGCCATTTCTCAGTATGTTGAATATATCAACTTTTATTTTATTTCAATATTGTACGGGGTTTGGTGCTTAGTGTTAACAGAATAAACTACATGTATCTATGTATCTCTAAATGTAATATGCCTTAAGAACGAGTACTTGCAGCAGTCAGATGAATTCGGTGTGGACTAAAAATTAACTTGCAGTGAATTAGTTACACATTCAGACTGCGAAAAACTTTTATTATTTCAAGATTTTGGTAAAACACACAAGCCATCACTACAGGAGCAAAGAAAGGACTTCAATAAATAAATAGTGAACTTTTTTTTTTTTTTTTTTTTTTTTTACTATACTGGCAAGTTAAATAAATTTGTAACTGAACAAAATGACTTAAAATTAATAAAAAAAACAAAAACTGAATACAGTTTGTTACATTCTGCCTCTCTTCACAACACATACACTCACATACAACCCTAATTCTATTCTTCTTTTTTTCATTATATCTTGTATTTTTCCATTTTTATTTTATTATTTAATGTGTATTTATTTTTTCATATCTGCTGTGTTCTATATGGAGCTGCTGTAACAAGTGAATTTCCCCAGTGTGGCATCAATAAAGTCTATCTCATCTTAACAGTCTGCATCAACAAACTCTGATTTTGAAAGCCGCTACCGGAAGTTGTGAGTTTTATTTTGACACGCTTGACGGCGGTCCCGCTGCTGCAGCAGCCGCTGTCCCGTTATCTCAACTTGTCTGAGCGAGCTGGAAACGTCGTCCGGGGATGAGACGAAAGAGAAAAGAAGTTTTGAAAAGTTTGATGAAAGTCACCTGCGAGAGTTGGAAAATGTTTTTGATGTCGAAGTGGTGGATTTTTATCGTTTGTCTGACAGGTAAGTGAAGATGAACAAGGGGGAGAAAAGATGGAATCTATTCTGTGTGAAGTGGTGTAACAGGTTGTTGAACACTGATTTAAATTTGGAAAAACGTTTATCTAACGTCGCTATAACCAAGCTAACCTGCACCTGAGTCTTTACAGGCGAATAAGCTTAGCCATTGGATTCAAAACCTTTCCCACATATTAATAATTATGTTTTATAAGTCGAGTGTTTCTTCGCAGTGCTGCTGTTGACTGTTATTTGACCATGTGTGAATGATCCGAGCAGAAGCCTTGGAGGGGGAGTGGATTAGGAGGACTAACTCCTCACCTCATCTAGTTTCTAGGACAAAATACCCTAAAATTATAAAACACACAGTGGATTTAAGTGAAGTAAGCAACAACAAATCAAATTAATAATTGCATTTAATTAATAATACCCCAGACCATAACGTTAGATCATGTGCAAAACCAATAGTGTAGCTCCCTGATATTGTAGATTATAGATAAAGAAACGATTTGTCAAATAATCAATTACTTGATCACCAAAAACATAATCTGTAACTACTCTGATAATCAATGAAGTAATGTTTTATGCAAAATAATGTAGGGAATATGTGGTATTCTGGTTGTCTTAGCCAGTACAATATTGAATAATCGTTTGGTTTTTGGACTGTCAGTTGGACAAAATAAATACTTTTAAGACATCACTATGGACTCTGGGAACTGGATGGGTATATAAAGTAGCATTTATATAATGATTATAATAAAATTGAATGAAAATGTGCATGAAAGGGCATATAACATGTCTATTTCCATGAAAAGCAGAAGACAGTGTGGTGAGAAATCAATGAAACAGCAGGCTTACATATTATTATCTGTAAAAAGGTTTAGGAAATTAATTTCTCCACATGAAATCAGGCAATTCAAGAAACCAGAACATTTATGATAAACTCAAATCTCACAACACTCTCAGCAAGGCTCCTCTCTCCAGTATTACAACAGTAACCATCCTTTCCCTCCTCCTCTTTCTCCTGCTTTCATTTTCTCCTCTGGAGGCGGCTTTCCTGAAAACTAATAAAGCCTGGATCGCCTGCAGTCTTTGATCCCAGGAAGACCAACCTACTGGCTTTTTTTGTTTCAGTTCTTAGAAGTCGTAGAGCAACGCTCTCCCTGAGGAATTTATGTTTTAGTCAGATGGATTTCTCTCCCCAAATCCACACGACTCCAGCCAAACCTTTACTTTTAAGACCAAGTTGGCTTCAGATGACGCCACAGAATCCTTTTAATACATACCTACAGAATACCATTGTTCGCTGGTAAGAAAAATAAGAGCAGAAAACTATCATGCAAGATGTGAATGATAGTATCCACAGGCTTTTTTAAGAATTATGTTTATGTATTTTTCAATAGTAGGCAACAGCTGGTCTGAAAATGTAAATTACATACGTAAAATAATCCTAAAAGAAATTTACAGTGTAAACTGACTTTACAGTACAAAATCTGCTAACAACTTGAAGAGCAGATTTGTGGTCTGTCTGATTTGCTTTAACATCTGACATTTTTCCACCCTTAAAACTCTGATGGACAAATTACCTGGCATTTTGAGATAATTGGCACCGGCAAGTGCCTGCACTCAAAAGGCCTATAAACAGAACATTTCTGCAGGTATCCATGTCAGTGTGGCTGCTGTAGAGCGATGTTAGTGCTCCGCCTTGTGATTTTTGGGAAAGAGGTGAAAAAGTTAGTTTTTGAGCCCTGTGCTATAACTCTTTTTCCTCAGACACGATCATCTTTTCTAAATGTTAACAAGTTTCTGCCATCCTAATGGACAGCAAATCTAATCGAAATCCATTATTGGCTAGCATTAAATATATATTACATTACAATGTGTAGAATAATACAGTTAAATTACGTAGCTTCTGACATAAATACCAGTAATTTCCTCAAATCTACAGCATAACCCAATGCTTTTCCAATTTCATTAATTAATGAAAAAAACGATGTCCATTGAAAAACCGATATAATTTAACCACTAATTTATGGTGTTTAGTTTTAACGACATGGATTTTGTATTTTACTGTTTGACATTATTTGTATGGGAGTGATATGTAGGGTTTTGTGAAAAATGTTCAGTTTTTGGTCTTATAGTTTTGATTTTATTGCTACCACAACAGCAAATCTGCTTAGAACCAGCTAATGTTAAACATTTTGCTTAATAGATGACTTAAATGATCGCAATTGTTTAAAAAAAATGGTTAACTAACAACTAATCGATCAACTGACTAATCCTTTGAGCACTAGTTAATAATGATGTTTTAATAGAAGTCACTCACTCACTGTAGCTTTTTGGTACTTTTTATTAAATCAGTTCTGGGACACCAGCTGAGGGTGTTTAGTTAGACTCACTCTTAGTAACAGAAATAAAACAAAACTCTTTCAACAGGCCTGGTCTGGATTAAGTGAAGCGGGCCCCCTCTCTTCCCTCACCTCATCTCTGTTCACTGGTCCAGTTCAGTCCCACCTCCCACTGCTTAGCCTAAGAAACACACACACACAGCAACAGCATTCACAGATGTTTCTGGGTGTGTGTGGGGGTGTGTTTCTCTCACATGGTCACCTCTCTGGTGTGTGTTGCTGTTGAACTGCAGAGCTCAAGCTCCTGGTCATCATGTGACCCAGAGTCCTGCGGCTCCAGAAGCTCCAAAACAAAGTCAGGTCAACTCAGCTCACAGTCAGATTTCACCGCGCAGAAGCAGCTCAAAGAGTCTCAACAGCAGCTCTGTGTTTGTACACGTATCTTGCCAAATTGCACCATTAAATACATTCCAGCTAGGGGTGGACAATCTGACAATTTTAGATCCAGATCACAGTATTTAAAGTCCTCTAACTTCTGTTTCCAAACTTCATGCAACCTCATTCACTAGCGGATCTAACGGATGTAGAGTAGGGTGATGTAGCCAACTAGATGGCTATGCTGATCGGACAAATTACTTCAATTACTACGGCTCTTCCTTGGGTGACGTATTGGAAATAATGCAATTGAGTTTTAAGTATGTGAAAAGTGTTATTTTATGATTAGGCCTGTGTTATCTTTTGGGTTCTGTTAACTTCAAACTTCAAACTAAACGTAGGTTTTAATCATTTTAAAACCAGTGTAGTATCTTTAGTTCAATATTATGTTTTAATGGTGCAAATTGAGAAATTCATAGGCTATTTCAAGTCTTCAAGTTCAAGTTAAAACAGGGATTGTGATGTCAATTAAATAGAATGTGAATATGGAGGTATTTCTATTTAGTGCTCATCCTAACATATTTCTACTTTTGGGAAAGGGAGGTGATGTTACTCAGTTTAATGAAAGATATGCAATGTGATTCGTCAGATATTTTTAAAGTGAGCAAACAGGAACAGGTGCCTCCTTAAACCTTGATTCAGCAACTGAATCACTGTGTGTTGCTGTCTGCTGTAGTAATCCTTAAATCTCCCTCATTACACATTCCCAGTTATTACTTGTTTTGGCTGCCATATCTGTGGTGTGTTTGCCTAAGCCAGAGGTTTACAGTCTGACTGTGGGCCACCTGCACTGTGTGTTCATATTTGACCGAGTTATGACTGAGAAGAAGAAGACTGATTTTTCTCAGGTTTTAAAATGTCATGCAGTGACCCTTTCTTCTTTCACACTTTATTGATCCTCCTTCATTATCTCCTATCCTCCCACAGATGTCCTCCCGCCCCGTTGCTCAGCGGTTAATGTGTTTGTGAGAGATGAGAGGAGGTATGCTGTGCTATTCCAGTCAGTGGTCCTGCCATGTCAGTACAACAGTGTGTCCACCCAGATCCCCGTGGTGCAATGGGTCTACAAGTCGTACTGCCGCGACCGCACGCGGGATTCGTTCAGCTTCCCCGACAGCCTTAGTGGAGGCTTGGGAGGAGGGGGGCTGACGGGTGGAACCGGAGGAGCCAGTGGAGGGTACGACACAGGGATGACAGCGAGCTACCTCGACTGTGCTGACAGCAGCCGGACGGTCCGAACTGTGGCCTCCATCTCTGGTTCCTCAATCACGCTGTCAGAGTACTACAAGAACAGAGACATCTCCATCATTAACAGTAAGACTTCAGCAGTACTAACCACACCCGCGGTTCTGTTTCTCTGATGTCCATGCTGAAAATCATCTCAGGTCTTTCAATAACACAATTAGTAGCTCATTTCGGTTGGATGTAATCTAAACGTCTAATAAGCTTCCACTTTATGAGTAAATTCAGCTGGGTTTTGTTGTCTCTTCGCCTCCAGATCACCAAATGAATGCTTACTGAATGCATTGTACCATTAATTATGGGTATTCATTTTCTGTTTAATAACTCATTTATAAACTAAATTAAACACAAGTAGAGTAGTACAAAATGTGGGGTGACCACCATCGACATACAACAGGTGGATGTCACATCTCCTCTTCCTCCCACTGTACATGAAGTAGCCAGAGCCTGCGCAGTAGTGATCGGGGTTGGTGCCATGGTATCAATGTCAAAAAGGCTCTTTGGAAACCTATGGGTGACGTCACAGACACTACGTCCATTTTCAACTGTGCACAGCTCGTTCCAAACTTGCCTTAGAGCGGGAGACTCTGGAGGAGGGCAGCAATTAACTCTCACAATGTGGGGGAGTCTGTGGCGTCCGATCTAAGGGAGCTGTGTTGACTCCAGCACATTCAATACTATCATCAAATACTGTGGACAAAAACCTTAAAAAATAGGAAATGACTCCAAGAGCAGCACTTTGAAACCAAATCAAAAGCATTTTTTCAGTTTTGGTTTTAAAAATTCACAGTTTTGGGCTTCTAGTTTCATTGGTGTATAAAAGAAAAAGCTGCTTCTTTGGTACTTTTGTAATATATTGATCCAAACTAATGTTCTTATTAGTTCTGCTGCTGCTTCTGTTTTGTGAAAGCCATAAAAGGGTGCCTTGCCTTCCTAAAAATCAGTCTTGCAGCACTCAGATGCCTGCTTTCTATAATCTATGAGACAGGTATAGATATAATATTAATATGTGTATATTGGTCTTCTATTGAGTCAGACTATTAAAGTAATCAAAGGAACTAAAATCAAATCTCTCATTCCAATAACGGCTGTGGTATAACAAAATGTTTCAGCAGTTTACAACCGATTAACTGTAGGAATTCATGCTTGTGCCACCCCCCACTTTCTCCAGGACCTACAGTTACCATCATGCCATTTAAGGATCATCTAAGGGACACTACTGTGCATATGATTACGTGTGTGTGCTTGTTGAAGACATGAGAGATAGCCTTGTTTTGCAGGCCTCAGATTTATGGAGCTCTAACTCTGGTTGAAGAATCGACCTTCTCTTCACCAGCCAGGAACACAGACAAAAGAAATGGTTTTCACACTGTCCTCTCATTCATCCTGACCTCTCACTCCTTCCCTCTGATGTACTTCAATGTCCCACTTATATGTTTTGACTCTCTAGATCGCTCCACATCCCACCAGCCGCACACTCATTTCTCTCAGTTTGAGGCTTTTCTTTTACTTTTTTCTTTTCTCTTTTTTTTGTCCCACTCCACATCCTGTCCTGAAACAAGTCAGTGCAGAGATGTTGTAAATGGACAAAAAAAGTGAAAGCTTTAACTATGTTGCCTTTGGAGACGCCCAGTCATCCATACCCATGTAATCCTATTCAGGGTCACAGGGGAGGCTGGAGTCTGTCCCAGCATGCACAGGGTAGGGGCTGTTCTGTTAATCACATGGGTAACATAGACATAGACAAACCAACACACTCAGTACTCATGGTCCTTTCAAAGTTCAAAAGAAAACCAGGACGTGTATGTATACATGGGAGCTTGAAATAAAATAAACAGTGTTAGAATAAAAATGGTATGCTGAATGTGTGGAAGCGTGACTTCGAAAGAGAGACTTGCCACAGTGGTGCGATCAGCCTGTCTCTCTTCCCCCTTCCTTGGCCAACAGGAAAAGGAAGTGAATTATACAACCCATTTCCTGTCCACTGTATTTACATGTCTGACCCATTCACAATGGAGTCAGTGGCCAGGCCCAGTATTGTCTTGTGTGTTGTATTCTTTGGCTAAACTATATTTGAATTGTTTTTAATGGATTTTCAGTCTTTTGGGGGGATTTTGTTGGAATCTTGCATCCATAATTAGAAAAATATGAAAAACAAAACATATTTTAGCCTCCTAAAAATATCAATGTCAGTTTATAGATGTTTGCTATATTTAGGATATTTTTACAGCTTTACCATGTTGTCAGATTTTCAATAGGAAATGGGAAGTCCTTCCATCTATGTTCTCTCCAAAGCCACCAGACTAAACCAGATAGAAATCCTTCCATTACCCGTGGGAAAGGGCTTCTTGACGGCAAAGTAAAGCAGTGAAAATGTTAGGAACAATTTTGAGTGGCAGGTTAATTAATATTCACAACCTGTAGCTGAAAATGAGATATAACTTAATTAATTATGAAAAAAAAAAATTGTGCCAAAGATTCTCAGCTAGTTAAAGTAAATATATTATCAACATAAGAAATCAAATGTTGATAAAGTATGTAATTAATATGATATGATATTTTGTGCAAATTTTAACCCTTTCCTTTTTTCTCCCGCAGAGGCAGACCTGCGCATAGGAGAAGTCCAGTGGGGAGATAGTGGAGTTTACATCTGTAAAGTGGTTATAGCTGATGATTTAGAGGGACAGAACGAAGCCTCCGTGGAGCTGCTGGTTCTTGGTAAGCTACCGGTACTTTCCCAACATGCCGTTTTGTCCTCGTTGTGTCTCATTGACATCCCTTTAAGCTCGAACGACCCACAAATTCAACAATGTGTTTCCAGTTCTTGTGCGGCTGTGACAGTTTCAGCATTGTTGAACTTTTACCTCTCATGATTCTCATGTCCCGTTTTAATGCTGAGTGCAAGACTGACGGCAAGTCTGACCAATCCTTCATATGTAATTAATCATCGACCCAAAAACACACACCGCTTACTGTAAATTAAATTATTTTCCTATGAGCTGCTGTTACATAACCAAGCAAGGCCTTCATGAGCTGACCTTCTCACCACCGACAGCACAATACAGCCTCATTAACGAGCTGATTAACAAGCAGTGGAACCTCCTGGGCTGTCTTGGCTAATCTGTAACCATAGCAACTGCATTCACTCATACTGTATGGTACTATATAGACCAAGCTTTTGAAATTTAGTTACTGCAGACTAGTTATCTCTTATATGAGTCATTGCCACTTGTGTCAAGCCTGTGTGTGTGTGTGTGTGTGTGTGTGTGTGTGTGTGTGTGCGCACGTGGATTCTGTGTGCCTCATGTTGTAAAGGTATCTGCAGTGTGTTGTTTCTTTACAGTGTCAGTGTACTTGCCTGTGTTCAGTTACAAATGTTACCATAGCAATGGCTGAGCGGCTATGTGGCTCTTGGTGCTCTAATTCACTCTGAGGGTGAACTTCTGTTTGGCACTCAGAGACTTATGTGTATGCACATAAGACACACACACACACACACACACACACACACACACACACACACACACACACAAATACACACACAAGTACTGGACAATGAGCTTTTACAGTTTGCAAAGACTTGAGTGCATTCTGAATCAGGTTAAATGTTGGGTACAGCCTTGGTATGGTTACATGTTATAGGGGATGACAGGATAAGATAATGCTACGGGAAAATGAAGATGAAATGATTTCCTGAATGATTTGTCCTTTGCAGTCTTAATCCCACCATGAGAGCCACTAAGTCTACCATAGTGCCAACATGTTGTATTTCCTGTTCTTGGTGTAGCTAAGACTGCATGTGAGGCACTTGTTGTGTTTCCATAACAACAGTTGGGGCCACCGCAAATGGCTTGGGGAGTCTTTTGTCTTTTGAGCAAATGGCTTCACCACAAAGAAGACAGGGATGATTTAATGACACGGAGGAGGAACAGCAGAGCACAGTGTACAAAAGATGGAGGGTGACACCATGTTAGACACTCGACTGATGTGGACCTCTAAGTGCTCGGTGGCTGATACAAAGAAGGAAGAATTCTGCTTCCATCTGTTCTCCCTTTTGAGTTCAATTGCTGTTTTCATACCTCACAAGCTAGTTAGTAATGATATAACATTTTTAAAAAACATTCAATTGTGCATGAGGCAGGTCATTTTCCATCACGGAGAATATTGGCTATTTGAAACAAACCGCTTTTGTCCACAGGGGCCCACAAGGATCAAAACAAAATTAAAGCTCCTTGAGTAGGCTTTAAGTAATGAACAAAACACACAAACAGTGTAATCCATGAATAGATAGTGGATCCATCTATCTATGTTAGATAAGCCCTCTCAGCAGAGCTCTACTAGCATGTAGGCTCACATTCCCTTTACAGTTCATCTCTATAGAAGGAACCTGGGTAACCATACACGGAAAAACAAGCAAACCCCAAATATTTGAAAGTAAATATCGGTGAATCACCAGCATGCAGGAAAATTCATGAGCGAGTGGGAACTCACACAAGTGCTTGAGCAGGAGGGACACAGAAGAAAACAGTGCTTTAAATTTACAAATGCACATAATGCAAATTTCAGCACCCAGAATGAATTCATGTGGTGATTTAGCTGCTTTTCAATAAACCTTCTGTTTTCTAATCCAGCAAAGAACACATTTAGCCTTCCAGAAAGATACTAAGTGAGCTATGTGCTTTGTCAGCTAAAGCCAGGCCAAGATAGTCCGGCCTGCTCTCTGTTTCTCCGGTCCTTCTTTCTCATGCTCGGCACTCCTCTCCTCCTCTCAGCGATAATCACACTGTCAACAGTCAAACACCAGTATCTGCTCACATCACACTGACCTCCTGGTTTTTTCACTTTTCAAAGCTTCGCCTTACATTCTCACATGGACATGTGCATCCAAACAAAGCACTCATGCACATTTTTGTACCAGCTTAAGACACGCTGCCCTTTATCTGTAATGTTATGTTATGTTTCATTCAGACATCTGCTGACCTTGTGTGGAGTCCCTTAAAGCTGTGGTAAAAGAAAAACAAAAGGTGTAAGACAACACTAGCAAGCTACCAGGAGAAACAATTGACAGGTGGTGATGGTTTTTAAGGGGTTGGGAGTTTTTTTTTTTCCTCAAATATAATGACTCTGCTTCCATTGTAAATTACCAAATCTAAGCCTTTCTTAGAATAAATTCAGTGTACACATAACAATACAAATATAACCAATACATCTGCCAAATTTCTAAAACAAATGATTGTTAACATTAGACAACAAAGTACCTAATCAGTTTTGGCCATTGCCACGCTGTCAAAGCCTCATAGGAGCTGTAGTTAAATTGTTTCAAACATTGGGGAATGTCTTGTCTTCAACGTGAGGTTGCCGGGAAGTCGCTGTTCCCAGCCAAGAAATCGTCCCACCACATACCTCCATAAAAAACTAAATTGTTGTTTTTAATGTGTGTTAAAATGATGTGGTGTTCAAATTTAAGCATTCCTGTAGTATTTATCTGTCATTCAAAGAACAAAGAACACATAGAAGCTAACATGTCGGTGGCACACGACTTCTCCTGAATTGATAAGTGCGATAATTTGTCAAATGGGAGAGAGATTATTATAAAAAGAAGTAATGGACTCATGATGCTCCAAGACTCATTTATGAGCCAATACTCTGTTCACTGGCCAGACAGCAGAGAGACAAAGACAAAGAAGTAGTTTCAGGAATGTTTCTGTTTCTCTGCAGTCTGTTTGCAAGCTATGCCGCATGAGGAATGTTCCCACCTGTGATTTTTGCAGGCCTGCATGTAACATTACTCACAGCTCCTGCCTATTTGTCATGGTATCTTCATGAGAATGATTCATGTTCCAGTCTGTCTTCTTACCAGACAGAAAACCTTACAGCCTTTTATATCAGAAATCAAATGATCAATCTGCTATCAGTTGTTCTGATATGGAGACTTTCTGGAACAAGACCAGAATGTTCTGTGGTGCATGCTGCTGTTGAACTCTCTTTATCTATGTATCTGTCTTTTTTTCTCTGTATCCCTCTTTGTTGTGTCTTCTTCTCTCTCCATGCATGCTGCTGCAGCAATAACTTTGAATCAGTCATTCAAATTTATATCAACCCCATTTCCTCTCCTCTCGTCTGCTCTGCTCTCCTCTGCTCTGCTCTCCTCTGCTCTGCTCTGTCTCTCTCCAGGTTTCTCAGGTGTGCCTGAAGATCTCCTGCCAGAGTTTGATTTGAAGATTATGCCAGGTAGGGGCATAATGTATTCTCCCCCTCACCTGGTTCCTTGCATTTATATTAACCCTACTAACTGCTCTAACATGGTTGTAGGGACCTGGGATGGATTTGTGTACACAATATAAGAAATTTAGAAGAGGATATTTGAAGACTGTTCTCTAACATTTGGCACATGAGACTTGGTCCGATGAAGAGAGGTGAAAAAAATGCTGATCTTGTTTGACGGTTCCTATGCTAACCGCTCTGATACTGTCTAACCTATTCTCCTGTATGCGATTCAGCTATAATGAGGCTTTGACAGAGTTGAATTCAGAGCCGTTTTAACCCAACAGACTGATCCACACCCGTCAGATAATGAGCTGACCGTTGCTCCCACTAGGATGAGCTGTGCTGGAAAACAGTTATTATGGTCATTAGGGTTATTTATGGTTGTGGTTAGCGTGTAACCCCACAGCATTTGGACACTACCCAGTAAAAACGCAATGATTAAGCGGGAGGGAGGTTTGTTTGTGTCACATCAAATTCCTCTAAATACGTATTTGATTATCACAGAGTTTGTGGGAAGATAGATGAATTGTGTGGACATGGTATGATTCACGCAGCCAGAATGGTTACTGCACGCTTATCTCTGGTGTTAGTGTTGCATTAGTACATGTTGTTGTCCACGTCGACTCCCACGGTCCTTTGAAATGTCTAAATGTACTGTGTGTGTGTGTGTGTGTGTGTGTGTGTGTCATAATGATTCCAAATGAGATCACATTACAAGCTAATTTGTTGTCACAGCCAGTCAGTATCTTACAGAGCAGAGTTAACTGTCGTTTTCCTTCCTGTAACAAAATCAGGTTTCCTGTGTGTGTTTCTCCTTGGTTTCACATTGTTCAAGATTTCTTTATCTGCCCTCTCCTTCCCTTCCATTTGTTTTGTCCCTATAGATACATGTGGTTTTGTCAGTTGTACTCGCTGTATCAAAAATCATCTTGTTTTAGTTGTGACTCATATTCTGACTAAGATTTAATTTGCGTTCAGAGAAAAACATAAAAGGCTGAGGATATAAAAGGCTTATTCCAAGGTATCAGAAACACAAGGATTTTTATTCTCAGGTGATTATACACTAATGAAAACATTGTTATGCGTATTATATTCCATTTCTGCCAATAGATCCTCCTAAATGTTACACACTGGACCTTTAAACACATCAAAGACTCTCACAACACAAGGAACACCTGATTAATATTGTGACTTACTAATCAACAATTACTGTATATTCTTATAGTCTAAATTGTAATTAGGTACCTTTCTATCAGTTAACTAATCCACAATTATAATTTACTGCTACTACTACCTTTATAACCGTTTTTCTTGCTATGAATTGTTCCTTAAAAAACTTTTTAAGTATGCTTTCATTATTTTCCAATGTAAACATGATAAATCTACAAAATAAGGATAATATAGTATACAGTTTGCAGCTGGGGGAACTTACAAGGCAACTTTACCCTGCTCATCTTGGCTCGAGGCTTTTAGCCACAACTACCAAAACACACCTGACCAAAACTGTCTGTGGTAGATTGGTATTGTGGGTAATGTAGGCAGCAGGTTTTGACGAGTAAGACAAATGTATGGACTGAAATGTGTGGATCTCTGGTTCTGCAACAATTTTATAGAAGTGCAAACAGCCAAACTGTTGCTATGTATGTGTATGTAAGTATTGTATGTCCTACTGTGTGTTGATGCTTATTTATATACAGGATTCTGTGTTGTGTGTACTTCCAGAGTGGGTGTTTGTGGCGGCGGTGGTGCTTGGCAGTGTCTTATTCCTGCTGTTGGTTGGGGTTTGTTGGTGTCAGTGTTGTCCTCACTCCTGCTGCTGCTACGTCAGCTGCTGGTGTTGCCCCGACACGTGCTGCTGCCCTAGACACCGTGAGTATAAATACACACACAGTGATAAAAACCACCAACCAAGACTTTGGTTGTAAGAAATATGTTTCTCTGGAAAGTCTGAATGGGATTGTGTGTTGCTTTTGTAGTATATGAGGCAGGTAAGGGTATAAAGACGGGCTCCTCCAGGCCGCAATCTCCTGCCTACCCTCCATATTTTGTCACTGGTGTCCCGACGATGGTCCCCATCGCCCCTCCCTCCTTGGTGGACAAGATGTCTTCTGTGTCCCCTTCGGATGGCAGTCTACTCACAGCAGGTGAGGTCTTACTCTTTATTAGCGTGTCAATCTGTATTTTAAGAATTATTGAAAGACCCTATTAGTGTTGTGTTTTTTCTTAAATCATCCCCAGAGTTTATTCTGAATTACTCCCTTTAAATTGTGTATTTCCTTGACTTAGAATAATCTACAAGATAAACTTCATTTGTAATAGAATAAAATAGTGAAATATAAAACAAGCAGAACCACCAATATGGTCCTCAATCCACAATAAACACACACACAAGATGAAAAGCAGTTCTCCATGCTCATTGGTCAAGTGTGTATCTGCAGTGCCGATGCATGCTGTAGGGGTTCCCTATCGCGTGCCCTCACCTCAGGATCAGGACTCTCTCAGGGTGCTACAGTATGTAGAGAAACAACTGGCTCACTTCAACCCTGCCAGGTCTACCAGCCACCAGTGTAAGATTTATAAACCCATCCTGTGGATTCATTCTCTGAATGAATCCTTTCTGGATCTTCTATAGCAAGTTGATGCAATCAATAGACAATGCATGCTGCTCTTTACTGTAAGCTGCCTTTCTTTTCTCTTGAACTTGTCTTGGCATGCCTCTCTACACAAGCATTCTGCATGTTGAATTTCCTGTAGTTCAGATGTATAGCACTGCAAGAATATGTTTTAACAATCAGCACTCCAATGTTCAACGTAATATCTTGCAGACTTCGGCTCTCACTTTCTTCTTCCACAATGTCTTTGTTCTTCTCTGTGCTTCCTTTAAGCAAAATGTTCTGTTTGTTTACTTCTCTGTTCAGTCATTCTTCATTTATTAATTCCCTCATTTTGATTCATCAAGCCTGCAGCCTGTCTGAGCTCAGCTCCCTCCATGAGGGAGATACGGGCTTCCGGCAAACATATCGAAATGTCCAGAAGAAAGCTCTGCCTGCCATCCCTGACCATGACCCTCAGCCTGAACCCCAACGCTACCGTGACAACCGCAGCCCAGAGCTGCAGCGTCATCGTGACAGTCCCCCTTCACCCCAACGATATTGTGATGACCCCGACTCAGAACCTCGCCGCTGCCAGGACGAGCCCCTTCCTCCTCGGCGGTACAGCGACGACCCTCCGTCCTCCTCACAGTCACGCAGACCCGGCCGAAATCAACGGCAACAGAATCACAGCGAGGAGGAAAACCACAACAGGTACTCATACTTGTGCTCTGTAGTAGCCTGGTTACTGTACATATACGTAAACATTCAGCAGATCAGATCCTCTCATACCCCCAACCATATTTAAGCAGTTTCTCTAATCCATTACCTGATTACGGAAGTTTTTTGTATACAGTACATAATGTTTAATCCATCAGCTTACTGTACAAAGTCAACTGTAACTTAATTGCTTACAGCAAGTGTATGTAAACACAGATTCTGTATATCCCCTCCTTCTCACTGTTGGTCCACTCTTGTCGTGTTTTGTAGGTGGAACCCTCGTTCAGAACATCTGCAGAGAAAGACGTACCGTACTGCAGGACGAACCGGCTCACTGGATGAGCTGGAAGAGTTTGCTGCTTCTTACAAGCAGAAAGAGACCAGAAAGACAGATAAAAGGGAAGAAGAGAGGGCAGACTATGAGATGGAGCTTATGGAGTTCAGTCGATATCCTTCCTACCGTGTTGCTCCGCCTCAGCATTATCACAATGATGAGAATGAGCTTGGGGACAGCAGCGACCACGAAGATAATCCCAGACGAAAGAACAAAAATGGACATATCATAAGCCCACTTCATTCACCCCAAAAGAGGAGGGGCACCCCTGCCCCGCCTCCTCCCAGAATCAGTCCACCATCAACTTCTTCTCAAGAGAAGGACTACGATGGCACGTTCCTAAACAGCTTGCTCGAGCGTAAGGCTAAGTTACGAGGATTCAGCCAGGGGAAGAGTGGGGCCCGGGTTGAGGAAGATTCAGACACACCCTCAAAGGGCAGCTCGAAAAAGAGCAGTGGGGAATCTAGTAGGCACTGCAGTCGCTCGCCCAGTAACAGGCCTGAGGCTGATTCACTGCCTCCTTACTCAGACACAGAGCGAAACAGAACTGAAAGGCCATCTCCACGGCCACTCCCAGCAAACGCTCGCTCCTCTCAACCTCCTGCCCATTCCCTGCCCGGTCGCAGAGAGGACCCCAGAGACAAGAACCGGAAAGTGGTGAGTTACATTTAAGTTATTGGTTGGTTTGTATGCTGGTGATGCTAATTTGCAGATCAATAGCAGTGAGTAGAGCTTATGTAGTATTTTCTTTGTTTTTGTTATCGGTGTGTAGTTGATGAAAACATTTGTTAGAAAAATTTTAATACTAGGCTAACTACAAAGTATTTAACACTCAATGTTGTATTTCCCTGCTTTAAAGAGAGTCTAATAGGGTGTAGATGGGTGAAGCTCGCAGGACTGAACGTCGCTGACTGGTCAAACACAGAACCAGCGGTTGGTTCATTCGCAAAACAAGGAGGTGCTGGGAGGCTCTTGTATGAATCATCAATTTGGCTATGTCGAGGGAGGAGAGAGTTGAGAGCAGGGAGAACGAGAGAGATGGGGGTGGCGGTTGTGAGAGGTAGCAGTAATGTGAGAACAAAGCGAGTAAACAAAAGATATACTTGATTTACTGATAGTTTCGTCATGGCTTAAAGCAGAAATAAACAAAACACAGACCATCTACTATGGAGACATTTCTCTCTATGTCATTCATTATTTTTTACGTCGAACTCAAACATCAGAGTAAGAGCAAAAACAAAGATCAACAGGATGATTCCATGTTGTTTTATTGTGCGTGAAAGATGAGTTTCAAAAGCAGTCTTTTTTAATCAAAAATGAATTTAATCAATTAATCCAATTAGCCTAATCTAATCTAAACAGGAATGCAAAAGGAACTTTTGTTTCTAGCTTAGCTCCTGAGTTCAGTTCATCTGGTTTCAAAGTTCCAAGAACAATCTGACCATAAATTATAGTAATAATAATGAACTTTATTTATATAGCACAAAAGTTACAAAAAAGGGTATATTTCAACCTTTAAACAGCCATCGACATACCTTTAAATACACACAAAGATTAAAGAAAAGAATCCACTATCTGAGAAAGGTATCCCTGCCCACAAAGCTAACCACTGCTTTAAGCTGGAGGTATATTTTTACACTTTAAAAAACAATATGGTAAATGGTAAATTTAACTGCATCTTTACTCATTGTTATCAATTTCTGAACGTTGAGATTAATGTGTGATCCAAGATTATATTCCATCTAATCCTCTTTTCAAGATGGTGTAAAAGAATTTATTTATTATTATTTATAGATTTTCTTTTCTTAAACCAAACATAACTGAGAAGAATTGTAATGTGTTGTGGTTAGAGCCTAGTACCTACGCTGTTTCCATTGTAGTTCAGTTTCTCAACCTTTTCTGGCCTATGACCTCAATTTTAGCCCCCAAACTTTTCACTTAGAGAGTTAATCATGTGAGTTGGATTATGGCACACTTGGAGGGATTATACAGAAACGATTATGTATTTCAAACCTGCTGTTATTAAACATGATATGTCAAACTCATATGAACATTTCTTTAGCTCTATGGTTGAGAAACTCTGACTTACAGTATAATAAAGGTTTGTAGGCCCACAGTAAGTGTTCTTGTTGTACCTTTGACAGGTCAGATTCAGATGCTACCACAGTGAAAACTAGGTAGAATACTCTGTTCTGTATCCAACCACTCTCTATAACAGTCATAACTGGTTGTCCCCTCCCTCACAAACCTGGGTCAAAAAGGTATTCAACATCAGAGAATTCCTGTAAAAGATCAATTCATTCATCAGAACTGGCTTTCAAACTTCAAATAATTGGAAAAAAGTTGAAATCCAGTTTGTCCCAGGTTCAACTTCACCATAATAACCCCCGTTTGGCTAATGTTTACTACTCTTTACTCTCTCATTCTACTCAAAAAACATGTGTTCATATTTTTTTTTCATATTATTAGTTTTATATTCTGGTGTAAACTCAGTTTTTTGGATCACTTACACTACTTTTTAATCCTCAGCAGGGCACTCTCCTAAGCCGGGATTCCCTCATCGTCTGATCACGTGAGAGCCACACAGACCGAGTACTTTGAGCAGACTGTACGGGAAGTGCGTGTCAGCCGACGACTTTGAGTGTGGATATATGCAAATTACAACTGACTATGAAGGAAAGCTGAATGAAAAAATGGACAACAGACAACATTTTTACTATCGAGACTGTTACTGGGGTTTCTGCCTGTGACGTCAAGAAACGATGAAGTCATCACGGTTCAGTTTCTGTCACCGGCTGCCTCATATATTGTATATGTCAGCTGGACTAACACTGAACTAATGCGGGCTGGCTGTATGACCTAGACTGTCCCTGCCAGCAGGACACTGTTCGTCTCCCCCCCGTCCCCTTAGAAAACGCTCTGAAGCGGAGAGACCGGCTTTACGCTTCCAGCACAATGAGCGCATTCATTTCCATTTGATGAGATATCTGCATTAAAAGACACAGTTGTAAAAAAAAAAAGAAGTATATGACAAGAGCATTATTGTGAAGTACATATTGTAGCTTAAGTTGTTTGACAATACAAGCACTGTGTCATTCAGTAACATTATTCATGGACTAAAGCAGCTAATTCAGATGCCTTTTGCAAGGAGATTTTTTATTTTTTGCCTTTATTGGATAGGACAGCTAAGACAGACAAGAAAGGGCCAGAGGGGATGACACACAGCAAAGGGCCCAGAGGTCAGATTTGAACCAATGGCCGTTTCAGGTGAGCTACCAGAGATTTTAATGTTAACTACAACTGGAAGGAGTAACCAACATTACCAAACGTTGACATGGTGTGTGGACAGTAACTCAGCTGCATTAAGCAATATTTTTATACTGACTGACTGTGTGTAATGTGAAAGTTGTCACTTGTAGTCACAATTTATCACCTAGCTCTGCAGTTCCCCTCAACTATACGGAGAGTTGTAGCGTCTTCCAACTCATTGTTCTGGTTTTTTTTTACCTACAACTTTTCTGTTTTGGTTCACTTTCATTGCTCTCATCAACCCTGTTTCCAGCAGCAGCAGGCATATGTTTTAGTTAAACACTTGACTGCACACTACCTGCTCTGCACCAAACAGCAGACAAACACAGTAAGCAACTAGCTGGTGAACATAGTGGAGAACTTAGCAGCTAAAGAGCCAGATATGTCCCTCAGGAGTTGTTGGAGAGAACAAAAACAGAACCAGAATACGAGTGAATATTGAACTTTTATAGTGTTACTTTGTATGTCTATGTAAGAACCTGTTCAAATGTTCCCCATTACAACTTTATAAAGTGCTAATATGCCAGTGTTTACAGCTTCTAAGACTGCTGCCATGTGGCCAACAAATAATGTAACTTACATGCAAGTGAGCTGGGTAATATAAGGTCAAATTCCATGTAGCAACATTTATCAGCTAGAAAAGAAGTTAGTTTGATTTTTATTAGTTTTTAAAGCAACATAAGACAGAAACAGAGCTCTGAAGAAACGGAGCTGCATGGCGCTCATTTTCAGTTCATGAAAACATACATTATAGTCCAAATACAGAAAGCTACATTGACAGAGTATTAAATGAATGAGGGTATGGACCAACACTGCAGACCTGCCCCTGACCTATGACCCACATTTGCTGCAGCATTTCCAGTGTTTATTTAGTTACTTCTAAGTCACAGTCATTATTGCGTGAAGCAGTAACTTTAATTTCTCTCCAGACTGTGTGTCAGTGGAGCTTTTCTTCTATTAATAGATGTGAGTTTGCACAAAGTAACTATTTTCTCGAATGGACTAAAACCTGAAGAACGTTTTTTTGTAAACATTTAAGGTGTTAAACAGCCACATGCCTTAAAAACTTTTTTGTATTACAGCATGAAGATATTTTTATATGTAAACTCGACCAATTTTGTGTGTGGTGTGATATGATTGTTGTATTTGTATTTTGTAAATGATTATTATGTTTGTCTAAGCTTTCCAGTGTGACTGTGTACATAAGATGAAGTGTCTTTGATTTGATAACTGTAATTCAGCCTTTTCTTATCACCGCTGAGTCAACAGCTAAACCAACAGCTTCACTTGTTATCATTCACAAAACACACGTTATCCTACTGATTTTCAGTCTTATTACTGACTTGGTTCTAACATTACGCCATCCAGTGTTTCATTATTCCTGCTTCCATGTTGGGTCGGCTCGTCATGAGAAAAATCTCATGTTAGTGTATAATTGTTTTTAATTGTATTTTCTGCTGTCTGGTACTGACTGTTTGTGCTTGTATGAAAGAGAGAGAGAGAGAGAGATGACTCTTTACATTTCTGTAAAGGAGACAATGTGTAATTGAGTATGACTCATGTCTTTGTTCATTGTTGTAATCACAGACTGCCTGTCTTTACTACACAGCTGTGTCAAAACTCACATATCAGTTCTGCCAGCTCAACCACAGATATCTGTGAAGCAGTTGTTTTGTCATCCATATAAATAATTTGTTACAACCTGTAAGTCAACAAAGTATCTGCTTATTGAATTGTCAAGATCCAAGAATTCAACGACTGTTCTTAAGTCCAATTCTGATACGGTTGTTTACTTGAGTATTCAGCTTTCCATGGTACTGTATTACTGCTTCATTATCAAAAGATTTTTTTTTATCCCTCTGTATTTACTTGAGAGTTATAGTTATTGTAGATAATTACATACAGTACATAATACATTATTTTAAATGTAACGCAACAGTATAAAAATAAGATATGAAATCAGCTGCACCTTGACCAATAACCATATACTGCTGCTTGCACATTAAAACATTAGTAACAACGGTCCAGTACTGTAATATAATACTGTACTTAGGAGGCCGTTTTTCTTCATAATAAGTACTTTCACTTTAGATTCAGCGACAAAGAAGATTTTTGTCACCGTCCATGGTACATCAGTTTTTAAGAAAAGCAATCTAATGAGGCTTTAAATTGTTAAGTTATACAAAGTAACGCTTAATTATTTGAATTCCAATTCTAAATGTTTTTTTTCCTGGTTATACTTCTGTGATTCTACTTTAAAAAATAACTTTGCAGGATTTTTAATTGCGTTCTTTTACCTTGTATCACTTCTTTAACCTAGGTTAAAGATTTGAACGCATCTTCCACCATTTCAGGAACAGTTAGTTAATTAAACACTGCAAGAACAATTATTTTTATACCATTCACAGGGAGATAAGAGCTCAGTCTTTTGGGTCTTGTGTTGATGTGAGTGGGAGAGAGGTTGTGTTTGCATCATCTCATGTACTGTCTGTTTGTGATGGGAGGGATTGGTTAAGACAGCGACCACTCACAGTCGGAGAGTATGTCAGGAATGTTGTTGAGCAACTCCCTCCTGGCTTTACAGAGGCATGAGTGGGTAAATATGACATCACTATACACCACAGAGTTCGTGTTTTTTTATGTGCTCCCCTTGTGGAGTTCACCTGGAAAAATGTGATGCCATTATGCTAGGTACGTCAGTGCATCAGTCAGCCTTTAGAAAAAAATATGATATTTGGTGGATTGTTAGGTCGCTGTCAGACAAATCTGATCAAACTACACACATAAAGTCCTGATAAAGAGTTTTTAGGTGTCACACTAAATAAATAAATATCACCTAATGATGTTTAGTCTGAATATTTAATGATATACACAAGATAAATGCTTAAGATTTCAGACTTGAATACAGTGGTGTAAGTAGTACCCTTAAGTAAAAGTAGTAATACCACAGTGTAAATACTGCTGTTTTTTACTAAAATAAAATGTATCAGCATCAAAATATCCTTTAAGTAACATAAGTTAGAAGAACCCATTTAAGAATAGATGTTATATCAGTGATTATTTAAGCACCACTGTAAATATGCAGCTGGTAAAGGTGGAGCTAATCTTAACTAGTTATATACTGCTAGGTAGATTAATATATACTAATAAGGAATCTGAAAAGTAACTAAGTAACTACAATTGTTAGATAAACATGGAGTAAAAAGTACAAGATTTGCCTCTGAAATGTGGAGGTGAAATATAAAGTAACAATCTCAATTTCTACCTCTGGTTTATTAGTGCAGCCACTTTCCTGATAAATAAATGCGTGCAACATTGTAGTTTTATTGTATGTAATTCAATAAAAAATAGATTTATGTATGTTAAAACCAACTTTCCTACCACTGATATGTGTTGATGTTCTTAGTGACAATTATGCCTGCAGGCAGATACAGTAGCTGCAATATGTGTATTGATTAAATGGCAAATTTAATGCCGAAACATGTTTTACGCCAAGTGATTACAAGTTTATCTCTGTCTCTGAGTGAACGGAATGAAGTAGTGTCTGTGCTTCACGGCCTCAGCAGAAGGACAGGATATAAGGGAGGACAAGTGGGAAACAAAGAGTGGATCTTGGCACCAGTTTCCAGAGGGGGATAAAAAAGCTCGGAAGAGCAGCAGGTGCAGATTGGGCGTGCTCAGAGGGAAAACAATCTTTGACAGTTTGAAGGACTCAGAAAGCCCTTCAGCACAACACACAAAAGCTGTCTGATTCATATGCATACGGACCAGACGTTTTTGTAGGACGACGTCTTTAAAAAGTCTCTTTAAAAAACAGCTTGGTTTTATAGTTTAACTGATTAGAATTCAAGAGTCATATTTAAAATAATCTCATAACAATGAAGATCTAGTTTGGTAAGAAGAAAAAAAGAATAGTTTAGGCTGACATCTAGTGGTTTAAGTTTAGAGTTACAGCTAAATGTTGAAAGAAGAAAACCAGATTGCCACTGTCTACTGTGTCTAATAGTAACAGCATAGGAACATCAAAAAGGTATTTTCCTGTGTCTTAATTTCAATAAACTGCACACTTGCACTTTATTTTAATACTTTGTCACTTTGAGTTTATGGTTAAATGTAGATCTTGCTTTATAATGGTAATTATAACTAATTTTAAGCTTTTGTTCATGAGTCTAACCCTCTCTCTAAGGCGACAAAGCTGAAAATATTTACTGTTTCAACCATTATTTCATTAAATATGTTAAAACACCATTCTAGTTTCCAAATCTTTCATCAAAATAACCCAACATTATTTTGTATTATGTCAATATAATCATATAGCTAATGTAAATATTTAAATATTTACTGGTCACTATGTGGAATTAAAAATATATCATGTTTTGATAAAAAAAATAATATAAATCTTAATGAGCACCCGACAGTATGAATCCCCATATTATAATAATACATTTTCTGTCGTATAATTAGCATTAGCAGGCCTTCCTGTCATCCCTTCTCACGTTAGGGGATTTCTGTGCCCCTGGCTATGTCACAGGTTGCGATGAGGTCACCTTTTTTTGGGTGTGGCCAGAGATGACTGCAGTCTCAAGAACTAAATGCAAAGATAGGATACTCCACATGCAAAAGCACTGAATGAGAGCAGCTGGGTTTAAACTGAGATTAGAATAAGTCCTTCTTTTAACTGTAAATCTATTAACTATTATTAATTTTGCGTCCTTCTTTTCGTCATCATGCAGATGCTACCTGCCCTGATCCTCCTGTTGTTGCTTCTCAAAGGTATTTTTAATTTCTTTAAATATTGTTTTAAAATAAGTTGTGTTTGCCTGTTTATGAATTTCCCTGAAACATTAAAGTGTATTAAGATGAGGCTGACGGAGCAAGTGCATTGACTTATTTATTCATTTTCATTTTATTATTAATATATTCTCTTAATTTAGAAGACTTTACTGATACCTATACTTACAGATTGCTATACGATATTTGTGAGATAGTTTATTAGTTATTAGATAATTATGTTTCTACAAGTTTTATAGTCTTCCATCTTACTTTAACAAATCACTGTGACCTGTCAACATTAAGGAAACAGGTGAACTCAGCAGGTTTTATTCCAGCTTTTAAATGTTTGGTTGGTAGGCTCACAGTAAACAGTTTCCTGTGTCTATGTCACCTGTTTTTCTGGTTCTGCCGCTTTTAAATGAATTCCTTGGTTACTGTTTCTCTTACCTGCCCGCATCTTTTTGGCATGTGAGATATTTGTTTTTTCTTCTTACACAAAAGTGTACAAATACACAAAGCACTGTATGTAACCCTGTGTTTGCCATCCCTCCACAGTGTCTGTGTGTATTCAGGTGATTGTTCCTCAGCAGGAGCGCAGTGCAGCTCTCTTTGACTCAGTGATCCTCCACTGTGACTACTACACCTCTGCACACTACGATGACGTTCTGGTCACCTGGAGGTACAAGTCCTTCTGCAAGGAGCAAGAGAATGACTCCACGTGTAAGAAATAATGCAAGGGCACACAAATAAACACACATCCAGTACAAAATACAACATAATGCAGTTATAAGTCTCAGAAATGCTTCAGATTGACTTATTTCTGCAGTAGCACTTCAACTTACTTAATACCCCAACCTCACTGTTTCACCTTGGGACTTGAACGGTCTTTTCATGTTAAAGGGCTTAAAATGGTGGTGTAAGAAGTTAAATACTGAGAAGACCTACTATTCCTGTAGTTGGTTGATAGTCACCAGTACAGCTTCACAAGAGTGATCTTTTGATCATATACCTACCAAGCAGGAGATATGAATGGTAGTCACAGAAATCTAGTTGTTTCTTGTTTGAATAAAATCTTTGCCTCTGGTTTTGCAGCATACCAGTCGGCGCTACAGTTTGGACGGGACCCATTAAATAACTGTCCAGATCATCAGCGGACAGTGCGCACAGTGATCCAGAGGAGAGGAAAGAGAGAGCCAGCACTGGGATCGCAATACCGTGCTCGAAACATCACCTTACAAAAGAGTGAGTTCATACCAACACTTGCACTTGTATTTTACAATTTGAAGGTCAGGCTCAAGCCAGTCATGTCCAATACAAGGTGAACCCATATCCATCTTGAGGTGAAATCTGTTGTTAAGAGCAAAGAAAGTGGTATCAATCTTCTCATCCAACTGAGAAAGCAAATAAGCGCTTTTCCTAAAATATCAAACTATTGCTGTAAGTTTGTAATTGTTTGTAATTTGTACTTGTGAGAAAAGTATATACATATGAGCAGATAAAAACAACAACATCCCTTCATCATAACAGACTTACATTCCTGTGAATGGCAGGTATAAAAAGACCAATCAGCAACATGAAAGACAAACAGGTTACACTACAAACATGGCCAGATTATGTACTGTAAGTGTCCCAGTGTTTGTAGTTAAAACACACTGGCTCTATCTCAATACAAGAGGAGAACTGTAATGTTGACATGGTAAACACAAGTGAAACATCCATATGTGCTTATAGCTACTTAAATGTATATATTTAGTGGGATTTTTAAATAAACTTTCTGACATGTGATAGAGTCTCACCCCAGACTGGCCTCTTTGACAACCAGTGCTAAAAGTAACAACATCTTATTAAGACAGCAGTGAAGCCCTATAGAGAATTTAACCAAAAGTTTGTGTGTGTGTGTGTGTGTGTGTGTGTGTGTGTGTGTGTGTGTGTGTGTGTGTGTGTGTGTGTACAGAGGCAGACCTGGTGATCAATGAGGTGACGTGGTCGGACAGTGGCGTGTACTTCTGCAGTGTTGATGCTGCTGGAGACACTTTTGGAGACAGTGACAAGGAAGTCAAACTCTTCGTCAGGAGCTGGACCGCTGGGAAGCGGGAGCCTGACCTATAGACTTACTGAGCGAGTGAGGGATGAAGTTACACCGCTGGTCGGTTGAGTGCTGGATGGTTTCACCATTGGCCACTGCTCTTTCAAAATGAATAGCAAAGCATTAAAGTAGTTATGCACCGTAACTCCAGATTCTATGAGTATTGAGCCACAATGGACCAGACAATCAGCTCTCAAAAATAGCTTTTTCTTTAGCTAGTTAAAGGAACCAGTGGGGCCCACAGTTATCATCATTATCATCATCAGCTTTATAGTTCTAAAGTTGCTTTTCATAAGCATTAACCACCCTTTTGTAACTTGTTAGGCTACTTTAATCTATTTTACACAGTTAAGCAGTCGAACAACAACTTGGCTGTAAAATATTTTTGTACTACATTATGATGTTTTTTATGTGAACTCTTTTTAAGTGAACTTTTTTGTGTGATGTGAGTTATCATTTAAAAATGATTGTCTAAGCACTCAGTGTAACTGTGCACATATAGTGTGTCTGATTGGATTGAAGTATTTGGCCCACCATTGAAGCTAATTGTTTTCAGTGATTAGATGTTTATGTTTGTAAAGTGGTGCCATCTTGTCTGAATGAGCATGGAGTGAAAAAGGGTAATGTTTGTGCTTTAAAGCCTCACTTTGGTATATTGTTCAGGAGAGAGTTTAAACATAGAAAAATATATTTTAAGTATTACTTTGATTGTGTTTTAATTACAAAGGTGGAAAAATGCACATTAAACATCGACCATTTGCATTTTAATATAATGCTTGAATTCAATTAGATGTTAGGTCAGTGACACAATTTAATGAATGTAGAAAACCAGTACGTGTATGTCTGTTTTAAAATACAGCAAATAGGGAACAGAATTGCAGAACAGACAGGTATTATGTTTATATTTATGTTCAGTTGTCTTAAACTGATAAATCTGAGATAATGGCCATTTAATGGTAGTATGATGTCGTCCTGGCACTTTGTGCATGAATGTTGTCTTTACATCAAAGACCACAATGGAAATACGTTTTGAACTTTATAGTGTTATCCTTGACATGTTGTATATGTGACCCTGTTACACTGTGTTTTAGATTAGTCGAATTCAGTGAACACCAATAGAACTGCAATAACAAATATATGGCAATAATCACAATGCAATGGTTTACAATGCATAATTAAATGTATGAATGTGAAATGGTACTTGTATGTCTCCATATATTTTGCCAACTGTGTTTTTAAATTCAAATGTATCATTGAGGACTTTATATATATAAAATGTAACTACAACTGACTGTGAATATACTGACATCTAGTGAAGAGTTGCCAAACCACAGCAATGAATGGCATTACTCTAAGGAACAATATGTGGGTGTAAGTGTTATTCTCAAAGCTGTTATTTTGAAATAAAGTAAAATAACTCATGTTGCTCTGTACACAAGGGTGGAAAATATGTGACAGTCACATTTAAACATTAACATAAAGGCAAGTTTAAAGAACAAAAAGAGGAAACAATGTGCCAGGAAATTCAGGTATGACGGAAATACATAAACATTCAGTAAAAAACACTGGAGGAAGAAATTAATAAATCATTTATATGAATTAAATAATTTTCTTTGTTGCATTTTGATTTTTCAGCTGGAGAGTTGTAATAGGAGATAGTATCAAGTATAAATAAGTCAAACTCTGGTTCTTTATTGGACTATTTCATTCAATTATTAAGAGTTGGATTAAGAAGATAAAAAATGTTGTCCATAATTATGAATTCATTTCAAAATCAATGAAAATAGCACTACCATAAAGCACCTATATATAGATAGAAAGCTCTGCACATCAATCAAATATTTGGAATACATCACCACATAAATCCCAGGCATTAATCGTGGTATTTAAAGGATATATTGTTCGCAGTGACACCTCTTTGACTTCCCTCCCGTTTTTTGGGGGAGATTCCTGTGCACCTGGCAGCGTCACAGGACCGGATGAGTACACCTGTTTCGGGGTGTGGCCAGAGGTGACTGCAGTTTCAGGAATTAACCAAAGATACTGTTCGGACACACGCACAGGACGAAACGATGAACAGCTGTGTTTAAGAATATAGGCTCTACTTTTTACCCTTTTTTAAAAAACTTTTTATCGTCATTCGAGGATTTTTTTATTTTTATTTTTATTAACAGTTTTTACTGAGAGCCGGAGGTTTTGTGGAACAGCGTTGTGTCATCATGCGGAGCCTACCTGCCGCCATCCTCCTGTGGTCGCTTCTCAAAGGTGATTTCCATTTCGAAACATATTGGCATCATTTTGTTTTAAAAAGAGTCTTGTTAACCTGCTTCTGAATTAAAAGATTTAAAAAATTTCAACTGAAACTTTCCAAACTCGAGGTATCGGTCACATGTCAGTTTATTTGACATAAAGATGGATATCTTGTTTATATTTCCTGTCCTACAGGTGGACTACATACTGTGTGTACTTGAAGATCGTTTTTTAATTATTATTTTTTTCCTCCATTTTATTATTAGTGTCTTTATTTAATTTTTATTTCACTGATACCTACTTACAGGTTGTTATGTGATCCAGTTGTGCTTTTAAACTGTAACCCACAATTTGTATACAGTCTTCCATATTATATTTAAGACTCAGTGTGACCTGTGTACATTTAAGGACATGTTAACTTCACAGGTTTAATTCCAGCTTTTGAGTGTTTGGTTGGTAGTTTCACAGTAAGCCATTTCCTGTGTCTTTGTCTATGTCACCAGTTTTTCTGGTTCTGCCACTTTGAAATGAACAACTAGGTTGAGAGAAACCCTCACACACATTGTTTCATTCTTGCCACAAGTCTTCCTTACCTTGTCTCAATACACAGGCTACCGTTTCTCTAAATTGGCAGCATTATTTGATTTTTTTTTTTGGGCACATAAGAGAACTTTATTCCTCTCACATGCACAAATACACAAAGCAGCCAACTGTATGTAACCGTCTGTTTGCTGTCTCTCTACAGTGTCTGTGTGTATTCAGGTGATTGTTCCTCAGCAGCAGCGCAGCACAGCTCTGTTTGCCTCAGTTACACTTCGATGTGACTACTCCACCTCTGCAAACCTCCAAGATGTTCTGGTCACCTGGAGATACAAGTCCTTCTGCAAGGACCCTGTGCTGGAGTATTACTCCACAGGTAAGCAACATCCCACACACCGAAAGAGGGCATAATGGAGAGAAAAGTGATGGTATATTTGCATTACCAGGCACTGCGCTGCTGATGTGAAACAGAGGAGGGAGGTAAAGCATGACTTGATGAGGAAAGGACATCATGTTTATATAAATCTCATATTATCTCTGAATATTCAATGCCAGAGCGAAAAAAAACCTTCCCATACATAGTGAGCTAATCTAAATGATTTCTTTCAGCTACTAGATGGTGTATTAGCCATAGGCTCCAACTATCCTCTACCCAATACTAAACACTTGATTGATGATGATAAATGAAAAATGTGTGAGTCAATACTATTCCAGCAGAATGGTCCAACACAGAGAAAAACCTTCATTCCTCAGACCAGCAGGATAGTGAACTCTGTCCTCTGACCTCTGTATCTATTTTTCACACTTCTAGCACAAGCTTTTGGCATGAGTATGCCACACTGCATTTCCTTACACATGATGCTCGTGTATGTGACAAACAAAACCCTTGAATCCTTCCATTGTGATGTGAGGACTTGCCTTGGTTTATTGACCACATAGTTTTTTGTTTTATAAGAAGACCAAGAGCAATGCTAGTGTATGTAATTAGGCAGAGCCATGCTTTGCACTAAATGCCAACACATCTTAGTTTGCATTTAAGCATGCTAACATTTGCTACTTACCACTAAACACAGAATACAGCAGAGGCTGATGGGAATGTTATTAGTTTATCTGGGGATTATGAATGTAAATGTTATCTCAATTCATCCAGCCTCTGTAAAGATATTTCAGTCTGGACCAAAATGGTGGACTGACCAACAGACTGACCTTGCCATCCCTATAGCCGTGCCACAAGCACTATCTCTGTCTTACACAGCACAGAATAATAACCTGTAGGATAGTCGGTAGTGGTGCTAAAGATGCTTTAATCATATGGTTGTTTTAATTAAAACTTTTCCTCTATGTCACAGCATACCAGTCTGCACTACAGTTAGGACAGGACCCATCGAATGACTGTCCAGATCGCCAGCGGACAGTGCGCACGGTGATCCAGAAGAGAGGAAGCAGCGAGCCGACATTGGGAGCTGAATACCGCGAGCGCAGGATCACCATTCAAAATAGTGAGTTCAGGCATTATACGGTCCCATTCAACACATCTGGTATCAGACTCAACCCCTTTGTGATGAGACTAAGATAAGACTGTATTGGTCTTGAGACACTTTATTATACATATTTTGCTTCACCTATCATTCTCAATTTTCAATATTTTGTGGTAGGCATATTTTTAGTCCTCTACTTTAGTTGTGTGAATATGTTTTAGACTGTTGGTCAGAAGTTGGTCAAATTAGAAATGATATCACTTGGGAAGAATTAAGAAGACAGTTGTTTAAAATTGCCTTTTAAGGTACCACAGTTTGATTGGAAGTTTCTGTGTGTGTGTTTGTGTACAGAGGCAGACCTGGTGCTCAATGAGATTATGTGGTGGGACAACGGTGTGTACTTCTGCTCTGTCGATGCTGCTGGAGACACCTCTGGAGACTCAGACAAAGAAGTCAAACTTATCGTTTACCGTAAGAAAAAAATGTTTAAACATGCACTCACTGATACACACCTATTGACAAGATGTCTATGTCTCTGGGCACACCACAGTAAGCATGTATCTTCCTCTCCTCTCTCAGACTGGTTAACAGTGTTGTTCATCATCATCGGAGCCCTCCTTCTGATCCTCCTCTTCTGTATCTGCTGCTGCCAGTGCTGCCCTCAGAAATGCTGCTGCTATGTTCGCTGTCCCTGCTGCCCACAGCAATGCTGCTGTCCTGAAAAAGGTAGAAAGCAGTCCCCATTTAGAAAACTCTTCTTGTTGGTGCTTTAAGGATGCTCTGATATCCAAGACAAGGGAATGGACTGCTGATAGCAATAAATTCACAACTTGTGGTGTCAAAAATGCACAGAAGAGAAACAAAAAGGCAACGTGGGAGTGAAAAAACAGATAAAGTTGTTCTGTTTTAAACCAAAATCATTATTAACTGGTAGTCAGGACTAGTCGAGTCCAAGTCAAGACCAAGTCCAAATGAGAGAGACAGTCAAGACCAAGAGAGAAAAAAAATAATGCTTTTGCCATTGCTGATTGTTTGGGTTTTGGCAGCCATTGGCGGGCATTGACACTGGCCAATCAATGCTCATTCGAGATGGAATTAAACCAATACCCGTTTTTCTGAAGTGCACTTCACCAATGGTTTTGTTTTTAAGTAGGAAGTTAAAAAGCATATACACTCCTGAACAAAATCTTAAGACCGGGGGTAAAATGACAAGTATTCGCATTTCGCATTGGTGGAACATAACAAGATTGTAAGTAGAGTTTCAAAATACCAAAAGAAGAAACAGGAGGAGGAGCTAGAGACAAAACAATAGCATAGGCAATTTATTGAAAATTGCATTAAACTCAAACAGGCTGTTCATCAGCTGATCAAAAGTTTAAGACCATAGGCCAAAAAAAACCCAAAACAGAACTAAAAAGGACTCAGTAGTGAGTAGCCCCACCATTGTTCTTGATCACTTCAAAAATTTGTTTAGACATGCATGATGCGAGTGTTTCCAGGAGGATGGTGGGAACGTTGCTCCATGTGGTGAAGATGGCTTCACGAAGGGCATCCACGGTCTGGCACCGACGTCTGTTTTTGTAAACTTCCCTTGCCATCCATCCCCAAACGTTCTCAATGGGACTTAGATCAGGGGAACATGCAGGATGGTCCAAATGAGCAACGTTATTCTCCTGGAAGAAGTCCTTCGTCAGGCGGGCTTTCTTTCCACCTTTCAATGTCCCATGTTTGGTGCTCCCTTGCAAAGTGCAAACGGGCAAGTTTGTGGTGTGGGAGGAGAAATGGCCTTGGAAGACGTTTTCTCGTCTGTCGCAGATGCCGTCTGATGGTTATTGGCTACATCAGTTGCATCAGTAAGGGCCTTAATTTGGGTCGAGGATCGGCCTGTGTCTTCACGGACAGCCCGTTGGATCCTCCGGCTCAGCGCAGGTGAAATTTTTTTGGGTCTACCACTTGACCTTTTTGTCCCATAAACCTCAGGATCTTTTAAGAAATTTGAAATGACTGTCTTACTGCGTCCAACCTCGGCAGCGATGGCGCATTGCGAGAGGCCTTACTTGTGCAGCTCAACAATCCTGCCACGTTCAAAGACAGAAAGCCTTTTTGCCTTTGCCATCAGTTGGTCATGACAGTGTGAATGCCTGATAGAAAATGACATGAAAGCCAGATTTTTGCAGATCTGGACTTTTTAAGGCTATGGTCTTAAACTTTTGATCAGCTGATGAACAGCCTGTTTGAGTTCAAATGCAATTTTCAATAAATTGCCTCCTGTATTGTTTTGTCTCTTGCTCCTGTTTCTTCGTTTGGCATTTTGAAGCTCTACTTACAACCTGGTTATGTTCCACCAACGCGAAATGCGAATACTTGTCATTTTTCTCCTGGTCTTAAGATTTTGTTCAGGAGTGTATTGGTGAACTTGGTCGAGAAACTAAAATATTTGGCATGAACAATAGCCAATGACACGTTGCTATCAGCATCTCTTCGTTGTATTTCTGACAGCCACAGTGCAGATAAAGAGCCTGTATACTCAGAAGACGCTCCTGCATTAATAAATATGTATATAAGAAAATGCTGTCCTGATCTTTCAGCGGTGATGCAGCATCGTATGATGAAGGAGGCTCAGAGGGCCATGGCTCCCTGGATGGGGGGACAGCCGGTATATGGACCAATGAGCCATGCCTCCTCCCAGATGAACCCGCTGCTCTACTCAGGTACACACACACATTATGTTACACAGCAAGTCGGTTGACGAGCAGACTGTGGCCTTAATACCTTCAGTCTTCAGACCTCTGACTCTATGTGTATGTTTTTGTCGCTCCAGGATCTGCTTCAGGCAAGAGCTTCCCTATGAAGCCCATGCCCCTCCCTCCTCCTCAATCTTCAGCTTACAGCATGCCTGCTCCCAGTGTCCATGGCAACCACACCCCTGCCAACACCAATCAGATGCTTGATTACTTAGAAAACCAGGTGAGGGGGATGGACATGGCCAGTCCTCTTCTACAGGTATGTAAGCATGTCCTCAAATCTGTTTATGTAAACAGAAGGGCATCAGATTATTTTCTCATTAACTGATTAAATACAAACCCTTGCTCAGAGCAGTCCTGTTTAGTCACTTGTAGTATTTTAGTTTATATTTGGGGCCCAATAATACAGATTTTCCAGTGGCATGCCTTTGGGGAAAGGTGGGTTGCGTTATTAGCTGTTTAGTTTGGACTAAAATGAGTCTCTTAAGAGAATGCAATGCATTTTTGCAATTTTGCAACTACCAAAGAAATTATTGTGGAAGCTTTTGTTTTAGCAAAAAAATGCATTTTGATTCAGCGTTATTTAAATTAAAGTCATTGGCAAGGCAGTTAAAGAAACCAGAGTTTTGGTGGCTGTTTAAAGTCATGGTAGGGTTAAGGAAGGAGCCAGACTTCATAGAGAGAGTTTTCCAAAGCTATTCGACCATCTGACAAGCAGTTCTGATGGAGTATGATGGCCACTTTACAATTCAATGAAAAACTGAGTGGGCATTATAACTTTTGTTGCAGGGTTTCCCAAAGGAAACTCTCTCAATCAGTTATTATATTTATGCCATTTCCTATATGTTAAATAGCACCTTTTATCTTTTTGCCAAAAAATCCTTTGAAAGATAAAGTGCAGTCTTTGTAGCCAAAATAGTATATACTGTGAATTTCACTGAAATGTACGAGTGGTGGTTGTCATTTATATTTACTTCTTTATTTCCTCTTCTTCCCATCAGTCCCAGCCACCTCCTCCCAACCACATGCAGCAGCACCAACCTCCGCCACACCACATGCAGCAGCACCAACCTCCGCCACACCACATGCAGCAGATCCAACCTCCTCCCCAGCACATGCATACTGTCCCATTTTCCCCCGGCCCTCCAAGCATGATCTCTGCCCTTGATGATGGCCCAACAGAGCGCCGGGTCATCACACTTCCACCAATAAGAGAGCAGCCGCCAGTCAGAATCCCACCCCCTGCACCCAGGACTCGCCCCCCGAGCTCCAGCGAGAGCAGCCGCAGCGGCTTTGGCCGTCATGACGATCGAGGTGCAGCAGGCAGGCGTTATCCCTCACCCACCCGGTCTAGGGGTATTCCCAGGAGCTACAGCGAGGAATCACTGGATGGGCGGAGTCGCAGCGGTGCACGAGGAGGCATGGACCGGCCCCGCTCCCGTTCTAGGGATGACCTATTTGACAACAGATCCAGGGCAAACTACTCTCCCCCAACATCAAGGCGCCCTAGAGGAGGGTCCTGGAGCTCAGATGATGAGGGCAGCAGCAGGAGAGGGGCAGGTGGAGGAAGGAGAGGAGGAGGAGGCTGGGTTGACAAACCTCCCAGCTACTCGGAGTACGAGCCTGGACAGAAACCAGGAGCACGGAGGAATGAACGCTACTCTGTAAGACACACGCTGCTTTAGATGATAAACACACTTTTCTTGCAACTACACCAACGCACTTAGACAAATGCACACACACACACACACTCAAACACACAGTCATTTTAAAAGCAGTCTGAGGTATACTGATGATTGTTAGTGAAGTGAATCTAAAGTTAGTGTGTCTCTCTCAGGGTTCTCGCAGTGGCACCAGTGTCGTCATCTGAACCCCTCCAGCTGTGAAACGCCCTGTGACCTCTGTTTCAGAGAACACGTTCACCTCACTAGAATTGGGAGCCAAGTTTTCTGGCTACTGGTAAACTTTTAAATGCTGCCATTTTGTGTATTTAAATGAACCATGGAGCAGCCCACTCATTACCTTTTTTTTTTTTTTTTATAAGTGAAAAACTGGCAGAAGGATTCATAAAATGTGAGATTGAGAGATTCATAAATTTGGGATAATCTTCCTCTTCAGAGTGTGCAGTGCCAGGTGGTAAAGCAAATGTTTGGCGTCAATAAGGAAACCTATTGAGTAGTCTATAAATGGTTTGTTTTTTAGATATTGTTTTAAGAGAACTGAGCTTTACTGTGACTACTGAACAGATTTTGGAATAATATTCCCCTCTGCTGGTTCATCAGTGTAATGAAAATACAGGGGATTTGGATTAAAAGCCTCCTGTTAGATTATTCTCAAATGTGGCTTCAGAATTGAGGTTTCTCCTCTTAAAGAAATATATATTTAACACATCAGTAAATAAACAAATTACAATTGTTTTTACATTAGCCAAAAACTATTTAAACCCATATAAATATGAATAGACTCTTGTGAATGATGAAAATTGTTTTTAGCTTTTTATAATTTTTGTAAATAGTTATTATTCATATCTCTAGATGTGTTGTAGTGACATTTATTTTGAAGGAAAGGTGTATATTAGCATTAACATTAGTCTCTGTTCAGATAATAATTAAGTGTTTTTAAACCTTTTGTACATAATGAAGGATGTATTTACCCTGAGTGCTTAAACAACAGTCAACACTGTGTCTAAATAAGTAATTTACATGGTGTTGAGTACTGTCAGCAATATTACTGGTCCAAAAAGCTGTTTTTTTTTCTTTTTAAATTATGGTTGTTGGCACAATATGAAAATGCAATACTATGTTTTTTTCCAGTTTACAGTTCTGGAAACTTACCTGGTTTATTCCCCCCCCTTTGGCTTGTATGATGGTATACATAAACTAAAAATCACTTCACATGGAATTCAAGTTGTTGACTTGCTGTATGTTCCATTGATGTTTTATTCCCCACTTTTTTGTATTTACACTGTACAGTCAGTTTGTGTTTATTAATAACATTGATAATAAAAAGTTCTGCCTTTTGGGGTATAACAGAACTGTTTATTGTTCTTATTCCCAAATACCAAGTTTACAATATAGAGAACATCATATGCAGAGGTAGCCGTTTTTTATTTATGAAATTGAAAGCTTTATATCACCAGTCAGTCCACAAAAATTGTATTTATTCCATTTAATAGCTAAATACGAGCATGTGGTTCAGCTTAGAATCAAAAGTAGCCAACTATCTACATTTAACCAAATCTGTGGCACATCAGACAAACACATGCTAATTTACCAGACTTCAGTAAACTGTTAAGTCAAATAATCCACAATTATCCACAATATGAGAAGCAGAGACAAGTTGTTTTTATTCTTTTAATACTGAATTAATTAATTTATTAATTCTTCATACCTCTTCTCAGAACCAGGTAAAATCTTTTTGTTATTGCCACACCTACATCTCTTGTCATTTTGAGGTTACCTATTGTGAGTGGTGTGTTACTAAAGCCATAACCTTTAAACTGTCTAAAAGAGCAGCTAACGTCATATTTCTGGGTAGAGCTGAAAGGATTAGTTGAATAATTGATTAGGCTAGTCAATTAACAGAAAATTAACTGGAAACGGTTTAAATAATTCACAAACATTCACCGGTTCCAGCCTCTCCAATGTCAGGATTTGCTTATTTAAATCTTACATGACAAAAGGCTGAACTTCTTCACTATTCTGTTGGTCAATAACATCAAGGAAAAAGGAAATTACTTTTCACTATCTCTGACATTTTATAAATTAGCAAACATAAAGAACCATTCAGCAAGTTATAAAAATGTACAGTTGCTAGTTTATCATTTTTTAGGTAGGCCGAGACCCCCTAAATATTGGCTTATGGCCGGGGCCCTTCTGAAAATCACTATGGCAAGAAACCAAAACAAAGAAAACAACTTCTGAATATATATCTCCTTACTTGTATTGTGCAGTAATAATTTAGTTTTTTCATTCCATCAGAATATGAGCATTTTTATTAGTTTTTCTTTTTTTAAAAATGTATTTTCCCTCATCTTCCCCCAAAAACCTGCGGAGGGCCCCTGGTGGCCCCGACCACTACACTGAGAGGCGTTTCTAATGTCAGTACGCTATAATGAACATTAACTGGTTACCAAAATGACCAAACAGAGTAATCAATGTCTCTCTGAAACAAGTTCAAACTAAAACTGAACATAAACCTCCTGCTGGTAGGATTTGCTCCAGGCCTGTTACAGCTGGATAATAAACAACTGGAGTGCATCATGTCTTTTAATAATAGTTTAATAGTTAAATTGTGAACTGAAAAGCTTCCAAATGCGGCACGACTTCGGCGTAAAGACTTAAATGTGATTATAAAATAAATACAACCACCAATAAAAGTTGAAAGGGCGACAGGAGCACTGACTCCAGACCAGCCGTCTGTTTCTCGGCGAACTGCGACTGTGCAGTGCTGGGCTTGTTTTTTAAGTCGCACTCGGATGACGTCGCAGCGAGAGGAGGTGCGGGTTTGCCACGTCGGTCTCTGTGCAACGCATTTACACTGTTGCTCCTGAAGCCCAGGGCTAACTTTTAAAAGCCCTTTTTATGTTTTCGACCGGAGTGAAAGCGACCCTCCAGCATCGCCGGTGCCCTCGTAGCTCGTCGCCACAGCAGAGCAACCCGGTATATTGAAGCTGGAAGGCGGAGAAATGCTCGGTGCTGTCTGGACTCGTCCGGCTGGAAGCCACACAACTGACTGATGCATCCTAGTTCAGTTCACCCTCCCGTATGTTGTCGATGTTGTGTGAGTAATTGGGGTTTTACAGAGCTTTTTTTTTTTTTTTTTTATTTATTTTTAAAGTATCTATAGGTTTCATTGTGCACGCTACACCTTTCTGTTTCTAACGCCGTTGTTGATTCAAGTTTCCGCGGTGGACAAACATACAAGGCTGCCTGATGTCATGGTTCAGACAGGCTGCTTCAGTGCATGTCTTAGCAAGTCTCTGTAACTTCACAAAAAAAAAAAAAAAAAACTCTTAACAAAGTCCCCCCCAACCCTCAAACTAAAAAGTCCAACAAACAGCTTAACGCAGTTTCATTTTCAAACACCTTTCTCCCGCTTCTTGGTGGCTTTTTTTTTTCCTTTTAACACTTTTAAAAAGACTTGTGAGGTGAAAACTAGAAACGTGTTGCACTTCCACAAAATGACAAAATACCATCCTGCAATCCCTCCACTGTAGTTAATTTCTCTATCTCACAGTTCCTGTTTTCACTTTTGACTTTCAGCAGTAATTATGGTCCCTTGCGGTGTGTGAGTGTGTATGTATGTATATGTATGTGTGTGTGTGTGTGTGTGTGTGGCGCTAACGGCTGTTTCCTGTTGAAGATTCAGTTTTAATATTGTTGGAGCTACACGCTGGCTCCAGAGCGTGCTCTTGTATCATCTCCATCATGCTTCATAAAGGAAATGCAGATATACTCAGAGGTTTTGTGCGTTATCTTGTTCAGGGTTTGTGTTTCGCTGTTACTGGCTGATGAGATGGAAGCCCGGACTACTTTGTTTTTGTTTGTTTTTTAAACCCACAGAGCAGTGATGAATAGATAGATTTATATACTTAGCTCACGTGGGACTTTGTGAACTTGTCTTTAGAATTAGTTCCATTATAGATTAATCTGATGCTTATTTTCTCTGGTCCAGAAATAGGTCACACAAGAGGTCACGTCAGAAGTCCACAATGCAAAACTACCCAGTTAAAAATCGCATGAGACAAAGAACAGGAGTAAATCTTCACATTTCAGAAGCTGAAACTAGAAAATATTGGGTATTTTTGTTAAAATATTAATTGATCACCAAAACACAATAAATATTTTCTGTCAATTGACCCATCAGTGCCGCTCTACTTTGTAGCTTACAAGTTAAAAGTTTGGAGGGCTATCAAAACTACATTTAGAAGGATGCCACCATCTACAGCAAAGATGTGTTGTCTTTAAGTTAATCAATAAGTCATTTAACTGATAGTGAGTGAGTTCCAGTTTATGCCATGTGAGGATTTGCTGGTTTTCTGTGTCACATATGATTGAAAACTGAATCTTACATTTTTTACTTTTGGTCAGATAAAACGAGTAATTTGGATTTTTAAAAAATCATCAATGAATTGAGAAAATAATCAGCAGATTAATAAATATTTTAATAAGCGTTAGTTGCAGCCCCCCTCCTTAGCTATAGTTTTTATATTTTAATACATCTCACTCTGCAACAAACACATTTGCCAGTTGAAATAAATCGGTTCTGTATTGGTTGGGATGCAATAAATGATGATTTTCATTATCAATCTAAAATGTCATATTTTTTCAGAGGCCAGTGTGACATCTTCAGTTTTCATGCATTGATGAATTTACAGTCCAAATCCCAAATATATTTGAGCCACAACACCTGTGAAATAACCATACCCCCAGTAAGTACTAAAACAGCCTAATCTACCAACCAACAGCTCTGTTGTAGCACTGTTCAATGCATTCAACGAAGCAGATATGTTGTAAGTAAACAGCGGAAATGTGCTGAGAAACAAAAAAAGACAAAACATAAAGGTAATCATATTTGCAATTTGTTATTTAAAACCTTCCACATTTGGACTATTAGCTTTTATATGTGTATGAAATGAGAGTGACACACAGTGAGCGCTAATTGGTCTTTGTTACAACAGCTGATTTGACATGTGGCAGCTGGAGAGGCCTCTGCCTAATCAATAACAATATAATTGATGGCTGCATTCAATTTAGGGGTGTCAGTATTGTTCATGCTGTCTCACTGGCGTACCTGAAATGGAGAGGAGTTGTTGTCAATGTTAATGTTAGTATTTACTGCTATGACAAGTTAAAATGCAGGCTGTGATGAAGGCCTGAAATACTACAGATACATCTGAACTTGAAATCTGGGAGTTGAGAAGAGGTTGAGGTGTCCTCCTCACACAGAGTGTCAGTTTCAGTATTTGTCTCAATGAACAGCAAAAAAAGTGTCTTGTCACAGCTCTCAGGATGTAAATGAATACCTCAAAAGATATGTTAGCTGTAAGTGAAGTCTTGCTCCTCGTCAGTCACTTCATGAAGTCATACACTTGGAATTTGTCATAGTCTCTTTTAAACACGTGCAGGATATTGTTTCCCAACATGAGCTTAAGCAGGCCGACTGCATATCTGCAGGTATGATGCTCTGGGTTGTTGTAGATTGGTGGCAGCTCTTTTTTTTTTGTTAAGCAATAGTTTGACAGTAGCCAGGACTGTTGCCACCAGAAAGGCTTTGGGACGGTTCTCTGATCTGGAAGCATTGGAGCGTGATTCAACTGTATGATCATTTTTAAAGACTGTAGATTGTGTTTGAGCTGGAGTGTGTCTAATATTATGTCCTCGCCATTTATATCATTGAAGGTCGACTAAATATTAGAAACACCTCTCAGTATAATGCAGCTGAACTGCACTTTTAAAATAATCATAAGGTTGACACTTATAAAACCATTTAAATAAATAAACACACAAAAAAAATTGGCCAACCAGCACTTCAAAAGCAAATAAAATTCTGTTAGGCTAAGAAAACCATAATGTTTTTATATTTATTATCTGTTAAAATGTTAAATAAACAGAACCTCCAAAAATCACAAACTAATCTAACATTAACATTCAGGAAAAAAGAGCAGAGAAGATTTCCCACAACCAATACCATATATTTGATGAGCATGTCTTTTTTTTTTACACTATCATCTACTAACCAAATTGATTATGAAACAAGATACATGGCATGACAAGTATATGGCTGCCATGCCAACCCTGCTAAATAATTTCCTGGGGGAAACCCTATCTGGTCTGAAAGGGGTTGAAATGTACCGCTGACATGGTTTGTGTCATGATAACATGTCATCCTAAGTAGGTTTGATGAGAACTAATCACAGCAGTGCCAAACAGACAAATGGTTTAGTGTTGAGTCCAATAATATGGGCATTTTTCTTGTAACCTGTAGGAATGAATGATCATGAATGTGTTTATACTGTATGTTTAAAAGTGCAGCCCCAAAGCAATTTGACCTAGTAAAGTTATTTCACAGGTGTTGTGGTTTTTTTCGAGGATACACAACTCTGTTAGCTGCTTTTTAATCCAAGTTATTCAACAGGGGTAAAGATCTGTTTTAGACAGATGTTTAACCTAAGGCAGAGTGGTATTACAAAACTAGTCTCCTCTCAGATTATTTATGGTAACCAGCCATTTTCCTAAAAAGTAGTAGTAAAGCCCATATTGAAGTCAATTCAGTTCAATTTTGTTTGTATAGCACCAAATCATAACAAAAGTTATCTCAGGGCACTTTTCAAATAGACCGTACTCGTTTTTATAAAATAAAACCAGCGAATGGGGAGAAAAAAAAAACTGAGAACCAGCTCATTGAAAAACTGGAGAATCTGTACAGTGCTCTAATAATCCTTCTCTAATTATCATCACTACTGTTTACTTATATGTGTCATCTAAAGTAAATACCTCAGGACAGATCTGTACTCAAATTATACTTAATTTGACTCCATCATGCTGTAAATATTGATTTAGCATCAGGTTTATTAGGGTTTAATTTTTTTTTAATTGCTTTACTTTTCTTGTTCTTACTCAGTCTCAGTGTTTCGTTTCCTCCACAGTGGCCTGGCTGTATATGGTGGCTCATTGAGGTGAACGAAAGGAGTCCCAGCGGCTGTTGGTTGGTGGGCGGCATCCGTGGTTGCCACGGTAACTGGCGACCATGCCAGGAGGTCGCAGGGGTCCCAGCAGACAGCAGCTAAGTCGCTCTGCTCTGCCGTCCCTGCAGACTCTGGTTGGAGGCAACCTCGGCAATGGTACAGGCCTCAGGAACAGGTGCGCACATCAATGAATTTAAATGTTTTTACCTTGTAACTGTTTGAAGACTAACCTCCTGTTTCCTTTATTGCTCTTTGGTTTTATATTCAAACATGCTCCATAAATCCGTCGCATTGTCAGCCTTCATTCATCATTGATTTGTCTATATAGTTTGCATTCCATTACGAAATGTTATTAGTTGGAACGTCATTTTAAGTAGAGCTGATTGATCAGTTCATTAGTCAAAGAAAATCAAATTTAATTAGATAATTATTTCAGTAATAAAAGCCCCCAAATCTTTAGTTCCAGCTTCTCATATGTGAAGACTTCCGGTTTCATTGTAAACTCTAAACCTTCGACTGTTGGTCACTCAAAACAAGAAATCTGAACGCGTCTCCTTGGACTGTTAGGGACTTTTTTCACAGTTTTTTGACATTTCAATCATGAAATGACTAATGAAGCAAAACCTGCAAGCTGGTTCTGGCAGCCAACTTGAGAATGCTGCCACACTCAAATGGCATACTTTTCTCCCTGCAAATATCCAACACATCCTTTTAATGTTGGCAATCAACTTAAGCCACCAGCGGCCACTCTGCTGCCGTTCATCTACTATTTCAAAAACTCCACCTCCACCCCAGCATCCATCTGTAGGCTCGGAGTCTAACTCTCCCAGGGGGGAAGTTAGTATTGTGGCTCCCCACTCCCTGCTGACAAGGTTAGATCTTACATGCCAAACATCAACTACACATTTTCTACAGTCACTCTTTATCTATTCCACATTAGTTGTTGACTGGAAATGAAAAAAATAGGCACGAGATTAGTTGATAATGAAAACAATCTTTAGCTGCAGCCCTGTTCTAACACCGGCCCTTGTAAACCAACTTGATTTTGATTTTTTCGGATGTGTTCATGTATATTTATGCTTAATAGGTTGCAAATCTTACAGAGTTCTTACAGTGTTTAAGAGGGGTGAATGTAAAGGTTTCTGTGATTTGTATACCACACAACTTGCAGTTGGTGTGCTGTGAATAAATATTGTTCGAAACACACTCTACATCACAGATATATCCGTCTCTGAGCGTTCGGATTAATTGTGTCTTCTTTCAGGAGCAGTAACTCGGTGGGTCTGTCTGCCCCCCCTCTCTCGGCCCTGATTACTCCGGAGCCGGTCCGTCACTCGAGGATCCCAGAGCTGCCGTTGGACAGCAGTCTGCTGTTTGAGTTCCTGCTTTTTCTCTATTTGCTGGTGGCCTTGTTTGTCCAGTATATTAACATCTACAGGACGGTCTGGTGGTACCCATACAGCCACCCTGCTGCCTCTACCTCGCTTGTAAGAACGCACACACTTGACTTGAAATTACTGCCTCTTCTTTCTTAACTTTAAAAATGGAAAACCCAAAGTTGATACCCACACTAACCCTAAACTTGAACACTTGATATCCAAAAAGAGGGCTCATCCTTTTGTTTTTTGTTCTTAAAAAAAATTGAATTTATTAGTATTGGGATATTAACAACTGAATGTAAGATTACAAAAATCAATCTGTAATACAAACACTCTGTAGCTTAGTCTTAGTCTTTTTTCTTTTTTTTTCACTTTAAGTTACTGCTGCATGAGTCTCTATAAACAGATATCTGTATATGAATGCAGTATCTGTAGGCAAGGGACCACGATTTTGTCATCTGAAGCATTCTGGTTTCTGTTTGTTCTGTTTGTACTTTGGTTCGTTGAATAGTCCCTAGAGGCTAAATAGACGATAGCCGATGGGTTTCGAGATTGCTGCTCCATAATCAGTAGTTGTTTTTTTCTTCTCTTTAATTTTTCTCTGTATTGTTTTTATTAGTGGAACTATATTCTGTGCTTTTGGTTCACAGTAAAAAATGATGAACCTTACCCTAAAATGTGTTTTTGCAGAAGTTACAGGTTGTGCAGGTTTTTGTTCAGCCACTGCATACTGAACACTGATTTGTCTTTTTATTTTATTTTATAACGGCTTTTATTGGGCAGGTTCAGGTCTAACTCAAAATGTACAATTAAAAATGTCTTCATTGAAAACTAATTCTGAATGAGTGAAAAAAATATGCTTTACTTCTGCAGAACTTTCATCTAATGGACTACCACCTGGCTATCTTCATCACAGTCATGTTGGCCAGGAGGCTTGTTTGGACGATAGTTTCAGAGGTAAACAGTCAGCTTTTTACACAGCCCCTGTGGGAATCAACCTCCACTGATTGCAGTTTTGGTGCCACAGTCTTTCTGGTAACCCAGTTATTCTGTCGTCTGTCTCGTCCAGGTATCCCAAAGCAGTGGCGGATCACTGCTCCGCTATGTGGTTCTGATCGCAGCTCGACTCAGCCTGCTGACCATGTGTGGTTGGGTGCTCTGCTGGACGCTCGTCAACCTCTGCAAGAACCACTCTGTGCTCAACCTCCTCTTCCTAGGATACCCGTGAGTCTTTGATACCCCCCAGCCCACACCCTCTAAAGGCTAGGATATGCTTGTTTGGCGTTAGTTGTGTCACAGTCAGTGTTTGTACCTGTCTACATCTGAGTGACCACAATTGAAGGAGGAGCAGAAGGCCTGGCATCATAGAGCTGGGCGAGGTGCAGCAAATCATACAAATGGTGAACTCTCACTTCTCAAAGGCATTCACAGTGTTGCACAAACAATGAAGTATGAAGTAAAGTTCAAATCCTGCCTACTTTGCAGTTTACTTGCAGTTGTGTTAAATTGTCAGTTTGGAAAATTTGCAGAAATTGTCGTATGCAGACTCTGATTTCGACATTATAAAGATGTGGGGGTAAGGGATTGTTTGGCAATCTGATAAGCCCTTTATGTGTTGATCGTTAATGTGTCAAAAAGGTTAAGGAGTGAATCAGATGGAAAACACGAACCATGACATTGCTATCAGTGGTGCAAGAAATATTAAAATGTATCAACACAAAAGATATTTTTCCAGATATAGACCGGGTTTTCAAAACAAGATTTACATAGCTATTAATCTGGTCATTCACAGTAATACAGTAATGTTATAGTGAGCATGTTGCTTTTATTTGTTTTATTTGTGTGCTAATGGAATTTGTGGAAACATCCTCTCTTAATGTGTTTCGCCATTTTAAATATGCATGATGTGATCGTACATTTCCTTTTCATCCTGCCACCATTTGAAACTAAAACTTGCTGCTCTGTTCCTTTTTTTCCCCACAGATTTGGTGTGTACGTCCCACTGTGCTGTTTCCATCAGGAGGGAGGGAAAAGCCAAACGTCATCGGCTGACTGCGATTACCCGGCCGACCACCAGCAGCCGGCTGAACTCACGGAGACCCCGTTCTTTCGTCCACGTGACTTTCTCTTCCTGTTACGAGAGAACCTCAGAGAGCAGTTTTCCAGCCCCCCGCACATGCCTATTCACACCTGCCCACCACACACACACTCACACACACCGGAGTTGATTCGAGCAGAGGTGGAGGAGTTGAAGAGCGACTTCAACCGGCGAATCAAGGAAGTGCTGTTCAACTCACTGTTCAGTGCTTATTACGTCGCCTTCCTGCCTCTCTGCTTTGTCAAGGTTGGTATCGGTCACTTGGGGTTTTTTCCCCTTTAAGATTTTATTGTTGGTGTTGGTCTCCTGTGTGTTTGTTTTTATGCTCCATTGTCCCTACAGACCTTCCTGTATTCTTGCTAACTTTATGGTGAGTTTATCTTTCTCTAATACTTTTCTTTATTTCCCTAGAGCACTCAGTACTATGACATGCGCTGGTCATGTGAGCATCTGATCATGGTATGGATCAATGCGTTTGTCATGCTGATGAGTCAGCTGCTGCCCCCCAGCTACTGCGACTTGCTTCATCGCTCGGCAGCTCACCTGGGCCGCTGGCAGAAACTGGAGCATGGCTCGTACAGCAATGCACCTCAGCATGTGTGAGTGGCCAGTGTGCACACATTTGTACACACACAGGATTTTAAAAATGACTCTGTTAATGGTTTGTGTTTAACTGTGGTGCTGATATGTTTTGCAGGTGGTCAGAAAGTACCATTTGGCCTCAGGGGGTGTTAGTACGGCACAGTCGATGTCTATATAAGGCAGTCGGACCCTATAATGTCGCTCTGCCCTCTGATGTTTCCCATGCAAGGTTTTATGTGAGTATCTGTACTTTCTATCATAGTGTCAGTAGATGTAACCTTTGCATTATTCATTCCAAGAGTGAAGAAAATAATAAAACAAGAATCATGACATATAATACAATGCCTTACAATAATACCACAAACTACACAGACATGGAGTCGGTTCCCCGCATAGTATACTTATATAACAGCCAAATATTTAATTAGTTGGATTTTTACTAGGATCGATTCATACTTCTGTGTCAAGGGCTTGTCAGTAAAGAATATAAGCAAATACAACATGAAGCATGTTGAAAAAAGGCTTTTCCTAACTACTTCTTTTCACTTACACACATCTAACAAAGCTGTATCCATTACAAACCCAAAATTATGTTTTGCTTAAAAAATTACTTAAATGAGTGATCGGTTATTAAAATAGTTGGCATATACATTTCTATTGATGAGCTGATTTTATTAAATGAATAATTGTTTTAACACTCATTTATAGTTTTAAGTGTCCATGTCAGAGGACAGTGCCAAAGAAAAAAAAATCCACCCTGTTCACACACACTGAATACAATGACTGACTGTATAAATCTGTATAAACGTGCATTGTTTTACATGGTTCAGGTGTCCACCCACTGCTTATCAAATATTTTAATCTTTCCTTCTCCGTGGAAATATTTTCATTTCTGATTCTCTTCCTGTTTTTGGTCTTCCAGTTCCTGTTCCACAAGCCATTGCGGATCCTGAACCTTCTCATCTGGATCGAGTCCAGTGTGGTTTTGTACCAGTTATACTCTCTGCTGCGCTCCGAGCGCTGGAACCACACTTTGTCTCTGGGCCTTATTCTTTGCTGCAACTACTATGTCCTTTTTAAACTGCTCCGAGACCGCATTGTGCTGGGCAAAGCCTACTCCTACCCTCTGTCCTCCAACAGTTTAGGGCTCAAGTCGCAGTAAAGGCTCTTCACAGTGAGACCTCACCTACGAACTCTGGACGTGGAGGGGAGATAGGTGGAGGTCTAGTAAAGACCGGAGGGTTGATTCGCCCTCATGCTTGGAGGTTAAGGGACAGACTGTGAAACTCATAATCGTGTTTTGATACGGTTCTATTTTTAATGCAATGTTTATATATACCTATTTAAAAGAATATTTTTATTTTGTATACTATTTCGAGTTACGCCGGGCATTACCACGCTGACGACATTAGCATGTTCTGTTATGTTGTTGCTAGGCGACAGGCAAGTCAGGGTATGCCAGGGTGTGACTTTCACCAAAGATATTTTAAGTGCAGGTGGCCAATCAGCAGACTTGGCTTCTGACAGTCAGTTCAAGCAGACGAGCGATTCAGAGCAGTGGAAGGAGATGTGCCTGAGATCCTGAGACCTGATTGGGCTGTTCTACTTCAACCCTGAGGCTCTAGAACCAGTGAAACTGTTATGGGTAATGTTAGCAGGACACAAACACTGTCATTGCCCTCCGCATCTTTTAATATGTTTTCATCAGTGATTTTTAAAGCAAAAGTTTTACATTTTAGGGAAATACGCCTATTCACTTTCTGGTGGGGAGTGAAATGAGAAGATACTGTAGATATGGATCAAATCTGAGGCCACAGCACGTAGACAGTTAGCAGCTTAACATTAGCACAAAGACTTTGAACAGTGGCCTAGCTCTTTCAAACTCTTAACAAAATCTGACTGCCAGGACCTCTAAAACTCTCTAATGAACACTTATGTCTCTTACACCTCTCTTGGTTATTTTAAACAAAAATAAAAGGCATTTTATAGGGGGTTATGTGCCAGACTATTTCCTGGCTCTGACCAGTTACAAGGCAACCACAGTGGCTGGCCAAGAAATGGCCTGGCAACCCCGTTCAAGAGCAAATTGTCATTTTCACACTTAGATTTTTGTTCTAATTAAAAAAAGGTGATGTAACGTGTTAATTAGCTTGAGTTAGTTACTGGTAGGCAGATTTTTGTAACCTTTGGACAGAGCCAGGCTAGCTGTTTCCCCCCACAGACAGACAGCTAACTCTCTGTCTGTGGTAGCTTTATATTTAATGGGCAAATGTGAGAGTGGTATAGATTTTCCCATCTAACTCACCGCCAGAAAGCAAAGAAGTGCATTTCCCAAAGAGTCGAACTTTTGTTTTAAGCTAAGCCTCGGTGTTAATATTTACCACGAAGTGGAATAAAACTTTTCTACAAACTGACTTGACATTAGGCTGTAGAAAAAAAAAAAAACCCTCGGGTCCTCTTATCCAATGCCTCTGCAGAGAATGCTGTATTCTTCCTCATTCACTTTGTTACTGTGTTTTTAACTATCAATATCTGCTTGTTTCTCATCATTGGCTATCTGGAGGGCAGTAACAACAACAGGCTGTACAAACGTACACCAGGCTGTCAACAAGTGATAAGGTGTATTGGGATACTATTCGCATCCTTAAACTCAAATCATAAAATGTAAAAAAAAACAGTTTGACCCCTGGGTGGTGTTTTCTTGTTGTACAGCCCTGCCTGGCCTAGTTTCGGTTACTAAAAAGGTGCAAAGTTTGAGGGGCTGCTTCTGTAACCGGGTGATAATTGAAGTCAAAACTCCGACTGATGTTGGACCACACTTTGACATGCTGAAATCTTCTTGCTATGATATGGTGTACGACTCGATTGTGTTCTTAAAGATCACCCAGTCACTGTATTTTATTCAGTTTTGGTGCCTGAATGCTTAAACCTTGCTGGGATTCAGGTCTATCTCTTTGTGGATTGGATGTAGATAACGAAACGAATGTGGCTTATAATAAAGAATTCTGTTGGTACGTCCCAGGACCTGACCCTTCTCCCATTGCAAATATGTCATTGTCATCACGCTCTCTTATGAATTTGACAGCAGAGGATGTTTAATAGTGACATTTCCATGGGCGATGAAAACCAAACGGTCAAGATGGTTAAGACTGTATGTGTCACCTCATTACCGGTTCATGTATTCTCAGTTACCAGAATGGTGTTGCAAACAAGTTGCCTTGTGTGTTATTGCTTTTCTGTTAAGTCACACTTGGTGAACATCCTCTCACTCTCAAGTAGGTTCCTCCTTAATGAGCCTCCTCTCCTTCAGCGGCTCTAATCAGCAGCCAGAGTATAACTTCGGGCAGTATTAAGGATTGGGCCGATCAGCTGTCTGATATTCAGATAGAAATCAATACAACTTGAACAGAAAATCCTTTTTTTTTTATCAGGGGTTTAAGACTGAGTAGAAAATCAGAGAATTTCAGTCAGGTTTCAGGTTGAGTGTAAATGAGGTGGGGGGAAAGTAGGAAACCAGTGTGTACATCTAGATCATGGGTGCTGTTCTGTGCCTCAGCAGAAGCGTGACGAATCTTTGATTATACACGAATGCCATACATGTGCCCATTATTCTTCGTTGTCTGCCCTTAAATCGACTCCTTGGTGCTTATGTTTTGTTTGTGGTCATTTTCCACTTGAATGTAGCAAATCTTTCAACTGAATGTCGCTGTTGACTTGAATTGGCATGTTTTTGTAGTTTGTAGCACTTTCCCTCAATTGGCCACCACTGAAATTTCAGGGTTTTTTTTAATGGGCATACAACCTTTTTAACTTGTCATTTATGTCAGTTACACAGAAGGGAGACATTTCGAGGTTTGCTTACTTGAATGTTAAGGCCTTTACTCAAATAAAACACATTCTGTCTGCTTTCATTGGTTTGGTGAACATCGCAGCTGAAAAGGACCACGTTGCCCTGAAGTGTACTTGATCTTCCTCTAGTCTACATGAAATTTAAATAATTTTTTTAAGTCAAAGTTATGCTGATACTGTCATTCTGTGTTCACTTAATTAATCTGAGTCAGAGTTTTTTTTTTATGTGCCATATCCCAGGATGCAGTTTCAGAATCCTGGTTGAATCTGTTGATCAATGTGTCGGTGCTGGAGAAGTCATAGGAGCTGGTCCTCATATTTCGGCTTTTTACAGTGTTCAGTTTCCCCAAAGCATTTCTGAAAATGCTCTTTGACATCTGAAATAAAACAAATGGTCTTTAAACAACGTGTGTGTGTGTGGCTGTGTGTGGCTGTGGCTGTGTGTGTGTGTGTGTGTGTGGCTTTGTGTGTGTGTGTGTGTGTGTGGCTGTATGAGCAGACTGAGAAGAAATATGGGAGACAGTTGCTTATTTCAAAGCATATATTTCATTAAATTTGCCATAGTCTTCAGTTTCTGAAACAAATAATGCAATTTCATAAATGTTAAACAGAAAGTAAAAAGTGCTTATGTAGGCCTTAATGTTCATTGCGGACACCTGCAGTGTTTTATCTTTGCCACCAGAGGGAGCTAAGCAAGTAAAACATTCAACAAAATGTGCTTCATAGAACAAGTGCTCTGCAACCTTGGAAACAGTCATCTGCAATCATTTAATATCATTCTGTGTACACTGTTAATTTAGTTGGCAGAGTACACTATTGTTGTAGATAACTAGTGTCCACTGAGAAGAGATACATGATAGTTTGGAGAGAAACTGTTGGCACCTTTGGTAGCTGACTTGTACATTCATCCACAAAAATCATAATTTTCAGTAGAATAACTTCAAGAGTTTTAACAGTGCAATCTTTAGTATTAGCACAATAAAAAGGCTATGATACATAATGAAACAGTTGTCCCAGTCCTGCTCCTTGTAATCTGAGGGCCCCTTGTTCCAAAACAGCTTTTTACATCAGTCCATGTTCCAGATCTGATGGCTTTCCAGATAACTTTGTTATCCAAATAAATGTTCCAAGAAGCAGATAAACCTGCTTCTGTTCTGCATCACCACATGATCTAAATGTTTCCCCGGTTAACACCAATGTAACTAACTTTTTCATGGTTTAATGTAACTGAAGATGCAACACTTAAGCATAAATGAAATGAACACGCCCTGTTTACATAACTTAGTGTCATTACTGGATTTGTGTCTGTCGGGTCTGTAGTTACATGACTGATATAGGCGTCTGAGAATGGGTGCAACAAACAAAAGGTTGATATTTACATTGATGTCACGTCAGTGCTACAAGTAGTGGGGGTAAAAAGGGTAGATTCTTGTGGCCCCAATATTGCGGTATGATGTATGAAGATGTAGTAGGACTATGGTTTTGTGGCTACACCCCTGTGTCATCCTCAGTCTCCACCTTTTCCTCACCCCTCTCGGCAGTCCACAAAGTTTCCTTTTATCCAATAGCAGATCTGAGCATATTTGAGAGGCGTGATTCTCACCGCTACATTAAATTCCTGAGACGCCCCTTGTCGTTCCACCCACTGATGCCCAGAAAACACACCTATAACCTTCCGCTCCCAGCGCCGGCGCCCCCCATCCCACATCCGGGCATAGACTCCTGACCCGCTGGCACCGGGCTGGGCATCACAGTGCTGGTACAGCAGGTCTGATGTTTCCTCGCCGGCCCGACAGAACCGATACACCAGCTGGCCTGGACGGTCATTATCAAATCCTGAGAAGTGGACTCGTCGACCAGGCAGCCTCTGAGCTGGGGGGCTGACTCCTAACTTCATGTGGCGGCGTTTGTGGGGTTTCTTGAGTTCAAGCAAAGCATAGTCATAGTCCATCCCAATGTCATTAGCATTCCCTTTGATCCATCCCTTGGGAACATGGGTGCGCTTGGCTCTGATCCACTGGAATTTCATTTTGTCGTTGGTTGGTGGGGCGTAAGGAGCAGGGCCACCTTCAACATGGTTGGTGAAGTTGGAGGGAAGGTAAAAGGAAGAAGGCTGTGTGTCTCGTTGCTTGGGTTTTAGAAACCCAACCCGCAGCTTCTGGGCTCCTTTCACATAGTTTTTACCATCATGAACGCAATGAGCCGCTGTGAGAACATGACGGTCCCCCACCAACGTACCAGAACACCCGGTGGACAGTTTGACAGAGACAGAGAATGGGTATTTAAGCAGGAAGTTCTGCCCAGCGATACTAAAACGCCCATCGTGGCCGAAGATCTGCCGCTTTCTCCTCACATGTGACCGCTCAGCCTTCCCAGACGACCCTGAGGAGTAGGCCGGACTGGTGTTAGAACTGGGCGCGTAGCCATAGATCCCAATGGCGGTCTCAGTGAGGTGACCATTGGAGTGGAGTGTCTCAAAGGCCAGAAGACGCCGCAGGTCCCAGTAACTCGGGCGAGGGGCTCTCTTGTGGCATTCTGGGTCACAGGGGGAGCTGACATCCAAGCGGGCCTGAGACAGGAAATGAGGGGCTGGTCGATCCTCTGTCTGCTGTGGGAGGACCACAGGGACACGCTGGAGAACCCACTGGGGGCGTGAGGAGGAGGAGAAAACAGAGGGAAAGGAGAGGAGAAATAGGAGAGAGGTAAACCTGTGGATGGACAGGATGACAGATCAGGTTAACTTAACTAGAAAGAGTAACTGACTCATGCTTGACTCATTCACTGAATGAGTGGCTCTATTAAACACGACCGGACGTCTGGGCCCCTCTTACTGTGCATGAAAAACATTCTCATTCCTTAAACCAACATCATGGACTTGCATGGGAGTTGAGTTTGAGTTGAGGAGAGCATTTCAGCTTAAAGAATTTTTATCTTCGCTGGAATTTGGCATCTGTAAACTTCCACTGTAAATATGACAGACAGGGCAAAGATCAGGCCTTACTAGGCTCTGATGGAAAATTCCTGAAGTGGCCTGAGGGATTGGCCTAAAGCCTGAAAGAGATACTGACTGACATTTTGTTGCACTGAATAAAGACTTTAAATGGGTATAGTTTTGTATCTTAAACATACTCACACCTCCCTCCCTCTCTCTGTTTCTTTCCTGACATATGGAACTAATATAATATACAGTATTACCGTTGGGAGTCATAGGAAAATGGAGCAGAGATATAATAAAGTCTCATGTTAATAAAATCTTTAGAATGGAATTTATGCATTTTGCAGCTCATAACACACAGTAAGAAAGTGAAGCCATATTTAGATTCCTAATTTTAGGTGGAATAAGTAATAATGTTCTGAAAATTATTCATACATAAAATGTAAGCAGTGCAGTTCACATTAATGTCCTAATTGTATAACTTCATCTTCTACAAGTTTTTCCCTTCTTCTCTAGATCCCGTCATTACGCAAAGACGAACCTGACATAGAGGTGACTTACCGGGGGAGCGCAGCCCGGGAGCGCATGGTTTGGCTTCTGCAGGTGAGCTGGTGGTTGAACACAGAGGGGAAAACCCCCCTCAAACCAGAACAAACAGCCCGCGATGAGAATCTAACTGGTACTGCAAAGAAAAGGGAAAAAGGAGACTTCTAGGCTCCTCTCTCAGGAACTGACCACGTTATTTAATCCGCGACAGTTTGGAAAGAAAGTCCAAGAAAGAAAGTTGATGAAGCGCCGGATCATTGTGCGCTGCTGGAGGAGGTGCTCTCCTGTCTGTCTGCGCTGACAGTGTCACATCTGCCGACTGGGGGGATATTCAGAGTGAGTAAATCCGACCCCAAGGCGGTCATGTGACACATCACATCACTGCTTGTGATTACCAATTTACTGCTGTTCGCAGTGTTGAAATTTGATGCATTTATTTAAATGGTATTTGCACATTGGTAGTAGCAATTGTGTGTGCACATGACTCACATTTAATTAGGGCTGCATCTAAGTATTAATTCCTTTATCGATTAATCTATTTCAATCGATTAATAGTTTTGTCTACAGAATTTCAGAGACCAAGATTGCGTATGAGTTTGCTTACTTTGCCTGAACAATAATTAGTATTTACTTATTATTTTTTAAGTGAAAAGAGGCTGATTGACTGATTAATTAATTTGCACTAACCTTCACAGAAATTGCTATAATAATATATATACTGATTATTACTGATATTCTTAATATCTGGTTATAAAATGTTTCTAATTAGTAACTGATGCCTTTATTAATAACCCATTTATTAATGCTTCATATATCAGTTATAAGGTAATAATTATAACCACTTTTGTTTTGCCAGGTTGTGAAAAGTCCCTCAGTTTGATGTTGGTTGGTGTTTCTGTTGTATTATAAATGTTGGTAATCCATCAATAAATGCTTATGGGCTTCATACTTTCTAGTCTGTTGCAGGATTTTCCAGAAGATAAGCGGACCTTTAGACTGTCTTCCTGATGAATTAAAGATTTATAAAGATTTGTTTCCTGCTGGAGGAGAAACACATTTCACAGGGATTTTCCACATCCTGGCAACTCAAAAGTTCTTCTTTATTATAATTACATTACCATTACATCAACTTACAAACTCTTGACTAAGGGTTATTTATTAGGAAGGGGTACTAATTTTATTAGTTATGCTTGATGCTCATTAAAGATATACAGTGATTCCATCATAATTCTAGCTTTAGTCATATAAAGCAAAAACGGAGGGGCTGCTCTGAGTTTACAGCCATTTGACGTTTTGTTATCAACAGGACAGGCCAAAACAGCTGGATGGAGACATGTGCGTCCTGTCCAAAACTGAGGTCGTAGAGAGCGGAAATGTGTGAGTACAGAGAGGGTGATGGCAAAGGAACTTGAGGGGTGTGTAGTGTGTGTATTTGTTTGTGTTCAAGAGACAAATTGAGACGTTTCACATTCTGTGACCTTCTTGTCGCGCAAACACTGACCCGCATTCATTCTGTAGATGGAGTGACACGACCAGATTCCCCTTCTCTTTATCTCTTTCTTTGAGCCACTCTCTCTGTCCCACACAAGAAGATCCAAGGATGCCATTAAACTACTCATTAAATGATTATGCAGCACACATACCGTACATCAATGTTTTTCCCAAACAAACTTTCACACTGTTGGTTCACTGGGTTGATCCACCCTCATGACTCTTGGCATTAATCGCAAAGACTTTTGGAAGAAAGCTATTTATTTCACAACAAAAACCTCACTCATTTCACATCATACAGCTGTAATTATTCTCTATTCAGAAGCAAGCTCACTGCTATTGTGACTTTTCCTTTTGAGGAATTAGTTGAGTGGGCAGAACGTGGTTCTCATGCCAATGTTCGAAGTGTAGTTTCCACTTGACCCACCCATGCTGAAAATGCAAGCTGTTAGTAGATATTGTGCCATGTAATGATTTCAATAAGCTCAACTGCCACCAGAAAGACGGGGGAGAAAGCAAGGCTGAAAGAAAAAAACGGAGGGGTTGGGGGTCGGTGAGTGGGGACTCATACATGCATGGCTGAACAGTTAGCCTCCACCCATCTATCCCTGTCTTGCAGCTATTTGTTCATATGTGAATTGTGCAAAGAAAGACATGCAGATAGTTTGACATTTTGAGAAATATGTTTATAGGCTCTCTGGCAGAGAGTAAGCGTTCAATACGAATATACCACCCGCATATCTGTGCGATGTCTGGGGTCTGTAGCAGGAGCCAGCAGCTAGTTAGATTAGCTTAGCAAAAAGACTGGAAACAGGGGGAAACAGCTAGCCTGGCTCTATCTAAAGCAGTGGGTCCCAACCCAGGGTTGCTTCGTAGGGAGCCACAAGGCCTCCTTGATTTTAAGGTGTGTAAGAAAACTTAAAAACTACACTATGGGCCTATATCTGAGCATTTAATCTAATTCTGTGAAGAAAAGTAAATGAAATTGTTTGCTTGGATAGAATGTATCATTGTTAAAACATACATGATAGAGATTTGTATAAAAAATTCCTAATACCATCAGAAAAGTCATCTTTTATGTAATATTTTCAGAAAATATCAGCTCAAAATTCATCTGTAAACTGCTAATTTTACACAAACTTCCTACAGTTATTGTGTTCACTGTTTGGGTTCATTGTACTGTTTATCAGTTGTTCCATATTGTTAAAATCCATAAAATGTCACTCATTCAAGGGTTGTCAGTTTATACTCAGTGATATAAAAGGGGTCCCTTAAGGAAAAATGTTGGGAACAACTGGTCTACAGGGAATAAAAATCCACCTACCACCACCTCTAAAGCTCACCAACTAACATATTGAGTCTTGTTGCCACTGTGTGGTTGCTAGGCAACCAGCTGGGACTTTCAATTGGGAAGTTACTGAGCCTTTATGCTAAGCTTAGCTAACCAACTGCTTTATATTCACTGTAGACGTGAGAGTCACAGAAAGAAAAACAGTGAAAATGTTGAACCATTGCTTTAAAAAGTTTTCAAATCCTGTTCACGGTCTCCTGTAACTGATTATAGATCGGCACCTTTGCCAGGACACAGGGTGGATCTGCTGGCTCATCAAACACTGCTCTGAATAACCCAACACCCCACCCATCCCACAACACAAATTTACAATTAACACTCGCACACACATACCTCTCTCTCTGGAGCAGTATCTGGGGCAGGTCTGCTAGCGTCTCATCCCAGTAACTATCATCAGCTCCTTGCCAGTCTCTGCTCACATTTTCAAATGAACCCAAAGGTACCTGAGTTTTTATAACCAAACTCTCTGTAGATGTCTTCTTTCCATTCCATCAGTTATCATTTTTTTGCTGTTTGATGATTGATTATCTGTGCCAAGTCCACATTCAGGCACATTTGAAACGTAGAGCACACAAGCTGTAATAAAGAAAAGAAGAAATTTGGAGATTTTTTTTTTTTTGACGACAATAGGAAGGGATGAGCCTTTTTACCAATGCCTGGGTGCTAATAAGGGTGCATTTCTGTTGGTTTTGAATTGTTATGAAAGGACTCGTTTGTTTGGCCATGCCCGCTGTTGTCAAGGAAACCCACATTCCCCGGAGTACAGTTCATGTTAATTGTTTTATTCCTCCCACTCTCCTCCTCTCGCTTCTGGCCACAGACACAATCAACCAAGTGTGGATGGCCTCACATGTTCTTCTGAATCTTCTCTCTTTCCATCCCTCTGTCTGTCTCTCTATGTCTGTCTGTCTGTCAGCTCTGTTCCTTCTTTGTATTCTCCCGTCTCTGTGCCTCGCAGTCTCTTGTTTGAATCTTCTCTCCCGTCCTGGACCTCTTCTCTCACTGGTCCCAAGAGGCCATGAAACAGCTGTTTGGCAAAACAAGACAACCACAGAGCTCTTTTGAGAAGTTATTTGCTGTGAAATCTTGAGGGGAACTTGGGCCAAGTTTAAAGCTCTAGGCAAAGCCAAAGGGAAGATAATATAACTGTTGGCACGCACATTTGCTATACAACTTTTAATGCCTCATGTAAAAGATGGTAAACACTGTCTCGCTCAGCTGCAGTTAAAGGAAATTTCCCCTCTTGATACCGTGCATTCCAGTTACTTTCTGATGAAGGTTTTTGAGTTTACTGTTTGGATTACTTACTTTCCTCCACCCTGCATGTATACTTGTGTGTCATTCTGTGAATTCCTGTTGCCCTAAAGTCCAACAATACTCGTGATGATTACATAGAAACAGCATTAGGGCAATTAGAGTTTATTTGGTTGTAGCCCGTCATGATGTGCACTCCACTTACTGAATATGTAAACTAAACATCTATTGTTTTGGCTCTAATGTTGACGTTACATCTGATGTTTTAGGATGTTTTCTTTTTGTGGACTTTTAAACACAGTTATGTTTACGTTCAGATTTTCTCCAAAAACACACTCTGTATCCTCCAGGCCTAACAAATTTTCAAAGGAGGTTAAATATATATATATATCGGAATATAATATTGGAATATGCATTTTTAACATTCATGTCTACATTTACTAGCATTCCCCTTCTTCCATGCCTTTTGCTGGCTTTTGCAGCTACCACCAACTGTTGATCAGTTGAATAGTATGTAATTACAATCCAGTAACAATCCAGGCATCCACTGATCAAAAACATGGAGAACATGGAGTCACTACATGGTTGATCCCCCTCATGACTCCTGGCATTAATCACAAAGACTTTTGGGAGAAAGCTTTTTATTTCACAACAAAAACCTTTACATTCAGAAACGATCTCACTGCTATTGTGACTTTTCCTTTCAAGGAATTAGTTTGTTAGTTTTGCCTCAGTTCACACCCAGTAGGTCAAAGGCATGTTTGTTGCACCAGTAAGTGATATACTTCACTGCAACAGGATAAGAAGTTAACCTTATTCTCTAAAGAGCAACTTAAAACCAACTTAAAGTCTTCTTGGCTGACCTCCAGGAATTTAATTGAACCTTGTTGCGGTGATGTAGAACTGTAGTCCTGGGTGTGGACAGTACACTGTGACTTCGCTGCTGGGTGTGGTTACAGGTGCAAAAGAGCCACACCCATCGGTGACACTTTATGTGTTCAGAGGTTCTAGAGAAGATGACAGATGGTGGTCAGCCTAGTAAGAATTTCCATTTAATCATGAAGTCACGCATGCGACATTCAAGTCAAATAGAGGAAGCAAAAGATAGGGAAACAGAATACAATACCCTCTTTAGGTTTTTTTTTTCCCTGTCATATCAATTTATATTCTCCCTCAGTGTCCTTTCACATACACATGCCGT